GGGAGCGCAACAGGGGCTTCAACAGTTTTAAAGCTCGAAGTCAAATTCGTGTTCTTACATTAAAATAACTGTAGGAAATTAAGTTTCCACCAAGGTCTTACCTCGAATAAGGTATATACGAAATACCTTGAAAAACTTTTGCACACGGGTTTCCACCGTTAATCAGCTGCCATTTTGTTAAAAATTGAGATTTTCAATATTTTCATCCAACGGCGTGTCACAGGGCAGGAGTTGCTGTTTAATTTGCATTTTAATTCGTTCAGAAGGTGCAAGGATAACTCATGGACCTCATGGACTCATGGACTCAGGGTCACCCTGTAGAACTGCGTACCAGAAAAGTTGCTTATATGGTTAATGCATCACATTCGTTTTGTTTAGAGGCTAAAAATCTGAAAAAAGGTTCATCTCATTTTCGTTTATTCTTTAAAATTCTTTAAAACAACAATCTTTCGCCATTAAAAATTTATTTGAAGATAGCACACAAAGTGAGTACAGAGAAAAAATGGGAATTTGTCTGAAATATTGGGTAACCTTGGAATAGACCTGGAGAATCTAACAAAAGATATTTTTGGGAAAATGTCATTACATCCCGAAAGCTGAATTCAACGGTTCTGCTGCGAAAAGCATCCTTACACATTCAAAAGAACTTCAAGTACATTTAGCCCCATTGCTTCTGAAGAATTTGGCATACGAATGCATTCCAAGACCAAAGTATCAATTGGTTTGACAACCTGTTGGCAATAAAACCATTGATTAGTCCACCTGCTTGGAAAGGAGAGAGGGTGCAAAAGGTGATCACACAGTGTTAACAATTAAATTCTACCTCGCCTTTGTATGAGCAGTCAAATTTTTTTTCCAAAATGCTTGATTTTTTGTACCGTTTCATTGCATGATGAATGCATCACAATAGCTGATAGCCGGGACCATTTAGGCGAAGCAAGTTGAATTTTTAAGTGCCTATTCCAAGCTTTTTGGAACTTTGAAAATGAAGCTTATGGAGATTGGAAATTGCTTCGTACGTACTACGGGCTGAGTCTGACGACCTGGAATTAGAGTCCCTTTATACCCAGAGTTAAGACAACTCACTTTTGGTTGGGCCAGGGTTGGGCTGAAAGTGGCCTAAAAAAAAATCCAATTCTGATTGGTTCTCGCTCATGGACGCCGAAACGAGTGCACCAAGATGGCGGTACCTCGAATGTGAACAAGAATAATGAAAATATTACCTAATTGTGGTTTATCAAGAGTAAATTGTTATTGCCATCGGTCCAAAATGAAAATAGATTAAGAAATTATTCACAAACCAATCTCATTTTCTTTTTAATTGACCAATTTGTTGATGTAGTTGTTTTTGTGTGACAGACATCGCAGGATTTCTAATCCTTATCCCTCAATATCGTTCGTTTGGGTGCACTCGTTTCGGCCTCCATGGCCAGCCAAGGCCGGCTGCCAGTCAGCTGATAATCGAGTTGTCTTAACTCTGGGTATAAAGGGACTCTACCTGGAATCATCAGACTTAGAATATACTACTCAGAACCTCTGAACTCGGAGGAGGTTACTTACTTGACAGCGCTGAACTTAGGTAAGTTTACTCGGCGCTTCTAGACTTAGGCTAAGTTACTTGGAGTCACTGGACTTACGTTAGATCACTGGACAACTCAAGGCTGACATTACGTTACTTGGCACCCCCATAAGATCCAAGTTGTAACCTAACGGAAGCCTTGTGTTGCCCGGTGACCTAACCAAAGACATAAAGACGGAGCGCTCGTATCTAAAAGCACGGGGAAAAAGTGAAGCTAGGTTCGGCGCTGCGCGCTTGTGTGAGTGTGTAAATGAGCGCGGGAATCCATGGCGGCAAACGGAAATTTGATTTGAACTTGTCCTCTTGATTTTTGCACATTTCTTCTTTGAAACGTATTTTAAATTCCTAAAACGAATATACTAAGAAAGTTCAGTCTGCGTCCTAATATAATACACCTACTTTTGCTCGGTAACAGGCAGTAATCTCACATAAAGTTAGTTTTTCTTCTGCTCATGGTGGTTCTGCAGGTTCAAACAGGCCGTTACAGTTCTAGATCAACGTTACTCCCAAATGAAATTAATCGGTCGACGACGGACTGAAACTAACCTAAAGTTAAAAAAATATGAGTGTGTACCTGAATTTGGGCAAAAATCTACCTAAAATACTTTGTTTCCGCAATTTTATTTATTAGTTCCCGCCCTACATTTGAATTCAAACTTGTCCCGATTTCGCCGCCAATCCTCTAGCCAATAGTAGAGGTGATTGAAAAGAAGCTCTAGAAGCTTCATTTTTTGCTTTTAGTGCTCCGTCTTTATGTCTTTGGACCTAACCCAAGTCCAATGGCTTTAAGTAACCTAACCTACTTAAGTCCAGAGGCTCCAAGTAACCTAACCTAAGTCCAGTGTTGTCATTTTCACTGCGAATAATCAGCAGAACACCTCCCCCCCCCCCCAAACGAATAGCAAGACGTAATCCTACGTCACAAAAAAAAGGTAGGTCACAAGATGTATACCTATAAATGTTGATAGAGCCTCAAGCACTCAACTTCTGTGGGCAGTAGAGGTGCCAAGCTCGGTGAGGGCAATCATGAGTTTATCCAGTCCTTTATTCAGTTGATTAATATACAGATCGGAGGCTTTCAAAGAACAACAAAGTGCTGTTTGATTGCACTGAAAAAAGATTTAGAAAATGTTAAACTTTAAACTCACGATCAGGAGCGGGTGTTGCTGTACAACAGATGTCATTTTTATGCATCACATTAAAAATACATCTCGATAAATGCAAGAATTAACATTTCTTGAATATGGTGATGAAGTGCAAGCAGTAAGGTTCTCAGCTAACAATGAACATTGCCTTTTTCTTTGATTCTTACATTTCCGTCATCACCCGCTTCTTAATTGACAAAATTTTGCGATTGTCATCTAGATTGCATTTTACAAAAAGAAATCAAGAGCATTACAATTTTGTTAAGATTGTGCAACTTCTTTTACCTTGCAAATATAGACTGGTAGTCGCCTAAACAAATTTTATCTTTACTGTCAATAAACTAAACATTCAAGACGAAAATTACCTTTGTAAATTCAATAAAATTCAATCCCAAATTCAAATACCATGTTACGGCATGATGATACCGAATTTCATTGGAGCTGTCAAATTCCTGCCAACATTCAACGCTTGGATTTGTTCCTCATTCTTCATTTTGTCCTGACTTAGCACCATTTGAGTTTTGAGTATTTCTGAATCTGAGAAGAAACGTCAAAGGCACTCAATTCTCACCAGATGCCAAAGTCAAAGCTACAGTCGTAAAATGGATTCAAAATCAGCTTCATTCATTTTTGTTTCGACGAGATTCAACAACTGGTTGAACGTTGGCAGAAGGACGTTGAAGTTAACGAAGAGAATACCGGGGAATTTGGTAAATTTCATTTTGATACCCTGTAATGCTCTTTAATACACTTTACTATTTTTGTCGAACTTCCCTTGTTTTGTTTACGTATGAAATCCGTCCGATTTCAATGGAGCAGAGTTATAACTTACAGTTCTTAAACTTTTTCTTTAACATCGTGAGAGAACATGTCGGATGTTTCAGAAAGGAAACAACGTCTACTTTTAGAATATCTTCAGTTCTTGCCGAAATCTTTAGTTGTTCTCAAGTTTTGACCTTGGAGGCGCTACTTTTCAGCCAGGCCTCGTAAGTTGCACAATCCTAGAAATATTTTGATGTTTTTGGTTCCTTTTCGTAAAAATTGATCCATCTATCGATTCACAAGTCATTTTCTCTCCATCATTGCCATGTGGGTGTATCTGAGTAATGCAAATGCATCAAGCAAGTCCATGCATTATTGGTTACCAGAGTTAGATGTGGCTTTTTATGTCCGGGCTGTAATTAGACCAAGAGATACTGAGTGATTTTGTGGTGAGGTATATCCCATATGATGTTAAGTATATACATAAGAGAGCCATCTATTTTTTTACTATAAAGCAAATGAGAACTTCCAAACCGGACTTGGGTGTGTGGAGTGAGTGACTGGAGTCTGGATATTTTCACCTAAGCTGGAGTTGAATAAAGGCAACGAGAACTGCTAGTGGCTAAACACAGTGAAAAAATTAAACAAAAACTAAAAACTCCCATTTGATCAAAATGTTTAAAATATACATCAGCGACTTGCAGACAAGAAAAATATTGAGCTGACTAAAGGTTAGAGAATTTTGGCTTTTGGATATGGTAAAATTGCGAATAATCAGTATCTGTGTAAATGAATGGAGATTGTTATTACGAAGAGATTCATACCTTTTCAAACGTGGTGGTGGCAGTGCATGGATTTGATTTGGCAGAAATAGGAGCAGACTGGCTGAATTTTCGTTTCAACATGCTATTTTTAGCGTGACTAACTGAACTCTTGGTAGCATGATATTTTTTCACATTAAAATTGTTTTCCATGAATGAGGAGGTGAATGGTAACATGTCTGACTTTTGGCTACTGCTAAGAGAATCGTCCAGATTATACGCAGGTTTGAAACTATTTTCCGCCTGCGTGGGCAAAAGCCTTGGACAGGTATCTACCTCTCTCAGATCCTCAGAGGTAGGTCTATTTTCTTTGGTAAGATTACGAAGTACATCAGGCACTTCCCCTCCTTGTTTGATTTTCCTAGAACGTCTAAGAGGTTTTGATCCCTTCAACTTGCTCCTCTTTTCATGGCAATTGAGAGTTGGTGCGGTGGGACTACCAGGTGCACAAGTACTCACTTTTGAGGGTGATAAGGATTCTTGCCATTGCTGGACCTTAAAACACATAATAACAAAACAGGAAAAAATGAAAGAGTTCTTAAGTGCATAATAAAAAAAGAAAACAAAGAAAGAAAAAAAAGAAACAAAGTATTCTGAATTTTCGAACTTGTGTTTTTAATTGACATGAAATGATAGGGACCATAGAGAAAAAAAGGAGGTGTTTGCATTTCGGGAATCTTGGAATTTTTTTGATGACGTAGGTCGGCACAACGACTTTTATCATCGATTTCTTTGGAAATTGTGTAACTAATGGAAAGAAGTCATTCTGTAAAAAAAGCTTGAAATTATATCATGAGTTGGTTTAAGCAAAAGAGTAAAGTTGTGCTTTACCCTTTATATCAAGATTTTATTCAAAAGAGATTATTATAGAAATGATTATAATTGCCCCATTGAACAAAATTACTAATTTAACTTTTATCATCTTGATAATAGTAACAGCAAGATATTCATTAAAAATAATAATTATTATCAACATAAACAAAATAAATTTAACTATAAACATTAACTATATACATTATGGTCCGTTTTTCAAACTTCGAATTCCGGATTTCGCTGGCCAGGTTGTACCGACCTACGTCACAGAGTAAACAAACCTCAAGATGCAAACACCTCCTTTTTTTTCTCTATGGCTAGGGACTTTTAATTCAAGTCTTTTGCCACGTGCACAACTGCAGCTGTAAACTTAGCTGACCACAGCTCTATCATTTTCTACACAGAATGTTCTATGGATATCCATTGAATATTCAAAACATTCGCTGAGCGATTACTTGGATATCCCATGAACATCCATAGAATCTCAACAATTATTCAATGGGTGTTCTATGGATATCCAAAAATCGTGGATATTGTGCGGATATCCACAGCATATTGTGGGCTATCTGGGATTGGACGTATTTATGCTAAAAGAAACCATGTTGTATGCAAACCCTATGCACATAGTTCCCCTTAACATCCAAACGTCCAATTTTGATTTCAAACCAAATTACAATTTTTAACAAACGCATGCCACTGAATAAGATCTCGGCCCCATGCACTGGTGGTCCCCTCAAACATGGCGGTACTCTCAAATTATGCCGGTCAAGTAAGGAACGCTTGAAAACGATAAATAAAATATGCTCCAAAAGATGAAATTTCGCAATTCTTGAGATAGGAGACACACTTAGAGCTGCTTTGAAAATTTCTTTAACTCAGAGGGCTTACTTTTAGTTAAATCATATTAAATTCAAGATTTGGTGTGCTGAGGAAGAGTGATGACCACCTCTAAATCGGTGATTTTCTTCAAGACTAGGGTTTTCTGTCTGAAAAAATCCCACTCATTTTTAAAGATTTGCTCAAGGAGACCTTAAAGAACGACTTGAGAACATTTTGACACTAACTTCTGACTACAAAATTTTACTCCAATGTTACAATTTTTTTTAAATTAAAAACTCTTTCAGATAATTTCATGGTGAGATTAATGATCATTCCTGATTTATTTTAAAAAATTTCTTTTACTTCAACATTGGAGTTGGCAACACGTACCTAACAGGAAACTTGCAGTCTTTGAAGTCTCATAATTTGAAATATAATGATGGCTAATAATGCTTTATTTGCATAGCCAAACTCAGAGGTATGATTCCTTTCGCTTTATTACCTCGATTTTCAATTATTTTGTCTTAAGTTGCTCATGACCACAAGTGACAAGACTATCCTGTTAGATCGTCATATCACCTATGGGTCTTCCTCTATTACTGATAGAAAATATATTTAACATTATCTCTTGTAATAGCTGCGAAAACTTAAACAGTGTAGAAGCACAATGAAGTAGCATTTATTACGTAAACCTTTATGATATTAGCTAAGTTGTCTATTGAGATGAAATAGAAAAATAGTGTACTTCCTTCGGAAAATACACTAAAAGGAACTGCTAAAAGGAACTTTAAGCAGCTTTTTTGAGGAGTTCAGGGGTTAAGAAATTCCAGAAAAATGATTTTCACTCAGTATTAGAGCATTGTAACAATTAGAAAATGAATTAGAAAACTAGGCACAACATACGCATTGGTTGCGTTACTCATACGTTGCTTTACCAAGCGGGTGGAATCAAGTTAGCAATTTTTTTTTCAGACTTCCCACCGAGACTAAAATAACGCCACCGTATCTGAACGATTTGTCGATTGGGGTGTGTCTGGAATGAAAGAACATACATACGTTTCACTTGCCTCGCTGAAGCGGTAGATACATGGAGACTTGCCTACTGTAGTTTTCTTTATCTTAATTGATAATTTCTCAAGGGAGACTGCTGCTTTACTTCACTGGAGGACGACATGAACAAATTTAAAACTAGTTCTGCAGGAGAACAAAGGCAAAAAGGCTGAGAGACCAATAAAGTCAAGAAGGTATAGTAGATTAAATGAATAATCACCTTAAGGAAGGGGTCGTCTTCTTTTAAACCTGAGATCCCTTGAGAGGCAAGGTGACTAGACGAATCAGACTTGGAGAGACTTTGTATGGCAAGAGGCAAAGCTAACGATGAACTTTCCTTCAATGGACTAGGTTGAAGAGGTACGTATTGACGACTAAGATTCAATGATGTTGAGTGAATTTTGGAGATCGGATTCAATAATTTGGTGTCGGCAGGTGAAACGGATGTGGAATGATTACAACTTTGATTTGACTGATGGTGCGGTCCCAAATCGCTAGTGTCAAAGTGAGGTGACTTGGAATCTGAGGTGAAAACATTGCAACTTTGAAACAAGCGATCGTCAGAATCTGTTTTAATGGAATCATCTGAGTGATGAAATTGATCGGGAGAGAGTGACTCGTTGTAAAGGAGGTTCCCAAATCGGAGTGCATCATACTTTCTTTTCAGATGGGCATACTTCATCTGAAGACTTACATATTTTTCATGATAAGTGGAGATCAGTAAATCTTTCTCTAAGACTTCATTTTGCAGTCCATGAAATTTCTCTTTTACCGACTCTATAGTTTCCAAACTGGGTTTGCTGTCTGAGTAATTTAAAATACAAGGTTTAACTGTGTTTTTGCTTGGATGATTCTTACCACTAAGTTCTTTCATACTCTGAATATACTGCTTGACTTTACTTTGTACATGATCATACTTTCGACTAGAAGCATTATTACTTAACAAACTCACACAGCTAGCTGTTCGGTGGATCCCTGAATCTTTCGATCGGGTCTTGGATGAAGACAAAGAATGCGAAATTCTGCGAGAATCTGCATTGATAGCAAGTTTATTAGAGGGAAACTCAAAAATATTATCGAGGTCATGCAGCGATAATGATCTTTTAGTTTTCAGATGAGAGGTAGGAGGTACACCGCTCCATCCATCTTGAGCTATTTGTAGAATTTTGTTGATGTTGACGCCACTGAGACTTCGAGAATTACCATCCATTGGAGATGCAGGACAAGTGTGGAATTTCGTATTATTGTTGCTTTCACATTTCACTGGAGTTGAGCATGCAAGTAGGTCTGACTGCTTCATAGGAGACTGCAGTTGGCTTATGTTAGAATCTGTTGATTTCCACTGGTTATCTTTATCACCGATTGATGACCAAGATGAACTAAGCGATGGCTTTTCTTCATTGACGAGGAAATCTTCACTTTCTATAGACGTGAACATCAAATCATCATGGTTCATGGTGAACTTTCCGATCAGTAAACCGGTGAGTTTTAGGTCTGAAATAAAGAAAAAAACCTCGAGTTAGGTTTTAAGAGGAGATTCGAGGAAGTCGATGAGGTTCGAGACGGTCGAAGAGGTTCGAGGATGTCGAAGGGGTTCGAGGATGTCGAAGAGGTTCGAGGATGTCGAGGTGGTTCGAGGAATCTAGAGGAGAAAAATCATGGTAATCGGTGCAATTTCAAGGACATCCTTGTTTTGTATGAACATCAATGAAAATCTACAGGTCCCATACAAAAAGCTGAAGATTTCTAAGGGAAGAGGTGTGAATCCCATGGAGGTTCCACAGTTTCCATGCCCAACACTACGTATTTCTTGGCCATAATGCACAATGGACAGATGAAGTGGTTTTTGTATTCAGAATTATTGCAAAAATTCCATGTATCAAGCAATTTCATTCTGCCATTTTCGTAATTATTTATTTATTTTGCTTTTTCTCCACCTCTACCGTAGATCTTGTTTTTAGCAATAATAAGAGATTACTACTTTACCCTCACTAGGGTCTATTACAGCAATCCTTTAATTTGTAGAAAATACAGCGGGGCAGGGGAATTTGGTAATAGCAGTTAAGTAGACGTATTTCTGTCGAATAGCATTAAGTGCAATTTTCAAACTTAGGTATCAGTGGGGCAAGTTTTACAGAGACCATTGGATTTTCTTTACCAATGAACTGATATTAAATTTCTGTGGCTTGTTTGAAAGCTAAAGAGTTTCTCTAACAATATGAGTTGCCAAACCTCCTAGAAACACGAGAAATACGTGCACTGGGCGTGTTTCTGCTAAACGGGACTGTAGACGAATGGGAAAGTTGGAAGTACGTGCACTAGAAAGCTGCATAAGACACAATTGAAAAGTGGGCGTGACTCCCATTCGGGAATTAGAAAAGCGGGATTTTACATTCTAGCAAACAGAACAAACAATACTTAAGTGCCAACTAAATGCGGCACTCATGAGCCGTAGGCGTGGGAATTGTGGACAGGGCTCATGAGTTATAGCGGAGAGGGGGCGACCGCGGCGGCGGCTTCGTTGCCGCTAACGTCACTAGCGCTTTGTGGTTCCCATTCATTCTTACGGCCCTCGACTAACAAGCACACCCCTTCTTTCCCACCGGTATCTGGTTCCATTTTACAAAAATACGTCCAATTAACCGAACTAGAGGAAAGCTGTCATATAGTTCCGTTTGACTTACAATTGATCCGAAATCTGCGACACTGAATTAAATCAGAGGGAACTATGTGCAGACCAAAAAAATGGTCTGTCTCGATACCTATGTACCCCGCCGATTGTGGTGAAATTTGAGATGCGGTGGTACTTTCAGACGAGAAACTAGAATTTTAAGACAAATTTCCAAATTTTGAAAATCCAAGATGGCGGATATGACGTAAAATACTTTCTCGCCTCCTAATCAATTGACATTAGCAAAACTGGGTATCCTTGGACGGGAAACATGAATTTCTAGTTAAATAGAGTCCCTTTACAGAGTGAATTGAGACGACGCCGCGTATGGATGTCATAACGGGAATAAAAATTACACAAATCGGACTTTTTTGTCATCTCTGATCAACCCATTCCCGAATTCCTGTATCCGTTCTTTCTCTCATTCCATTTGTTCCTCGCTGTACGCTTATTTCCCCGGCCCATTCCAGTTTTATAATCGTTGCAATTGGTGAAAATGTAATCTTTATTCCCGTTTGTGACACTGTGAAGGACTAAAATACGGGCATAGAATAAAGAGACTAACGTAGTCTATTTACTCTATGATACGGGAATCAATCAGAAATGGATTCACGTAGTATTTCAACCCACATTAGCTAGAGTACCTATATTGAGACAGTACGTCCACTGGGCCCCATGGAGAAGCTTGGGACCCAAAAATAGCGGTGCGTTCAAGGTAGATTTACACAGGTATGGACAGAACTTAACAACTGGCCTCTGATTGGCTCTCCAGCGGCCCCTTAACGTCAGCCATTTTGAATGTTTTGATTATTTTGATTTATTATGTTCGGTTTATCGTTTGTCAAAATTTTGTGGGATTTTTTGCACAATTTTGATAATGCGATATCACTTTTAACGTTTAAACGCACAAACGTTTGAATGTTAATTTGATTGTAATTTAATTAAAAAACGGGCCCCTTAACCTACGTCACGTAGTCATGTGACACGTACTGAGGCTCATGGGAAATTTTCAACTTTTCCATACCTGTGTAAATCTACCTTGCGGTTCGTTGTTTTGGTTCACAGATTAGTCCAGATCGCTAACATCCAATCTAGCCAATGCTTCAGAAGCGTGAGTAATTTTGCTACAGGTTAGGCAACTTTAGAAAATTGATGGCACTACCAGTAGTGAAAGAACTTGACCGGATCGAGAGAAATTTCCTATTGAATCTGATTATAAAGCTTGAAAAAAGTATAAATAGTAATGTGTAATAATGGTTTTTGATCAAATAAGATTTTATCAAGTACTGTTATGCTAAGTATTCTGTTTCAATATTCTTACAACAGTTGGTAGCAATTAACTGCTCTCATGGGGGCCTGGCGGGAATTCAAAACTAGGAACCAAAAGTCTCATTTTGGCAGGATTTTGCTTTAATTTTCGGTTTCTAAGGCTTTAAACTTCAAAAATATGATATATTATAATCTGCAAATTTTTTCAATAATGTTATCTACTCAGTATACTGATGAACTCTGATTTGTTTATTTCCACCGATGAAGCACAAAAACATAGCTCAATTATACGAATAAAGAAGGAGAATTAATTAAAATACGGGTAAACAAGGCTAAAAATTATTGTACCACTTAAAGGCAGGACGTTTCGAGCTGCTACCAGCTCATTTTCAGCTGCAAAAACACATAAAAACAAGTAAAAAATTGAGTGACGACCTGACCCCAGCCGTTATTATGAGTGGTTACGTGATAACGGCTGAGGTCAGGTCGCCACTCAATTTTTTACTTGTTTTTATGCGTTTTTGCAGCTGAAAATGAGCTGGAAGCAGCTCGAAACGTCTTACCTTTTAGTGTTTCAATAATTTTTAGCCTTGTTTACTCGTATTTTAATTAATTCTCCTTCTTTATTTATTTCCACCTTAATTATTTAATCTGGAAATATTGAACCACATAAATTCTACTGAGAAACTAATTCTTGAATTCTTCGGAACGTTTCATCCCACAAAAATCTGAAAAAGAAGTATTCTCCCGCCGAAAATCTGCTGAAAATAGCCAAAATTTCAGTTTTGGTTCCTAGTTTTAAATGCCCATGGATTTTCCCGCCAATGGCGCTCACAAAGCTACTCACGCTCTTCCGCCGATGTTAGCGATCTGGACTAATCTGTGTTTTGGTTTTTGTGGAAGGGAGGGGGGTCATTGCCAACTTTTGACGGTTTTTACCAACCGCACTAGCACTTGCTGCCAACCTTACTATATCTAAGATAATTTTTCTCAAAAATTGCACACGATTAGCCTTAAAATATGTAAAGAAGTCGCAATATTGCATTTGGGTAAATTTCGCGTCAAATTAAGCAAAGAAAACTACATTTTGAGTCATTTTGCATTCCATTAATTTATGGCGTCCGCCATTTTTGGGTTCTAAGGGCTCCATTCAGCCTTAGATGGCTGAGCCAATCAGAGGTGGTAACACCAGTGGCCATACTCTCTCAATATAGGTACTCTAACATTAGCCATCATAGACTTTCCATTAATGGTAATTTGACCAGATGCCGAAGTTTCCCATCCAAAAATACCCTCTAGTACCAAGTTTCACCACAAAAGATTGAACTTGAGCCGAGATAGTATTTTAGGCCACTTCCGTCATCTTAGTCAGTACCTATTTGGGATTTTAAAAATTTGACTGAAAATTACAGTAATAGTTCAAGAATACCTTCTGAAATGAAGTATCACTTAAATGACTTAAATTAATTGAACAGGAGCCGAGATCAAGTCGAGATAGTATCATAGGCCACAACCGCCATCTTGGATTTTCGAAATTTGGACATTTGACCAGAAATTCCCGTCTAAAAATGCCTCCCCCCCCTTTTCTTCAAGTTTAACTACTATCAACCGAACAGAACAGGAGCTAAGGTAGTATTTTAGGCCACACCAGCCATCTTGGATTTTCCATTTATGAAAATTTGATCAGATACTCAAGTTTCCTATCCAAAACTAGGTGGTGTCTTCCAATACCAACTTAATGAACTTTCACTGAAAACGATTGGACATGAAACACGAGCCGAGATATTATTTTAGGCCACATCCGCCATCTTGGGTTCTCTAATTTGCCTGGTATTCAATTTTTCCGTCCATAAATACCCTCTGATACCAGTTTCACTATAAACAATTGAACAGGAGCTGGGATAGTAATTCCAACAACCGCCATCTTGCGTTTTCGAAAGAGGTGTTTGAAAAAACGGCCAAAAATGCCTTAAGGCATTCTCGAATTTTGAACACTTGGCAAAGTACACTCTACTACAGGTATGGACAAACGGGGTGCCGAAGTGGCAGCGCTGAGAAAATCGGCGATCGAGTGACGTATGAAGTCGTACCGTCCATTTGCCGCGTACCTATGTCTTCGCAGTCGTACTCTCGATGCTGTCAAATCTACGCGTTTTGACGACTTTCTAAAATTCCATTTGTCCATACCTGTAGTAGAGTGTACCTTCTACCTTGACACTTGCGGTGATACAGAATCCTCCGAGGCACCCAAAACCGGTCGCCGTTTTGCTTGGAAGCGCCGGGTTGCGACGTTGCCATTTTTTAAAGTGGAAACTTTTAAAAATTCATACCTCCGCTGCATCTCAACCGATTTCAATGAACTTTTTATAGAATGTTCCTCTTAAATAGAGCTATCTAATGGTGTATATTTTTCTGGGTTTACTTAGCTTTAAGGGGCACTTGCGTGGTATTAGCAGTTTTTGATAGACACAAAAATTTTGTTTTTATTTTACCACAATCGTGGAATCGACGGAATCTGAACAAAAACCAGTCTAAATGAGAGTTCAGGTTCTCACCTTTCTAACAAGCACAAGATCATTCCGGGGAAACGGGAAACCCCCGGAAAAAAAAGAAAAAAAGCAACACTATTTTTTGTATAAAAAATCTGCAAAGAACCATAAAAACGACCTAAGTGCCTTCCTAAGGTAAATAAAATCCAGAAACCTAAATTTCCTCTTATTTTGGTTCTAAAAACTCTTAACTATGACTTTTTATGTTTCAATATGTTTTCCTATCAATGTTTGACTGTAACTGAAAATAACTTGTAAGTTGAAAATATATATTCCATATATAATAACAACTTTTATCTCGACTCGTCCCGTTCTGAAGGTATAACCATGTTAAATTACGTTCTGTGCGTCAAAAAAGCAAAAATTGGAGAGTCATGGTAACTAATGTTCAATTATATGACTTTCAATGTCAGTTTGAGTGGTTATGTATAGGTCTTTATACAGGTTCCATCATGAAATGCATGAGACGTACTTTTTTTTGAGCAGCGTCCCAGTCCGTGTACTTATCTACGTCACAGCGTATCTTCAAGATGGCTGCCTTGCCACCACCTTCTGTATTTTCTCTATCAATTTAGTGATACTTCATTTTAGAGGGTATTCTTGAACTATTACTGGAATTTTCAGTCAAATTTTTAAAATCCCACATACTTACCAAGATGACGGAAGAGGCCTAAAATATTATCTCGGCTCAAGTTCAATCTTTTGTGGTGAAACTTGGTACTAGAGGGTATTTTTGGATAGGAAACCTTGGTATCTGGTCAAATTATCAAAAGTGGAAAATCTATGATGGCTAATGTGGCTTGAAATACTATATCAGCTCCTGCTTCATGAAACTTTATGACAGAAGGTACTTCTGGACAGGTAACATGAACCTTTGGTCTAATTAATAAAATCCAAGCTGGCAAATGGGGCCTAGAATGCTTTCATGGATCCTGCTCAATCGATGTTAGTGAAACTTAGTATTTGATAGTATCCTTGGATGGGAAACTAGAACTTGTTATAATTTCTAGCAGCAACCTTCCCGGATTACCAACATTTTTTCAAATTAAGAGAAAAGAGCAAGACTCTGGGACTTCTATTTTAACCACATCTCTGTTTAAATGCCCACAATTCTTGATCACCCATTTCAGTCATTTCTTGCGCATCCCATCACACATAACTGTATTTTGGTGACACGTTTAGCTAAGTATATTTTCCATCTCTTTCCACCATCTGCATTGCAACCTTCATGAATATTTAACCCTTGAAATAACTAAAAAATTTGATTATTTATCCAAACGTATAAATAATTAATGGTAAATTGACAAAATAACAAGTAGGAAGTATCGTTTGACAGCCTTCATCTGGATTCCTAGAAGTAGAATCAACTGGGTTACAAAGGTGCAGCGTGCTTCGCAATTTATTTGATTCTCCGATGCAAATTTCAACCTCACTGTATTGGTAAAACGCAAAAGAGGGCAAGAAGGCAATGTGACCTTCAAACAGTATATTATGCTGTAGCCAAAATGGAGACTGCGGTTTAATGAAATGAATTTATTTAAACTAAAAACTAACCTGATGTTATTTTTACTTATCACCGGGGATGAGCTGAAATGGCTGGGAAAATCATCCCTTCATTGTCACCTGCTCGTGGCACTCGTTCACTTGTATATGTTTCCACCGCCAGCACAATGCCATTTAATTTATCAAATTTGAAAGGTGAAATAATCCTAATCCGTGCGTTGAGTAGTTCCAGTTTGGCTGGCTTAGAGTTCCGCAAAATTAAATTCTAAAAATCGATTTCAACTCAATATTTTATCATACACTTCAACTAATGACTAATACCATGGATGAATATCTAATACCAGCGCATTATGTCAACATCAACAAAACAAAATGAATGAAACTGATAAGAGCAAGAGCCACAGAGATCTAGAGAGGTCCCCTGTCCCGGTGAGCATAGAATAAAATAGACTACGTCAACAGGAGCGCAGCTCCATGTGAATTGTGAACCAATCATATTTCTTCCTCGAGTCTGCCATCTTCGACTGACCTAGCAGAGTGCTGAGGCATAATAACCATAGAGTACAAATAATAACAGAGGAGAGACATGACATGACATGGATGGAAATGCAAGTGCTTGAATCTGTGGTGGTTGTTAGAGTCCCTTTAGTGGTTGTTATCAAACGCTTATCTAAAATAAATAAATATTTCATTTCACTTTATTCCTCACCTCTATGCTTCTCTGAAGTCACTAGTCAGTGCAGTGCAACTTGTTTGAACCGTTGAACGAGTGTTTGATTGGACAAATTATATGTCATCCCTTAATCTTGGTGACTTCTTCTTTTACTTAGTGTCTTAGGTAATCGCCAACTATTTTATTTTATTATTTCTGTTCTCTCAATCATTAGCAGGATAGTGTACCAGCTTTTCCCTACCAGTCTGCTGTAAGGCAATTATAACGGTAAATTCTCTCGCAAATCTCTACTTTTCGCCTCATGTACCTATGCATTTAAGTTTTTCCGCAAACTGTTCAGTAAGTAATTGTGCACTCCAAGGTGCTGATGTCACAGCGCTCACATCAAGCCTTGAACCAAAAAAGTTAGTAGTTGAGTGATCCATGCATAAATTAGAGTGAAAGATTACAACAATCATAATGCAGGTCTTTCATCCAGAGTAACTGAATCATATAACGAAATAAACTGATTTTTCAAAGTGTATCTTGAAATTTGAGCTGCCGATTATACTTCTTCAAGTATTCTATCACAGATGCGAGGACGAATGAGAACTACCATCAGCCAAGTTGGCAGTTATATACTTTCCGATTGCAAGTGGCTGCATTGTTGCGGTCCTACAGCATTCAAGGATTGACCGCAGGCTCTGCCAGAAGTAGATGACTAAAATGGTTGACTGCGTTTGTCAATCCAAAGTAAACTAAGTACTGCCAATTCATCTGATGCCAGTTCAGGAGTTAAAACATAACATCCATTGCAATAATTAAACTTTTAGCATGTAAACCAACCCCAACTTTTTACACCCTGGTATTGGTAGTTACTTAGAATTCTATCGTGGTTACATGGAATCTAGGAGTAAAACTTCGAATGTGTAGTTCTTTCCTTCAGAAAGTAAAGATGTATTTTGTTCAAAGTAACAGAATGTTTCTGTTTTTTTCTTGATGTTTTTACCCAATGCTAACCTGTTAATGAGAGAACAAAGCTCAAGGTCACAACTGAAAACGGCTCCTATTGTTGCTTTGGAAAACAACACCAAAATAACCTGTTTCTGAGGGTGTTTCGGTTGTTTTACAACGTTGTTGCCAACAATTTTCAAATGTTGGTTGCAAAAGTGAGCCCCACAACTTTAAACAACTTTAAACAACTTTGAACAAAATAGGACTTTTGCTCGTGTTCAGCAAATGCTGCGAGTGGTGTCTGCAGTGAGTGATCAATCCCTGACATGGAAGACTTCTCTTCAAAGCTTCAGTATGACTGGACCGCAAAAAAAAGAAAATTTTAAATTGATGGAGGTCAACTACTATTGGTATTACAGTTAACATGACCATTATTTACAACTAAATTCTCTTCTTCAGGTTCCAAGCATGACTGAATCATCCTTATCCAATTTGGGAGCAACTTCAGTCACCACTACCCTTAAGACAATGGATGTTACCGTCAAACTTGAGACGAATATTCCGCCTTATATTTCTAAAATTGTAAGTTCTCACTTCACGTACTTTATTTTTGTATCACTAAGGGTGTAAAAACTACCGTAACCCAGACTCCATAAAACTTCACCAATGAAGCAGTGAACCCCTGAATTTGAAGAAGTATTGAGACTTTCACCAGGACAAACTAAGAATTTATGGAATTTTGAGTGCTTAATTCAACATTGTGCACTCTTTGTTTTTTGATGAATTTTTTTCTTGGTCACAGTGACCGGATAACATTGAAAAATCATCATGAGTTCTCCAGGGTGGATCACAATGGCTCTGCCTTGAATTTCCATGGTTTTTGTCCTAAATAAAATGGTATGTCACTTCAAGTTGAACGTTCCAGTGGTTTTACCAATAGGCGTTCTTATGAGGCCCCCTCCCCCTCAAGTCCTGTTTTTTAGATGAAAATCACTGTGTAACACGTCGCTTGCCGTCACCATGAGAGAGTGCCACAGCATTTTCTATGGAAAATGCACGAAAATGGCAACATCAGCTGTTTTTATAGAGGCCTCTTTTTCATACATGAAAGGAATTCTTAAGGCAGAGGAATGGAGGTAAAACACTTGAAATGAACCAAAACTAAGATAATTCTGGGTCTTGTGATTTCAAGTAGGTACCTTAGTAATGAAGCCTTGGGTAATTTCATAAAAAAGTCAATGAATAATTTTAAAAATTAGTTTCCTGATATCGAAATGAGATAAATCCTCCTATAAATCCTCTATATAAAGATAGATAAATAAAAGAAAATGGAGGCATTGGCCATCCCCCAGCGCTGACCTTCAGTGATGGCAAGGAGGACCTGAAAAAAATCAGTTAAAATTCTTGGCGGATAACAGTAGATTCACACATCAACTGATTTCATGTTCAATTTCACCTACCTTTTTTTTAAATTCAAATCTCAATGGGAAATTGTGCAAGAAGTCCAAAACTTAGCAAAAACATTCCTCAAGGGCTGAAAATTAAAAGATAAAGTGGCACTGCAAAAATGGCAGATGTCAACGTTCGCCACGTTTACAGATGAGTCTGGCCTTATACATAGATTCTCATCCAGGCTAGAACGAGAGGTTTTAATGATAACTGGCTAGTGGCTATTCATTGGTTTCGGCATTTGTAGAGGCTCGTGGAATGTCAAAGATTTCCCCAATCAACAGTCTTTTTCCTTATTTTATATTGTCTCTAAATGAAATGGAAAAACAGCCAACGTTCCATATTTATTGATAAATATTGAGAAAGAACCGCTTGATAAATTGTTTTCTTGAAACACACTTTGTCACACTTCAGTTCCGATTTTGTTGCAACTTTTTTACTGTACCCTACGTCGAGGCTCAAAGGACTGGGCGTATCTCCTTATTTCTCTCTCTCCTCCATGATGTAGAATCATCGGTTTTTCGAGATCTGGCATTATTTTAGAGTTTCATCACCACCTTGTGTAAACCACTTAAAATGGTACGCTCATGAATCGGTTTCATCCTTTGTTAGAATATTTCATAAATAATCAACATCACTTTCAATTAAGAATTCTCAGAAAGATTCTAGTTTATCACAAAAAAGAGAGGGGATAAGGGAAGTGCACAGAAATTAAATCACTCATTCAATTCAATATTCTCTTTTTTCAGGCCTATGAGAACAATCCTGATGATGGACCCTCAGAGAATGGTCAACAAGTTGAGGAAGATAATTACTCAGATGGCAAAGCTATTAAACAAATCCATATTCTGGAAGAAGATGATAACCGTGAGTCTGAATTTTCATTCAGTGATGACCAATTTACCCTATATATCGGCAGTGAAGAGCAGGTAGAAGCTGTGATATGTTCAGGCAGTGACTATGTCTGCTCCAATTGCGGTGAGGTTTTCAGTAAAAAAGTGGAATTATTTCATCACAAAAGAGCAATGCACAATCTTGACAAGTTTCATCGGTGTCCAGTTTGCATGCGGTCCTTCACTCAGAGAAGCAACATGAAAGCTCACTTGCGTGTTCACACTGGTGAAAAGCCGTTCAAATGTGAATACTGTGGTAGATGCTTTGCTCAAAAGTCCAATCTCATCAATCACACTCCAATTCACACCAAAGAAAAACCGTATAAATGTCAGTTATGTGAAAAACACTTCATTCAGAAATCCAACTTGAAGAGTCATGTGTTGACTCATACAGGTGAAAAACCATTCAAATGTGATTTATGTGACAAATGTTTCATTCAAAAATCGAATTTAGTTTGTCATTACAGAATACACACACAAGAGAAACCTCATAAATGTGAAGTGTGTCTTCGGTTTTTCTCACAAAAATCTAATTTATCAAATCATATGAAACAACATGGAATAATTGAGACTCCCTTGAAAATAGAAACTAATTGTATGTGATAGAGTAGTTTAAAAACATTTTATCTTCAACATCTGCATTTTCTTTGTTTGTTAGGAAATTAAAACCAAAGAATATGTTAAATACCTCTTATTATGTAACTAACTTATATGAAAATACAGTAGTTCTGTCCACACTGTAACAGGGTGACTCATTTCATACCCTTTTCCCTTTTTAAAATGAGTGATGAAAATCTTTTGCTCCCCTCTGTTACGGTACAGGAACTTTTTCCGATATTTAAAGATACCAATATTTACTGAAGGGTTCCACTACGGTATCCCTCTTGATCTGTATCTAGCATGGTTTTCATTCAACACATTTTTCATTTCCTTGGAAGTGTGGCTGTGTTACCAAAGAGAACTGAAAGTACAAAAATGAAGTTTTTAGAGAATGGGCTAAGTACTGTTAGAGTGGAAAAAAAATATGTTTCTGCCACCAATCATCAGAAAAACTGTCAGAAATCGTTTGAATTAGTATAAATTGACGTATTTTATTTTCAACTGTAAAATTAAGGCTTTTTTCATTTTGTTTCATTTTCCGTTATATTTCCCAGTGTACCTTTCAAAATTATATCATTTATGGAGGTGAATAATCTTTTTCAAGGATACTATAACACATGTTGTAGCCAGAGATTGAAAATGAAATTTCATAAGGCTCGAATAAATTTCACAAAAGTTGAAATTTATTAATTTTTTTAGAATTATTGATTAAACCTTTGGAGGTCTGAAAGTGTTTCAGATAGTCTTTCTGTTGATGCTGCGGTATTATGCTACTCTACTGAAGGTGCCAGACACAAAGAGGGGGCAAAAAGGAGAGTTTAGAGAGAAAAACCCTAACCTAACCTCTAAACTTAACGAAAACATTTGTAACGCGCGAATGTTTTAGGCTTGTGGTGAAAAATTTCAAAATTTAGAATCACTGTTTCAGGCGTTTCTTAGCCTCCTGAATGTATCCCCAAAAGTTTCAATAATGTTATGAAATTTCGTGAAATTTCATGAAATTTTAACAAAGACATTCCCAAAGTTTCGTTTTTTTATCTCTAACCATTCAAAAGTTACCCCAGAGGGGCTACAGACTTTTAGGACACCCTGTATAACATCTTAGCTTTTGTGATTTTCAACTCGTCTATGCCAAGTTCCTGTAGAAACCTTTTTGAAGAGTATGAAATTTTGACATCTGTTACTCTGTACACCCAGGAGTTCATGCTTCTTGTAAATAAAAATAGATTGCTTCTTGTATTCCACAAGGATACTTCAGGATACAGGAATAGGAAAGCTCATGACATATAAGTTCAAAAAAAGAAGAATAAAAAGTCAATAAAGAATAACTGTGTTAAATTTTATAATAAATAAATAACTTTAAGGCGTCAAGGTTTAATAAAAATTGAACACATTATGAACTTAAAGAGTGCAGTCGGAAATTTTTTGAGAGGAAAGTATGTTATACCTAACGCAAATGAAAAAGAAAGCAGAAAAATTTGAAAAGAAAAAAAATTGGCAATTTCACTACTACAGTGAAGCTTTGCATTAGGGGGCAGAGGCAGTGAAAAAGTAAGGAAGAATGCAAGTTAACATACCCAAAACTGAAGGCTGAGGCTGAAAAAATACTATTAGCACAAGTTCCATTTTATTAAATTCAATATCGCAGATTATGGAACTTCTCAAGGATTTACCTACGTACAGTTTCACTTGTATCTTTCTTCATATACATTATTTAGGAATTTCAACAGCCTACATCATTAGGGGAATGCCTTTAGGGTCTCAAACAGCCATACAGATTCAAAATCGGCTCATTAATAGTTCTTGTGATACTTGCTCTACTGCAAAGATTGAAAATTGCACAGAGTTTCATGGGGGTATTTTCACTTCAAATGGGCGTATTTAAGCCTAAAAGGACCATTTAGTTCATGTTGTGTGCAAATCCTAAGCGACTATGCACATAGTTCCTTTCAGCATAAAGACGTCCCTATGAGGCTAGGGAATAATTGTTTTTCTTCTTTACTTTTGGAAAGTACATACAAAATGAAAATTCCTGTATTTTAATATTTAATGAAATTTTATCTGAGAAAAAGACTTTTCCAGTCGCCAGAAATCCAACCCTATTTCAAACAGGAAAATATCGCATTAAAAGACTTCGCGATGTCGGAAGAAGAATTGACTGTCATCCATCTATTATCTCGTAATTTTGAAAAAAGTACCTCCTCTCTTGCTTCAGTGAAAAATTATTTTAAGATGGCTTTTCTTTGTTTTCTTTTCATCACTTATGACTCGTCCATCTAGTTTCCTTGATATATGGGTTAAACTTGGAGGGCTCCTCTACTAGGACATAAATAGAGATTCTGAAACATTGCAACAAAGAAGTGCCCTTCTTGCACGCAGCGCCTCAATTCTTGTTTGACTTATAGTTGAGTATTTAAGGATTCGTTAGGATTTGATTGTTAGTTGTCTACTAAAATTCTCCGCCTCTTTCAAGACATTTATGATGACATAATCGGTAGGAAATTAATAATACTGATAAGCAAGTGCTAAGACAAAATTAACAAGTTTCATGATGACAAAAATAAGCAGTGACTGAGTTCAAACGGGGTGCCTTCCGGCTCAGGGAAAAAATTCTGTGACTTTTCCAGATTTATTTGGACAAAAATAATCGAAGTTTCTTGACTTTTTACATCAACAGTTTGCATGCAGCAGCATTCCCTGATTTCTTATACCTGATGAAATCCCTGGTTTTCCAAAACCGGAGACACCCTGTAGTATCAGAATCACTGGAAGCAATGAATTATCCACAAAAAAATAAAAAAGAATAGCAACAACAAGAATAAAAATACCTGTTCAAAATGGAACATTAGATAAACAGTAATTACTGCATTGGAGTATCACTATTCCTTTTTAATTTTCTTTGAAAAAGTAAATGGACATATTTAAGTAAAAAGGAACTATTTGCCTGGGGTTTGCTTGCGTGATAGTCCCTTTTAGCTAAAATACGTTCAAATATACCATGGCAAAGACATAACTTGATACAAATGAGTCACTCTAAAAATTCAAAGTGGTTGCCTTCCTGTGAGGCAGTTTTCCAATTAGAAACAAAGAACACAGAATGGACTATTTAATCAAAATCTTCTCTTTCCCCCTTTCCAAATTAAGTTTAATGGATGGAAGTACTGCTTCTGTTTTTCATTTTTATTTGTGAAAATATCACATGATAGCAGCGTAAGTTTTGCGAGAGTTGTGAAACGGGGATGACTCATCTGTGCAGAATTAGGTCTTAGAAACAGGACTCTAAAAAGTGCTTAAATTTTTAATGCAGATCGTGAAGTTAAGAGTGAACTTTCCGACCTTTCCGGTCTTAATTTTGGAGCCATTTTCCAACCTGATGAATTGGACTAAATTATGCAATAAAGAAACAGTATTTCTGTTCATTTCAGACACTACTTATGAGCCATTCCTTTCTTTATGCAGATAGGTGCTTTTTTGGATGAACTAGAAATACGTAGTGGTTCTTACTAGCAAAAGCATAAGTCAACTAATTCTCTTCTTTTGTCTGTTGTGAAGTTTGCAGCAGACTCATGCAGTCTGTGGAGTTTTTACTTTGCAGCAAATCTTTGGTTTAGAAGTCTTTTCCGGAAATTAATTGTAACATTATTTAACATTTTAGTACAGATCGTTAATTGAAGGCACAACGTAAATAGATATCTTCGTAAGAATATATAACATTGGTACAGTATTGGTAATAAACTATTTGAGTCCAACAAAATATAATCTCACTAGTATTTTCTCACAAAGTTAATAGATATAGACAAAAAATTAAATCTTATGTATGATAACTTGGGAACTATTTCATCAGTGTTTCAATATTTATTGATAGGAAAAGACTTAAGCATCTCTTTCTATGTGAAGGAGTCTCCAAAAAAAATATTAGTACAATTCAATATAGCTCACTATTCTTGAAGGAGTAAAGTATGGCAAGGCTTCTAAGTTATCCCATACTCTTATACTTCGTGAATAGATTGTATAAGACTCGTAGTGTAGATTTCAGGTCTAGGTTGACAATATCTGGAAAAAAGCAAAAAGAATTGTAAAATCAGTTCTTCATGAGTCAACTTTCATGCACCTGGTAGTAATAATTTTGAGATATTAAGATGTTGAACGCATTTCTTACACAAATATTTTTTGCTCCTACAGCGTGCTCTGCAACATCAAACCACCACATGAGCCCAAAGGGTTATCAAGCATGAACATTATTTTATTTAATTATAAAAGAAAATAATTGGCAGACTCAAATCTGAAAAGCTGAAACTAAAAAAAATTAATACAGGTGGTCCATCATATTTTTATCCTCCCAATACCTTTCACCGAAGGACTAAGCACAGAATACGGAGAAATTTGGCCCCAGCAAAATTTTGAAATTTTATGATATGAAGTTCCTTCCAATCTCCTGAGTAAGATGAGTTTTTAAAATCAAACTTTCTATGTGCCAATCTCGAGGAAATTTAGCCTGAAAAGTGTATATAACAGCAGTTTAACACCTGCTATTGTGTGGAGAGGTGGCACCATCGTTGAGTGAATGCAGAGCCTTTTGTTTTGAACTGAGTTGACTTGACAGTCTTATCTAGAGTACCTTTGTAGACAGAGTATGGCCATTCATATCTTTTTACTACAGGAAAACTGTGCTCCTTTTTGATTGGTCAACGAGTTTTTAGGCTTCATGATGCTCTTACGGTCGTAAATAAACAAACAAGATAGCGGCTCACCGTAACATTGATAAGAAGCTAAAATTTGACAAAAATTTCAATTACACGGCAGTAACAATTTAAAATAGCATATCTATGAATAACACATAAAAAACACATGAATACACTGTTAAATCGCCTGTATCACAGAAGGATGTAAGATGTGCATAACCTCAAACTTGCTTGCTGATAACAGCCGTCTTGTTCATTTATTTACGGCTGTAAGAACATCGTGTCAGCCTATTTTCAGGCGACCAATGAAAAACCGGCACAGAAATGGCCATACTCTGTCTATAAAGGTAATTTAGTCTTATCTTTCCGAGCAGTGCAAGATGAGATGACAGGAGCTTACCCCTAGAGCACCTGTATTTTGCCATAATGTAAGTAAAACTGCCTAAAATGAACTTTTCAAACCCGAATTTTTCGCGACTGGTACTTAGAAAGTTCAATTTTAAAAGCTCATCTTACTCAGGAGATCGTAAGGAACATCACATCAAAGAATTTTGAAATTCCGTATTCCGAGCGTAGTCTTTTATAGGAAAGTTGATAAGCTAATGTCTTTCACATGAAGTTTAAGATGTCATGTATTCACATAGAGTGCATTATTGCAACAGAATTTAAAAGTGTAAAACGCTGTGAGGTTTCTTAAAAAATATTCCAGTTTGGAATTGTTTCTGATCTCACCTTCCGGTCTGGCTTTTGGTTTTGCAAGCCCTATGTCCTGCATGAGTTTAAAAGCAAGGTTGACATTGAACACTTTTTGGTCTAAGTCCTGCGGGGCTAGGTAGAAATTATCCAATGGGACAAAAAATCCTTCCAGAAGTCCAAGTAACAATACAAGGAATACACCATCATGAAACTGTGTTTCCAACTCGTTAACTTCCAGATTTACTTTGCTCAGATGTTTGTTTGCAAATGTTAGAAGAGACTGAAACAAAACAAGAAATCTACCTAAAAAGAAAGGAAAAAGATTCTGAAATTTTTCAATGTTTTCTAGCTTTTTTCTATTTGATTACAGAACAAGGATTACAATGATTTCAGGGGTAGGGTCTTTGGAGACTCAGCTAAAACATCAATCTCACTGGAGCAGAATAGGCAATAAAAAAAATATTACATAGCTGTAATTAAGAAGTTCCGTAACTAATGAGAATACAATAATGTAAGTGATTCTATAATGACGACCCATTAAAAGATATCATGATTAACAAAGAAATTAGTGTGATTGACGGCTTAAAATTTATTTTAATAAGTTGTTCATGATTCTTTTGAGTGAAGGATAGACTAAATATTTTTCTTGAGATACTTCTGTCACAAAATTTGAGCTACACTAATACAGCATATTCATGCTTGGTGCCACTATAGCCATTCAAAAGTTTCGAATAGAAAAGAAAGTTCACAATTTGATAGAAAAATATTCTGCTTTTTTTTACAGTTGAGTGAAATTTTCCAGGTTTTCCCTGAATTTTCAAAAACTTGTCATAATGTTTGACTCGATCTTGCTGAATGTTGCGCACTCCACAGAGGACAGAAAATGAGATATTTACCTTTTTAACCACTTGAAGTTTGTCTGGGGCATGATCAAAAAGCGTATCAAATGCATCCCGTTCACATCGCATACCAAGATCATCGTACGTAGATGTTATTTGTTCTTGGACAGTTCGATGACACAAAGCTCCATCTTTTTTCTGCAAAAAAATTGACATTCATTTCATGTTTAAAAGTTTTCCGAAAGGAATGCAACTGATTCCTTCTTGGGTGAAAAATTACAGTTAGGTAATGAACTGGGCACTGTACAGTCTTGAAAAAGGAAAAGTGAAAACTTTCCCATTTCTGAGAACATTTTACTAATTCCCATTTTAATTTTGCTCTAGTTACAGAAGGAGGAAAGCAAATAAATTTTTCAATACTCCCATAACTATTGAATCCACAAGAATACATGGAACTTAGCTAAATGGCCTTGGCTGTAAAGAGGTATTTTTGAGATCTTTTCATCTTTTACAGTTCTTATTCAGGCTATAAGCAAAAATAAATAAGTTCTAAGTTATCCTCCACTTAAAATATTGCTGATCAAAGTCACAGTGCAGGAGATAATCTCATTTGATTAAAGTAAGGTGAAAAATTCAAATATTCATTGAAGGTTCCTAAATTAAATTGGAGCCCAATGTGAATGGCATCATCAAAATATTCAGGGAAAATTATTGTAGAAATGTTACAGTTTAAGTTAAAATCATGAAAAATAGAGCTGCCATGAAACTTCCAACGGAAGAATGTCCAAGGAGTGAAAACATGCACAAGCTTTCTAAGAATTGAGGACACCGCAAGAATAACAACCTGTAACTGGAAACCGAGTTGTGAGAAAAACACATTTAACCTTTTATATTTAATGGATTGCGCTGACTGTCCTTTGCAGGTACCTTGCTTTAGTGTTTTCGAGTGACCCAACCTTTCTATTGATAGATGCCAGGTTTATATTGCGATACAATTTCGGTTTTCACAGAAATATACTTAATTTAAAAAATCAGTTCATTGGCTGTAATTGCAACCAACAATCATTTTTGTTGAAGTTAGTAAGTAAAAATTGTCATAATCGCGCAAAATTAATGCAAAATGAAATTATACTAAGGCTGACTTTACAAGATAATGCCAAAAAAGAACCAGCATCTTCTCTCTTCCTCTTGAGCTTATAATGAATCATTTTAGTGATTGAACTTTGGTTGTGGTTCCTGTTTTAAAAAATGATATAATGGTGCGAAAAGTGTTGTAAGTTGTACAACCATTTACCAGCAGTCATGTTAAAAATGTAGCTTCTATGCGGTAAATATTTCCACTCAGAGTTTTTGAGGGCCGGTTCTACCACCTCTATGGCCATGAAAGGCTTTCAGCGCTTAGGCTGTTATTCTACTCATTGCTCCAGAGGCCTGACTTAAATCGGGAAAAAAGGTTTTTGACCTCCAGCCATTGCCAAACTATGTTCTACCTAAATTCGGTAAAGTCCAGGGTACGGAGAATCCAAAAAGCTGATAAGAGCAATAACAACCTATGCGCAAATAGGCTGTTATTCATGCGGTGTCCTCAATTCTTCTCAATTCATCTTACAAGTCATTTCTTCACTAATGGAGTATTAAAGGAAAAAAACCCTTCAATGGACCACTAGACAAGGTACGAATTTAAGCAATCTGATACATGTTTTTTAACCAAAATTTCGCGTAGAACATGATTAGCGCAACGATAATTACTGAAACTAACTCCTAACGTAGATATCAACGTTCTTATTTCACATGGGTAACGAGAAGTGTGAACTGCCCGCTCACATGAAACTCAAAGATCTACGTGAGTCAAATCGCGCACTACAACGGTTTCAGCAAGCTTCTCAATCGAGCAATGTTCATTTCCCACCATGTGTTGTTCAAACTGTAAGCAATTTGCTAAAGCTGAGCCAAAGCGTCAAAATTGAGGTTGCCAGATTTTTAAATCGCAGATGCTATCATGATAGCGTTTAGCGCTCGATGTGAATCACGTAGAGCATTGAGTTTTCATGAGCGGGTGGTTTGAATTCACGCATTAAGAATCATTAAATATCTTCGTAAGGAGTAGATTTCGGTAATTTTCGTTGTGCGCATCGTGTTTTACGTGAAATTTTGGTTAAGAAACATGTATCAGAATGCTGAAATTCCTACCTTGTCTAGTGGTCCATTGCGTTTTTTCAAAAGATGATCTGACCCAACACATTGAATTTAAAGCAAACAGAGGTGGTTCAGTCCCATGCCAGGTTGTTCAACACGGGCCGACCCAAAAAAAGCTACACTTCCACAGGTTGACTATTTTTGCATTATTTATTAGAATATTTTCAACCAAAAAATTTGGGATGAAATTCATGCATAGATCATCGATAGACAAAATTCATTGTTAAGTAAAAAATAAATAAATGAAATCAAATTAAGGCAGCTACCTGTACGACCAAAACACTGACTGAAACATTCTCCGGTAACCTCACAGGAGCTCGGAAATGGCGGGCAAGAGCTACCAATAAGTGGAGGATGGCAACTAAATTCTTAGAATGGACACTTTCGACACTCCACTGAAGCTGAGCCCAACGAGGATGACCAAGCGCCTAAAAATAAAACTATATAAATTGAAGCACATGATGATGTGTTACATTGGAAATCAAAGTGCCTAAACAAATTCTTGTGAGTCAACTTTCAGTAATCTATACTTCATTAGTATTAGAACAAATAAACTCCAACAACGTCATTGATTTTTGAATTGAACTTGATTTTTGAAACTATGTCAGCAGAACAAGACAAAATACCACCTTATCTTAACCATGCAATATGTTGCATTTCGATGTCTTATCAGGCTGCTTTAAACTTTCAATAATCGACCCGCAGAGCCATTAATGACAAAATAGAGCTGTTGAACACTTTGTTTCCAATTCATTTTTGTAAATACTTAAATACTTGGAATACCGGCATTGTTCTTCTTTTTCTATTTAATTACATTTTAACTGAGAAAACAATGTTCCAACTCACTAAAAATCGAACCCCATTTCAAACGGAAAAATATTGCACCAACAGATTTTGTTACATTAAGAATTGACTGCTGTGTATTCTTCCACCTACGTGGAAATTTAGAATCAGTCATTACATAAAAATGCTGTATTTGAAAGTGCATCCTTACTTTGTTAACTGCCGCTAAAACTACTCCTAGCTTTTGTTTCTGTCCATCCTCCGACTGAGTTACTTCTGGCACATCCAACTTTTCATATGTTAGTTTCTCTGAGAAAAAAGAAATAATACAAATTAGATTGAACTATTAATTAGAACAATCATGAATTGGAAATTCTTGAACTTTTCTTCAAGAATCGAGCCAAATACTTGATTCACCAAAAGTTATCTCCAGAAATTAAGAATGTGAAAGTCCAAAGTGATATTTGTTTGAATAAGAATATATGGACACCTGTGATTCTTTAAAATCATTGTATTAATTATTTAAGGAGCTCCTAGATGCGATCATACAGGCTTGTTAAAAGATAGCTGTTTTCTTTCGGAAGAATCCCGTTCAAATAATGAAAGGGAGGAGGGAGGTATTCAGGTCGGCATGAATCTTCAAAGAAAATTCATCAGTACATTTTTCTTTCTTTCTTCCTTTCTTTCCTTCTTTCTTTCTTTTAGATGCTAAAGCACCGCTTTAAAATAAAATTATTTTACTACTACTACTACTACTTTCTTTCTTCCTTTCTTTCTTCCTTTCTTTCTTCCTTTCTTCCTTTGGAGACCTACACAATTAACAGATCAAAAAATTTACTTTCTTAGTTTTTTAAAAGCTTATTTAAGTACTCACTTGGGCATAGAATCGCGCAAGTAAGTAAAAATGAGTTTTTTGAAGAAAATTCATGCTCAGAATTAAATGAAAACATAAAATAGTTTCCTTATTACCGAGCAATTTTTGAAGAACTTGTCCATCATAAAGGTCCTCTTCAATATCCTTAACAATTATCCGTTGATCAGCCAATTCATCATTGATCCATTCAATGAGCACAGCAATCAGCTCACGCAGTTTGATATCATCATATGATTTTGATTCCACCATTGATCTTTCTTCATTTTCACCTACAGATAACAAGAGATAAAAAAACAAGATTGATGAATATGCTGAGACAGATCAATGTCTTGAGCTCTCCTGTTTTCAAGTTTAGGCAACAAAATCACACACAAAAAAGCTAAGACTGGCTAGGACTTTTCGGAGGTTTTATGAAGACTTTCACCTGAAAATTGAATGACTTTTCCAGCGTTTTTAATCAGCTTTTTAGAAACATTCCCAAAAAGCTGATTTGATTGAGCTTCGGCTTGAGATGAATTGTTTGAAGATGAGAGATCACAAAAACATCTATCTGTACATACCGTGAAAAGTCAAAAAACATTCCCTTTAATACCAATTTATGGCAATTTTTGGATTGATTAAAAAGGAAAGAAATATAGGCCTATGATAAATACCCACCGATGTCATACTCTTCGGGAGGAAGATCTGGGTTGGTTGGACTCCCTGGAAGTTCTATGGCTAGTTTTCCTTCTTCTTCGATTTCTTGCGCTAAAACAAAGTGAAAAAAGAAAACTGTAAAGATGATAAAAGTTATTAAGTTGACCTTTCAGGCAACATGCTGGAAATATTATTTTGATGAAACAACAAAATATTTTTCTCACCCTAAGTTCCCGTTTTAGAAAAAAATGCCCCAGAAAATACAAGTCTAGAATTGCAAATAAATTTTATGTCTGATACATGACAGATCAAGTGAGAGGATTCATCGCCGAGATCAATTGAAAGTAAATGGTCTCCCTGCACTGTCGTGCTAAGTCAAAGGACATAAAACCTATGTAATGTTTTAAGTCCTCTAATTTCAAAATATGCTTCTGCTTGTTTTAAAGAATAAGATTTTAACATGGAAGCCAAAGGTTGAAACAGTTACGCCGATGTTTATGGAAAGTTACAACCTCCCTACAAGACTTCACATATTTAACATACTACATTACTTAGCTTTTCAGTGTAAGTTGGAAATGCAGCACTTACTGCTGACTGACTTGGCACAGCATTGTCGTCCTATCAACAGAGGGAGACCTGCTTGAATAACTGATCACTGAGACAAATATAGAACCATTTCACTTCTGTGTCAGATAAAATCATACTTTTAATACCTAAAACAATATTCTTGGCATGCCCTGATTCGACATATTGAATGGTTGAAGTGTGGTCAAGTATGGTCAAAGAACAAAACTACATATCACCATTTGTGACTTCCTGTCATGCTTAGATTTTTCTGAGGAAAGCTGGTAGCCGTTGATTCTTAAAAGTCCTCCTTGATTTTTTTCTGTGTTGGCAGAAAATTCTAAATAAATTTAAAGCTGTAATGTCGGCTTGTCTTTCTTTAAAAATAAAATAAGAGAAGAAATTTTGAATCACCATGATGGAGATACATGGTTTTCCAATTCGGCCATCGATTAGTGCTTGGGTACTGACGACCATCCTGGTATCCACTTCTAGTTTATGACTTGTCCAAAAGAAATTCGCTCCAACTTGCTAATTTTCATTTCAGAAAAGCGTGGACTGTTCCAGTTTAAGAGGTGCAATAGGAGAATAATAGAGCATTGTGGTATTGAGAGGCTACTTAGAGGAGTGGGTTCTGAGACTTGCCTTAAAAGGGCATGTCTCTGACCATCTGTCCCAAGTTTAATAGAGTTACTAGTGATGCAAAGGTAGATTACCTTCCTTGATTCGCTTCTTCCTTCCAAGAGTCCCAATCTTCTCCCAGAATGATTCATCTTTGTCACTTTTGATAGGACCAAGGGTTTTAGGAGATTTTGGTCTAGCAGTAGCCATGCTAGGGCAGCGCACGATAACAACAATGGAGAAACCACTAACACTGACTCACTGAAACCAAGGTAGATTTACAGCTACAACCTACAACCCAGATGTTTTCTAACCTCTAAACCAACCATAGGTATGGTATGGTCTGGGTCTGGCAAGGATGTATGGTTTGTATTATGTCCATTANGTGTCACATGACCTCGTGACGTAGGTTAAGGGGCCCGTTTTTTAATTAAATTACAATCAAATTAACATTCAAACGTTTGTGCGTTTAAACGCTAAAATTAATATCGTATAACCAAAATTGTGCAAAAAAATCCCACAAAATTATGACAAACGATAAGCCGAACATAATAAATCAAAATAATCAAAACATCCAAAATGGCTGACGTTAAGGGGCCGCTGGAGAGCCAATCAGAGGCCAGTTGTTTAGTTCTGTCCATACCTGTGTAAATCTACCTTGCACTGAAACCATGAAACCACTGAAACAACACACCAACACCAACACAGCATTCAGGATCGCGTTAGAGATAACAGTGATAACACCATCGTCACCATCGGAACGTACCGTGAGAGTGTGTTAGTGCATTTGGTTGTTATGGTAAATTTCTACACAGGGACCAACCTTTGGAACCAACGGATGGGACAGGGTGAATTAGTATAATAAAGTGTTATGTCAGACGAATGGTGCCCATAAGTAATATTATTGGAAATATTACTCTAGAGAAACATATTTTTCTAAAATTGGCCGCTGCCTCGCATTTCTAGCAGGAAATTTATACACTCCCCCCCCCCCCCCCNTACCGATCACCTTGAGGAATACAGTTGCTCCCGGCAGAAGAAGAGCTTCCACTAGAAAACTTCATTCTGGAATTTGATTTCCTCATTTTTATCCATAGGTTTTACTGAAAATCGGAGCCAGAGACAAGAGACCCTCCACTGGCCTCCTAGCGACAGGTGGAAGCTTTTACTTTCGGGGTTTCAACAATTCCTTATGGACAATTATGAGCGAGCAACAGTCATCACCCTATTTTCGGCTGTTGACTTACCTACATGGTCGATGATGAGCTTCGGATGACGTCATAAGCCAAACAACTTTCCCAAACGTCGGCCATTTTCGGCTTGTTTGCGAAACGAAACTGCCAACACGTTGTTGAACATCAACCATGTAGGTAAGTCAACAGTAGAATGCTGAAGTCCCGAAAGTAAAAGCTTCCACCATAGCCAAGTTACTAGTGGAGGGTCTCTTGTCTCTGATCGGAGCACAGGGTGAGACGCTACAACCTACAACCCAGATGTTTTCTAACCTCTAAACCAACCATAGGTATGGTATGGTCTGGGTCTGGCAAGGATGTATGGTTTGTATTATGTCCATTAGGGTCCATTAGTGTCAGTAGTGTATCCATCCAAGACCAAGATCCGATTATACGCTCATCCGTCTAATCAGACCCATTCTAATTCAGATCGCCTTCAGCCTTGACTATTTTATTTCAATTAACTGCCGTGGCCGTCCGTGGGTCCAACTTCATGCATCTACTGCTCTGTCAATGCTCAGTTGATGTTTCTCTCAAAGTTTCTTGCAAACCTGAGGAATAGGGCCCTCCATACCTCTCATCACTGTGTAATCCCTTTCAAACTCTTCTCACCCGTTAGATGAGCAAAAGCACAGGTAAGATTTTAGCATTAAAGTATAATTTAACTCCATCCCTGCCATTATGTAATGTAACATCCTCTGTTTTAAGGTATTTATCGGTGACTTGCTAGAGAGTCCGCCCTGTCCCATCAAGAAAAACCTCATTTTATGCATCTACGGTTGTAAATGTTAGATGATGTATGATGTTCTTGTTATAACTTACGCTTAAGTGATTCGATGAACGCCATATTTTGTGTCAGAACGGCACGCGATATATCGCATCAATTGGTTCCATTTTTCAGCTACTCGTCATTTTTCTCCAATTTTGAGATCACAATTCTGTTGTCAGGAGACTAAAGCACTCACTTACCAATTTTAACAGAGAAATTCAACTTACCTAATAAAGGCGTGGTTTTTCTAGAGAGAGAACATCGCAATCGATACTGATATCAAAACTGCACTCAAATGCGATATTTTCTCTCTAAAGAAACCACGCCTTTATTACGTTGAATTTCTTTGTTAAAATTGGTAAGTGAGTGCTTTAGTCTCCTGACAACAGAATTGCGATCTCAAAATTGGAGAAAAATGACGAGTAGCTGAATAAATGGAACCAATTGATGCGATATATCGCATGCCTTTCTGACACAAAATATGGCGTCCATCGAATCAGCTTAAGCGAAAACCTCGCTCGATTTGAGGGTATTCTATGAGAACCTTTGATAAAAGTACTCCTCGCAGAATTCTTAGACTCTTATAGACATTAGTGATTTTCATTTTGCCAGATTATTTCTTTTCTTACTCTGCCAGTGCCCTATCCGATGAGGGCCAGAAGCATTCAAAAGTGTGAGGATTCCATTTCTGAAGCATGTTTTTGTCAAGTAATTATTGGTTGCCTTGATGTTTCTATTTATTAAGCAACCACCAATTCTTTATGAAGAATATACATTGTGAATGATGAAGAAACCACAATTTCAATGCACTAGGATGTAGAGAGTTTACCAGATTTGCTCCTATCCAAAAGCAACTGTTTCTAATGGATCGGCTCCAAAAATTGCTGTATATATTCATTACGTCATACTTTCAACTTTTTCATTTACCATGTTTTGGATATACTGTTTGATAGCACCATGGCTGTTCCTGGCAACTGTGATTCAACGGATGCTGAAGATGGTGACTGGCTTCTGGAACTCTTGCGGGACATCCAGTTGGAACAGTTCTTGAGGCGTCTTCAGGATGATTTGCAGGTGAGCAATTAAGACACTAAATAACTCCGGCCTTTGGGCTATCTATACTATAAGCTCTCAAGCCTCCTAATTTTGCGAAACTGGTAACGCTTAGTTCCAGCGTTCTACAAAGCCGATTTTTATGATTTTTGCGGCTATCGACGGGCAATTGTCTCTAGATAAGCCAACTCTTTTCAGATTTTCAAAATATGGCCTAGGTTTTTTTATATTAAGTGGTAAAGTTGCGAATTCTCCCATTTAAACAATGTAAATTTATATTTTTTGTCATAGTTCGTTTGAGCGTTCTACCGGGCCGATTTCCAAGTTTTTTGCGGTAATCGACGGGTAATTGGCCCTAGATGAGCCCGCTCTATTCAGATTTTGGAAATAGGACCCAGGTTTTTTTACAATCACGTTATAAAAGTGAGTGAATTTTCAGAATGCTCCGAGACTGCTACCGCTATGCGCGGGAGGATGCGCAGTGGTCGAGGAGGTTGCGCAGTAGCTGGGTAGCCTGCGCATCAGCTCTACACTTATCTACTCAAGATTCGCCCCTACTTCCTCAAGACGAGCGGTAGCCGAGTCGTCAAAGACGTCGGAAGCGTCCACTTAAAATATGGTGTGGGTTCGATCCCCGTTACCCGATATTCTTAATTATTACCTGATTATCAATGTTCATTGTTTTACTGCAATATTTCATCAAGTAGTCATTCCAAAACGCGTCCTTTAGACTTCAAAAAAAAAAAATTGTTTCTTTATTCATCAAAACCAAAAATTATTTCATTCTAAAAGTAAAGTATACCTCATTTCGTAATTTTTTAGGGGAAAAATAAAACTAACACCGATAGGAGGGTAAAAATAGGGCTGCGAAGCGGCCCATTGATGGCGCGGAGCGCCTTCAGGGGGTTGGGCCGCGTAGCGGCCAGGGGGCGTAGCCCCCTAGTGTATTAATAATTCTGAATGGCACATAAAGTAAGTGTAAGAAAACGAAAAGGAATCTAGAGACTTACTCCAAGTTTCTACAAGTAAACCATGTCTCTTTGTTCCTCACCCCTGATCTCTAGATAAGTAATTTGGGGGAAAATGGAATTACCGAAAACATTACTTTCAGATTCAGATTTATTTATTCAGGAAACAAAATATAAATTTTTACGAAAATTACTATCTCCACCCTGAGCCTAGCTCGAGCTGTGGAGTAGAGAATTAAGCAACTCACAGTACAACTTATCAGGATTACTAATTTAATACCTTGATTGGCCACACCGCGACCACAAGAACAAATGAAGAATCATACAAAAACAACAAACGAAAATAAAACAAATGAACTTCAAAGCATAATGCAGGGTCACAATGGGCGTGTCATAAAGTGCCAAGATATGTGAATTGATATTCATACCAATGGAATTGAAAAATCCTGAAAACGCTCATAAACTCAAAGAAAGCTTTTTTTGGAATCGAATTAATGCAATCAGTGGCCCTGATCGCCTCACCTACGCCCTTAAATTTCTTCTCTAGGATTTGGAAGATGACTTTCAGATGGAAGTGTTGAGGCATCCAATCCTCAAGTTACTGATGAGAATTGGTGGTAGAAGTGAAATCCTTGTACCTTCCAACGGTAAAGTTAACAAATAAAAGGGAAGTGTTGCCCGAACTCCTTAAGAATCCTTCCAGCAAAAATTTCCCTTGTGTGAAAAAAAGAGGTTGTTCCATCCCCTGGGAGAGTAGGTTTTATGAATAATAATTTTTTGCTTGCAACTTTTGAACGGTTTATCATATCCACACAACCTTTTTTTAATTCTGAAAGTTAAAAAAATGAGATTTGCATAGAAAAAGATTTCCACAATAGGAAGTTTGAAAATTAACTTGTGAACGAGATATCATCTAACAAGAATTTTTAACACGAATCAAAAGGAGGTTAAATTATATGAGTGACATTATTTATGGTGCTCCCATTCAACCAATTTTTTTTGTTCACATTCATATCTTGTTTAGAAGTTGGTTTCAAGACTGCCAGATGTGTTCTTTATTTTTCTTGTGAAATTTTGAACAGAAACTTAGTTGCACAATGCTTTACCTAACTCATACTTTGTCTAGTAGCCCATCTTTTTTTTGAAAATTTCAGGTCACCAGACTATCCCATTTCGACTATGTGCAAACAGAAGATTTGGAGAAAATTGGCATGGGGAAACCTGCTGCTAGGAGATTACTGGAAGCTGTTAAGAAGAAAAAAACAGCCCAATGGAGACGTTCTTTACTGAATAAAATTCTTCCTGTTCAGCATAGCAAATCAGCAACTCTTCCCAAATCGTCGGATAGAAACCTGGGACTTGGCCTCACTTGTTTAATACAAGAGAAAGAAATCAAGTAACTATCCATCCAATAAGAGGAACTTTCTAAGGTGCTGCATCTAGCGATGCTGTTCAGTGTCAGTGCTAATTGAGCTGGGCATTAGGATGTCCTTTATTTTCGAAATTTGAGAATTTCAAGTAGGTCAATCTGTGGGAAGTATTTTTGTATTGTTGAAAAAAGTATTTTTCGAAAAAAAAATTCCAAAAATTTTTACTCCATACCTTTCTGTCTCTCGACCTAGCACTCTCTTCCTCCAGAAGGAAAGGATATCAGGTTGAAATGGGATTCGTTTCTGGTCATTTGAAGAGATAACTTGTGCAGAAGATGCTGAGTTATTGAACATACATTTTTTCGAAGCTTTCCTCAGGAGACAATTGCCTGCTTTGAGGAGCAGCTTCCAAAATCAGAGTGAAAAACTATGGCAAGCAGCAATGTGATATGTTCATGGATAAACAGCCCATATTTTCCCCTGAAAAATGATCTTTCTTGGCCAAACATTGGAGAAAAGAGTGAAATTGACAAAATTTTTATCCCTTGTTCTGTAGCTCGGCAAATCCTGTAGAACCTTACCAAAGGCCCTTACCCCTTGATGACTGCCATTCACCAAAGGACTGTAGTTTGTTGCGCCTGATTAAAACTTTCCTGTCACCATCGACAATATTTCTGTCTTAATGGGCTGTAAGTGGTATTTTTTGAGGGGATGCACTCCTTGCACAGCATTAATACACGATGCAACCTCAACCCCCTTCCCTTCCCCAACTCAGATGGCGGATAAAAATTGGTGGTATTTATTTTCCAAATAATCTTTGTTTTCCTTCATCACTGAGATAGAAAGTTTGTATTGTTAACCCACTTGAAATCGGCAAATTTAAATAATAAGGCATTTCTTGCATGGAGAACCATAGCTGCATTATATATTCACATTGACTCATCTTGCTGGCAAAGTGTTATTGAGTGTGATGATACAAAACCAGCTGAAAACTTGAATTTTTTTGGACATCATATGCTGCCTCTAATGCTCATTGAGAAAAACTGAAAAACTTAAGTGTAATAAAATTATCTGAGAAGTGTAAGAAAAACTTTAAACCCAATTGGTGGTACCCTCTTGGGAAGTTTCCTTTGTTACTTTTTTATTGTATTTCTATGTCGAAAAATTTTAAATTATTTTTCACTAATGGTTGAATTAAGGGCGTATGGTGCAATGTGCTCTTCTATGGGCAAACTTTTCAATTCATGCTTGAGATTTTCTTGTCTCACACACATCTGACCCATAATTTACTTCACATGGAGTGAATACTTGCAGAAATGTTGGGGCTTGCATTGTTCGGCACAGTAACAAGTTGAGACTTGAGAAAATGTGCTCGACCCTTGTGAAATGTGCAGTTCCTTTGTATCATAATTCTCAAGTTCGTACTTATATAAATTTTCACCGTTTCAGTAGGCTAGATTAGAGGCAAAACCGTGCCTGTGGTAATAAAGTTTCTTTCAGTGGTTCCTCTTTAATCTTTTTTTTTTTTTTGTATTTTTCAGACTAACCAGTAAATTAGGAGATGGCACCTTTGGTGTGGTTCGCAAAGGAGATTGGCAGCAACCTAATGGAAGGACAGTGTCAGTAGCAGTGAAAATCTTGAAGCAAGATGCTCTATCTTTACCAGGAGTGTTCGAAGATTTTGTGAAAGAGGTTCAGGCCATGCATGTATTAGATCATCCCAATTTAATCCGGTTTGTCCTCCTTGATATATGTTTTTACTGAAGTTGCAAAGACCATAGGAAATGAGTTTTGCCTGAGGGGTATTGGCTTGCAAGTGAATGTTTCTCATAGTTTTTAGCAAAGGAAACAAATTGAAAAATTACTGCAAGCTAACTCACATTAACTGCCAAATGATGCAATGAAAGCTGTTAGCTAAACAGACCCATGATGAGTTTTACAGACAGAAAACATAGACATGCAAAATTAAGATCTCCTGTAAATGAGTATCAGAGATTTTTACGGTCTCGTGAGTTAAGTCTGCGTAGTCCGTAGCGAGTCTACATTGTCATTGAAATCGGACCCAGTCTCTTTCCAGAGAGTTTGGAGCTGCCGCAAGTACCCCTACGGTCTCGCCTAGAGAGTGAATTCGATGAAGAGAGACTGATGTCGGTCTCACGCGAAGGGTAGACTCAGACCAGAGGGTGCGCACCCACTCACTGACGAGAGATTGCTCCTGCATTGAGTTCGTCCGTTTACTCGACTCCCAATCCCTGATACTTTATATTCCCTGTAAAATGATTTGCCTACAAAGAATAGTAGCCACCTCATTTTTGAAGGGGATAATAGAATTGGACGTACCTATGCAATTTTCAAACTTTTCAGTACAGCAAGTTTTGCAAACACCCTTGATCAGGTCTAATTCCAGACGAATAATGAGTTTATCTGAAAACATGTTCCAAATTCTTTTAACTATTAGGCTATCAGTCGATTTAAAAGGATCAGTCCCACCCTTCCAAGACAGGGTATGTTTTATCTTCTGGAGAAGTATTGCATGTGGGGCTTGGAAATCACAGAGTGACCAAGTTCCTGCTATAGATATATTGATATCAATTGAAAATTATTTGGATTCTCTAAAACCTTTCAAGGACCAATATTTTTTACAGAAACATGATTTTGGTGGTACATCATTCTTACGTTTCCTTTGGTTTGCAGATTATATGGAGTTGTTTTATCTCAGCCCCTGATGATGGTTACTGAACTGGCCCCACTGGGAAGCTTACTAGATTTCCTTCGTAAACAGTGTGGTCACACACCTCTTCCCCAGCTATGGGAGTTTGCTATTCAGGTTGCAACTGGTATGGCTTACCTAGAAACTAAAAGATTTGTACATCGAGACCTTGCTGCTCGGAATGTTCTGTTAGCTGCTCAGGACAAAGTAAGTTTTTGAATCTATATTTTGTTACTTAATTTTTTTCTTTACATACTGCTTTACTTGTTTTCATCCCGAATAGACAATGAAACTGAGTTCGAACGCCAAAGTTCTCTCCTGGTTTTATTCGTGTATTTTTTATTTATTTATTTATTTTTGTTATTCTATTGAAATCTACGCACAAACCCATTTACAAAAAAACTAATACATAGGTACGAAAGTGGCAGGCTGAAAGAATTAGAACACAGTAGACAGAAACAAAAGAGGTATGAAAGTAACAAAAAAGAAGTAAAAATGAAAGAGAGAACACAGAAAAGAGAGCATAGAGTACGATAATTAAACAGCAGCCTGATCATTCACTTTTCGAATCAATTAACCTTGATGGATAACTATTACATATCTGAAGGCAACAGACTTCGTCAGAAGGTGGCTACCACCATCCATGATTCTCATCTCTGGTACTTGAGTCTGTTAGAAAATGATTGATCCAATTTTCTTCAAATGCTTTACAATCATAAGGTTTGAGATCAATCATTTTACCATCACTCTACCGTGTGACTTGTTGTGTGTGGTCTCATGGGAAATGCTATTCATTGTGTTTTTTGTTGCCCAGGTGAAAATTGGAGACTTTGGGCTCATGCGAGCAGTTCCTCAAGAAGAAGACTGTTATATAATGACGGAGCATAAGCGCGTTCCCTTCCCATGGTGTGCTCCGGAAAGTCTTAAAACCAGGCAGTTCTCTCACTCATCTGATGTATGGATGTATGGTGTTACAGTGTGGGAAATGTTTTCTTTTGGAGAGGAACCTTGGATTGGATTGAATGGAACTCAAATTTTGAAGAAGATTGACAAAGAAGGGGAGCGTTTGGCACATCCAGAAGTTTGCTCAGATGAAATGTACCATTTGTTGCTTCAGGTATGAATTTTTAGTGAAGGCTTAAATACTGCACTGTTTATATGTATATGTTAAATGTGAACATGGAAAGACCAGAAGCACAGACCGCACAACACACAGAAACACCGAACTGAACTCGAAAAATTGCATCTTGATGTGTTCCAAGTGACAAATTTCAGGTAAGTAATAGTAGGTTATCTTGTGCAAGTAGAGTGGATGTTGGTCATTTCTCGTTCGCAGACAAAATCGCCGCACGGCGCAAACACGTCTCCGTAAAATTGATGCTGTGCAAAAACCAATTGATATTTTTTCAAAAACTAAAAAGGAGTGTACTCGTGAGAAAATAAGCTTTCTTACAAGCCTAAGTTTAGCTTGTTTGGAACATTTTTCAGCCCAAGGCGCCACCAGTCCGGGAACTTTTTGACCACTTCTCGCATCTGTTTTAATTATCTAGCGGGAACGAAACCCTATCATATTAAACAGCTGTACTGCATATTTTGGAGTCGGTGACACTGGAGACTAGCTTTTTCATAATTGATCTATTCATGGAAGGTAGTCTACAATTCAAGAATCCTAATTTAAATCTTGATGCCGTACTTAGACCTACAGGCAGACCCACAGAGACATCTGAAGGGGTCAATTCTGCACTGTTTCTCTTCAAAGATGCATAAAGTAATGTACTTTTGCCTACTTTGGTAAGTTCTTCCCACTGCTGGTACCGAATCATCAATATTGTAATAGCATACTGTTTCGTCATTTGTGGATTCATTATTTGTGAGGTTTTTTCTAAAACAAAGCCCTTTTGAATGATGAGCAACAGCTGTAAAAGCACAACACTTATTTTTGTGAGAGCAATTATTGATCTCTGTATTTCTATTGGATTATTTTTCTGTTCCTTGGCATTTGCAGTGCTGGAGCAAAGATCCACAGAAACGACCAACCTTCTCCTCTATCCGTGAGTTTCTATTAAAAAATCCATGTCCAGTCATGAAAGCAACGCAGAGTTTTGAAAAAGATGGTGAACCAGGTGTGCTTAGGATACAACAAGGTGATGCAATCGCAATCATCAATGGCCAGTCTGAACATTATTGGTGGAAAGGACAAAACCTCAGGACTTTTGATATCGGAAATTTCCCTCGGTAATGTAGCTTTCACATTATGTACCTTGCTATAATGGAGGTCTTTAACCTTTTCAGGAAGTTAGAGAGGCCTGCAGTACTATTTTGTTCAAAAAAAAAGAATATTAAAACTCTGCATGTTTGAATAATAAGAGAACATTTTTAGTAGTTAGATAAATGTGGAAAGCTAATAGGTATTTCAACAAGAATCCTTGCTTTCTATTGCAGGGTGTCTACCAGTCCGTAAAGTCTGGAAAAAGTATGCATTTTTTAAGGTCGGTCGGTAAGTACCTTCAAAGCATGTAAATCTCGCGGAAGGTCCGTAATTTTCGCATTTTGTGCTGCGCATTCAGTTCGATTGCCTGACAGTTATGCAACCCTCTGTGCGTTGGCCGTCAGGTGTGTTAGTCCAATGTCAGCCCGTAAGAGCGCGGATGTTGTAGAGGAGCAGAACAAGGCATTTCCTTCGATTTGACGGAAACAGCCGAAAAGGCCATGGGAATAGCGCAGTGTGAAAAGTGAAGCGCGCGGCAGTGCCATAATCGAAGAATTGTGATACGTCGCGAAAAGGTACTTAAAAAGTACTTAATTTTTCCCCTAAAAGCGTGTAATTATTAATAAAAGTATTAATATGTTCTGTAGATGTTTAATGGATCCTCAGCGGCGCAAACAGTCGGAAGATATCAGTAAGCCCCTTCAGAATTCTTTCATTCATACCGGTCATGGCAATCCATATGGGCGATCATGGGGTAGCCCCTCTGCTATTGATGAAGTTTATTTGCAAAACCCTATGGATCCACCTGATATTTTGGGTGTTTCTGTCAATGATCTCAAAAGTGAATCTCCCTCTGCGTTACCAAGTTGGAGAAAAGGTTAGTTTTTTAATGAGACTTAACACTTTTGTGACAGCATCAGGTGCCAGCGCCTGTCAGCAATCTTGACTTAGGGATGGTGTTTGAGAGCTAAATATCTTATTGTGAAATGATTATTCTATTCCTTCACAATTCACTGTCTGAAAGTTCCGAAAACCATCCAAAAAATTTTTCATAGTTCAAGTTTAAACTATCACAAGACTTCTGACGTCAGTTCAAAATAAGGAGAATTATGATTTGGAGACGCGTCATGTGCTGTCAGAGACATAATGACAAGCCCCCAATTTTGTGTGCCAAGAAGCGTCTCCAAGTCCAACAGGTCAAGATAAGTTATTTCAAAAATATTTTCGTTATTCAGATTGTTTCTGGTTGCCATTCTTAGTGAGGTAGAGGAATAATCAGCACATGATATTGCTATCATCTGCTAGATCTTTTCTGAAGATTTCTTTTAATGCCTTGTATTAAAGTTTTGAATAGCTATACTATTTTAAATTATAGATCTACTATTTGATGCATCTCTTGCACTGTGAAAATTTAGAAAATGTAAAACAAAATTTTATCATCAATTATAATGGACAGGGCTGCAAGCATTAAGCTTAACAGGAAATGTTAGGAAATATTTTCACTAACTGAGACACTGAGCCAAGAATAACGTCACCACTGGTGTGGGCATCTCTTGATAATGTTGCCTCATTCCCATATTTTTTAACCTCTAATGCATTTGCGCCATGATCGTAGATTTTCACCTTTTGATTTGGCCACTCGCAGCTTTGAATTTCTCACTTGTAGCGGCCGCTTTGTCTACACAGATGGGCATTATTTCATCCTTGTGTATTCTCAAGTTACCTTAGGCATCATAATGAGAATCTGAAGTTAAAGCTTCAATACTACATATCATCGCAAATTACAGTCAATGTGCTTCCAATCTAGAATTTATTCTGCAAAAACAAGTTTTTCTGCAAAATGTCCCAATGATAGCATAAAAGAAAAGGAGCCTTTTTGAAAAGTTTCTTTTTAAAATTCCGAAGTCCAAGGATGAAATATTTCTCACACAAGTTTTTTTATTATCAATGAACCGCTTTTATAGAAGTTAACTAGGAACTGAAATTCTTTTCTAGTATCTTTTACCTTAAACTTCATTATTTTTTAGCCGTGCTGTACATTGTGGTCCTAGTTAGAACCTTGTTAAATAGAAGAATTGTATGAAATTTTTACTCCACACAATGGAATTAAAATACTTTATCTGGGTTGCAATTCAATTTCTACCTTTCATTTTTTCAGTGCATTACCATCTAGCACCTCCAGCTAGCATCCAAGCTAAGAAACAGTTCAACTACCACAAATTAGTGAGCAAATCTTCTAGAAATCCCAAGCAAATTTTAAGACCTGCCCCTGGACGACCTCCGGATCCATTCTCTCCGAAGGAACGGATTAGCAATGAAGTAGCATCTCCGCTTATAGATTTCTTGGCAGAACCTTCAGTACCTGTTAGCAATCCTGTCTCTCGAAGTAATAGTGATGTTCAATCAATTCTAGATGAACCAATTGACATACCAGAACAAAGTAAGTTTTTGTTTCTTTCTTCTTTAGAGTTGTACCCACCTAGCAAAAATTTGTTCCATCACTGCTCTGTACAGTGAAACGGAGCTTATCAGCAAGGGCATATCAACTATTTGAGCCCCTTTCAATCTTAATGTAACACTGTGTGAGATGTGGAGTGATAGTTTACACTGAGAACAGCATCATTAGTGCAGAACGTTAAGATGGAGTGAACTTTTTAAACAGAGTTCTCCTTAAAGATAATAATTGCTGACTGTCACATCTATACTATAAGCTCTCAAACCTCCTAATTTTTTATTTCTTCCAACGCTTAGTTCCAGCGAGCGCTAGAATTAAGTGTTCTGTTGGGCCGATTTTCATGATTTTTGTGGTAATTGTCTCTAGATGAGCCCGCTTTATTCAGATTTTGGAAATGTGGCCCAGGTTTTTGTATATTACATGGTAAAATTGCGAGTTCCCCCATTTAAACAATGTAAATTTTCATTTTTTGTCTCAGTTTGTATGAGCGTTCTATTGGGCCTATTTCCATGATTTTTGCGGCTATCAACAGATGATAGTTCCTTTATGAGCCTGCTTAAATCAGATTTTGGAAATTGGACCCAGGTTTTTTATAATCACGTTATAAAAGTGAGCAAATTCGCAGAATGGCCTCAAACTTCTGCTGCTATGGGTTGCACAGTCCGCAATAGCTGAGTGGCCTGCGCATCAGCTCTACTTTAGCTATGAACATAAGATTCACCTGCGTACTATCAGGTCTGACGATAGTTAAGTGGTTTTAACTGCAACAATGGTGCATGAATCGATCTTTGTTATAATAAATCTTATTGAATATTGCGACTGACCGCGAGTATTATAATGATTTCTTAAATGAAACTTTGCAATGTTGCATTCGGATTAGTCCATGAGGCGCTTACTACTTCGCTCATGAAAATTTTGCGAGATTTGTTAAACGAATATCATCATGAAATTATGAATCTCATTAACGCTGTGGCTACAAAAGAGGGCCCCAAAGCAGCTCTTTGATGGCTTGGAGCGCCTTTAGGGGGTTTGGCCGCGTAGCAACAGGGTAGTTACATTATAATCTGGCAGTGAGCAATTTGCCCTGAAGAGTATGAGAGAACCTTTGCTGAAAATGTCTTCCGCTAGATAAATTTACGGTAACTTCGTCGTCATCTCTCTCTTTCCATTGAGGGATTATCTGTAGAGAACTCTAATAATTTTAAATTTGTAAAAGAATATAAATCTTGCCTCAGTTGGTACACATAGCTATTCTCGCCAAGAATGTGCTGCATTTTGCTCCTTTCTCAACATAACTGTTTCCTCCCTCCTGTTTTCAGGTACACAAGATAGATGGAGTGACAACAGAAGTTTTTCCAATACTCATCAAACGTACGCCAATTTTAATTTTGACCCTCAAAGTACACACGCCGCTCTGTTTTCTCAAAACGTGCATGAACCAGATCCATTTGATACATCTCAGATATATCAAGCTTTACCAAAAAGTTCTCCACAGTTAGAATCTGGAGCAACAGCAGCTGCTGAGTTCCCATGTAACACAACTAGTCGATACTACTCCAGTACATCACAGTCATCTCATATAAACTTCAATAACTCTGAGGCTGTTAGTTGCTCCAGTCAGCCACCAAGTGAATCAAGAACAAATGAGGCCACCAGCAAAAGTAGTAATGAAATCAATCTAAGGACAATGTTAGATCCGAAATTCATCGCTGAGTTAGAAAAAAGCCTAGGTCAACAAGAAGCCAGTGCTAATAAGAATATGAATAATGACATAAATACATGTAAGTCTCATTACAACATACCAGCCTTAAGACCACCTCCGTCATCCAACAGATTGCAGCAAATGGGGTCGTCAGCTGTGTCATCATCTCAAATACAAAATTCTTGGTCAAGTAAAAGCAATATACTCAGAAATTCCATGGACAGAGATCAAAGGCAAGAAAACTCCAACAGTTCATCTCCTTCTCATACTTTTGCTCCGGTGTACTCTAACACCTGGGCTCCCATTAACTTTGAAGAAGTTTCAACTGGACATGTCAATGGGATCCGCCCAACTTATGATTTGGCGAGTAATCTATCTTATGACACCATAGATAAAATTAATCGTGAATTTCAAGCTCTCAAGAAACTAAATGTAGAGAACCAGGTTTCGCAGTCAAGACCCAGAAATACTGTGGTCAGAGAGTCCTCTCAGAGTCATGTTTATGATCCTGTCTCATCATACGCACCAACGTCAGCTCCAGTGTATTATGAATACACAAATCAAAGTGATCAGGTAAATATTTTTTAATTCAAAATGCAGAATCAAACAGTGCTCTTGAAAATGTTCAATTGACCTTGAACTTGGCAGAGGTCTCTTCAGATCAAAATAAGTAAATCAAGTAATAATTATTTCTGCAATTGTTAAATTTACTTAGTCATAAGTCTTATCATTTTCATATTTTTGGATGATCCTGAAATTTAAGCTCAATTTGACACCTCTTTAAATCATCCCAATGATTTGAAACTTTGGCAAAGGTCTTTTTAGATCAATTTGAAGTATTTAAAGTATATTTTATGCCTGTGAAAGCCAAATTTCAAAAAATTACATGTGTACAATGCATTGCTACTGTACTTACCAGTAGTGGGGGGATGTGGTGTTAGCTGTTCATTTCAAGGCTGTCCTTCTGAAGTCTTTATTGAAAGCATGCACTAACTAGGTCACATCATAACAAAAAAGTTTTATATTCTGCCAATGTTTTATACATCCTGTTTCTTGCAATTCATTTTATGCTGTAAATTTTTACTTTTGTTGGTTTTTTAGGCTGCAATGCAAGATCGAATTACTTGGTTGGTGACAGAAGTTGGCACTGATGTGACCCGTGAAGAATGTTTACGAGCGCTACAAACAAATTGTTGGGACGTTCCTTCGGCTACTCGATTCATAAAAATGGAGCAGTTACTCAGGTAACTCAACTTTTTCCATTTTTACAGCAATATTTACTGAGGGCAAATTTGATCCTATTTCACCTATGTTAACCCTCTCTCAAATTTTCTCGAAGCCTTTAAAGGGACTGGCAGATTGATCTGTTAAATTGCGAATTTCATTATTTCCGAAAATTGCGGAATCCGTTAAATGGGGATCCGAAAAATTGAGGTGTTACTATATATCTTTCTAGAAAAAAATGTTTGAAGTTTTAATGGGTCTCAACCCTCTTTTTATAGGCATGCTTCTGCAACACTGCTGTGTTGCACCCATCAACTTGTTCTTTCTTAATCAGGTTATAAGAACTTGGAAGTAGGGCAAAATATTTCATGTTATGTTTTTCTTAAATCAGCCCACTTTTCCCTCGTCGTTTATTTTGGTCCTGTGCCAGGGCTTGATGGTGTATTTGTCATCTAGTTTTCGTATTTTGATGATATTTCATTTCATTTTGTTTTTCTTTTCCACAGGCTAGGTCTAGGTTCTCAATTAGAATGTAAAGCTGCACTAGAAGCAGTTGACTGGAATGTAAATCAAGCGGCTGCTAGACTGCTTGACCGAGAAGATAATGTCATGACTGCAAGCTGATGAAATAATTTTTCTCAATTTACTTTGTTTTGTTTTATCGTATCAGTATTGTCGTATCATCATTGTTTCAAATTTAAATGCAGGTAATGAGCTAAACCCTGTAATTTATCTCTATTCAACACAATAGTCAATGCCTACCCAATGAATGATCGAACTGGAAGAAACACTTTGAACTATAGGAAGTCTTTTAAGTATTTTAAGATCCCTAAACCAATTTTTTTGTTACTCAATCAATCAATAATAAGATTATATCTACAAGTAGGATATGGAGCCCTTTGGGGTTTTTTCGGCCCAAAAATCGGTCAACATTTGATTACTCAGGAACAATCTCTAAAACTTTTTTAACAAATTTTGCTTTTTGTTATCATCGAGACTCCAGTTCAGTTTTGAAATTACATTGCACGATAAATTTTTGCAAAATGAGGTCGCCCTTTGTGTTTTTGCTGGAAAATACATAGGTTGTCGCAAAAATAAGTGAACTGATGCTGCCGTTTCAAAAGTAGTGATATTGAATACATGATTTTAGTCTCATTTTGAAGATCAAAGTTTAAGCTGTTAATCGAGACCATGATCATTTCACTGGCTCAAAAAGCGATGAAAATATGACCACTTTGGTGAAATGTGAAGTGCTGCTGCTTAAGAGTTCATGACAGAAATGTTTTCTTGGGTAAGTTTTATCCTCATTTCCCCTACTTTCCAAATCTATTTGAAGGTCACGTTGTTCTGTAAGTACCTCATATCGTCCTTAATGCATTTTTGTTTTCAATAGTGCCAAATTCCAATCAGAGGTTTGTAGAGTTGCTCCTTTGAGAATTCATTGATAATCAGATACTGGAGCTTAGCTAGGATCCAGTGTTGGACGCTGAACACTTCTATTGTACAATACTACTTTAAAGCTGCACCGGAGTCTTTAAGTAAAATTCGATTTATTTCAACCTGTTTCGAGGCCTTAATGGGCTCCTGTCCTTCTTTCCTATCCTTCAGAAATACTCAAATATTAATAATTGAACTTGCCTGGCTGTATTGACGAACTATACATGATTTTTTTTTTCTTTCTTAGTTACTCAAATTACTGTAATTTTAAATTCTGAGTTATATGTTATTTGGATTTATGCTGGCCTGTTCTGGCTAGTTTCCCTCTATTAATGTTGGTTTGACGGCTGAATGACTGCCCACTAACAGGCAAAAATAGGTCTCCATTTTGGGAAACACTTTTACTGGAAAATACTTAAAATGAGAAAGTTCTCTCAACAGTTAAAATATATTCTCCGCCAGTTTTCGTCTATTATATTTATTTTCCACCTCTTTTCTCTGCTTAGTTCTTACCAGTACTCGAATCCTTTGATGTGATAAATAATTATTTTTTTTTTTTAGACAAATTTATTATACTTGTGCAATTTTGTTATTTCACTAGCTGTCTTTGTGATAGAAGGAAACAAGTAATAGCAAGTATTGTGTCATGCTGTTGATTATTCTAGGGAAACTTTGTCAATTTTTTAGACACTTCGATTACATATTGTCAAACAGTCTCTGTTCTTATCTTTTGTCTTGCATTTCTTTATTTTTGTTCTACAATTGAAATTATTGTTATCCTTTCTCTTTTTACAATCTCTCAAGTTTTTATTTCACTTATTAACCGTCACAAATTATACATTCTGTAATTGCAGTAAATTTTCGTATTGATCTTTTAATTAGTGATAAGACATACCTAGTGCCCAGAAAAATTCAGGAGCAGCCTAAATACATCATGCCAATGTTCTGAAGTCAGGCCTAATTACTCACAGGCGAGAATTTCATCTTTTCACACTCTCATCTGTCCAAATATTGTCAAATCAGATAGCAAAAAGAAGCACTGCGAAGGTTTAAAGGGTAGGCCAATCATATGTATGAGTACAAAAATTGGGTACCCTAAGTTTTTCGGGCTTATTTGCGCATTATGAACTTGGCTCCTCATTCGAAGTGTCAAAGAACTGAGAGACTGAGAGTGCAATACTTTTGATATGGAAGTTGTAAAAAGGTGGAATTATAAGGCATCAGTTTTTGAGCACCAACCCTTCTATGATGAAAATGTCAATTTTAATTTAATGTGCAATTTCGTGTTTAGTGAACTGAGCTTATAATTATTTCTCAAATTTGTTTTGATGATAGCAAGAGAGAAGTCAATTTTAAGTGTAGAAAATCGGAGGAACCATAAAATTATTTTGAGGTGTGCGCTTGCTCGAGTTTAGTAGGTACTTTTGTAAATTAGATGGCAGCAGAAATCTCAGTGGTGCCTCATATGATGGTGCACTAATGATCGGCCTGATAATTATCGTTAGGTGTCAAGCTCGGAGCCTCCGTCACCATTTTGCTTACCTGACTTTTGACTTGCTAGATTCTAGAGTCTGCATGAGTAGTTCAACTTAAACAGAATTCATTTTTGAACCCATTCAGAGCACTCGCCACGTTTCTGCAATACAAAGTTTTTTCAAAGACTTTTACATAGTCACCATCAAATTTCTCGACCAAAAACTTTTCAGAAACAATTATTTGCAGGCTAACCCTTTTGCTAAATTGACTCTTTGTTATAAAGAAATGTCTCTCGAAATAACCTTGATGCCTCCTCTAGCTTTATCGGTTCAGCTTGGAATTTAACTACCTGAAGCTTGTAAAACCATTTAAGTGCTATCTTTATTGCAACTTTATCAAAAATACAAAGCAACTTTCAATTGATGAGTGGTCAGTCATCCTTTTCTTCCATAAAGCAATAAAGAATATATTTTTTCAGTTTTAACCATTGTTTGTGTTCTAACTTCAGTAGTTAATTTTTGATTCTGACTCTGGGTCCACACTAATCTGGAGGGAATTCAAGGCTAAAAATTCCAAAAAGTTTCCTTGGAGTAAAAACTTAGACTATAACGAGTTTCATTGCAAGACTAAGGGGAGAGTGTTCAGTTTAGGCAGATACATTTCAATATGAACGCTGAGAGATTTATACCGATTTGGGTCTTTATAGACAATTTAGAAGACAATAATTCAATTTTTCCACTGTAATAACAATTTGGGCTTTGATTTTGCCGCAAAAAAGCATGGACCCAGCACTATTCTACCAGCCTGATACTTACAGTTCCGGCCACTTTTTTAGTGGTTTTTGCTTGTCAGCAATCAAATTTAAGTTTTATCTCCCCCCCCCCTCAAAAAAAAAAAGAAAATTGACACAAAATTATATCGCAATGCCTGTGTTTTATGACGTTTTTGCCTTCAAATTTTTTGAGGCAGCCTTCACAATGCTGCTCACATAAGACAGCTTGATGGTTTTATTCTATTTTCTGTACCTACATAAAACACACAGTTTACAGTTATCTTAGCTAAAAGTGTTGCATTTAACAGTCTCCCTCTAATAGAATAATGTGTTTACTAGTTCCATACACGAAAAGTATTGCCGCCTTCATATTATTTCCCCCAATCAGATGCCTTCTCATCTCAAAAACCCCTTTTCGGCACCTTTACATTTTTATCTCAACCATTTCAATCATGGAAGGTTTTTACCTCTGTAAGCAACTTGAATGCATTACTTTAACAAAAAGACATTGAAAATCAATTCCTCAACTTTCAATTTGTCCTAACTTAAAGATAAAAGGTGCCCAAGTGGGTATTCTGGCCGTTATGAGGCTAGGAAAAAGTTTTGGATGTGGCACACTACAAGGATCAACACAAAATTCCAACGGTTTCTACTTGAATTTAGGACTTGAGAGAGGAGTAATTGATTCTAATGTTGAACTTTCCTTTTTCCTACACTGCAGAATGAAAAAAAAAATCGGATATTGATTGAACTTTGAAATTTCTCCCAGAGGCTAACATATTACTCGATGGCTATGAATGTTTTTCTCCAGAAACCTGATGATTTAAAAAAAAAAAATAAAAAAATACCCGATCAATACTTAGAAGTACCCCAAAAAAGATTACCTGGGGGCCTGAGGGAGAGCAGATGGAGTTGTGAGACCAATATTTTCCATAACCTTAGTTTTAGAACACCTTTCATGACTTAAAATAGTTAAAATAAAGATCTATTCACAAGGGCATTTTGGCATGCTTATCTCAGGATACATCCCCTTTAAATATTGCCTGTGAAAGGCTAGAAGAACATGAGAACATGTTTGTCCGTAGCAGCAGTGATGATATAAAAATTCTGTAAATATTCTTATTCATACACTTTTTAATGTAATACATTTGAACATTGCTCATAAAAGGTTAGAAGAACACGTTTTTCCACAAGTGCAAACAGAATCAATAAAAATAAAAAAAAGGTTCAAAGAAATAATAAAGCTCAATTTTTATATTCTTTGGTGGAGTGGTCCTGCATACAATAAAATCATGTACATTGAAGTTGTTGTACACTGGAGAGCCAATAAAGTCTTTTTGAAGCTGTTGTGTCCAGTACTCCCGAGAATAGCGCATGACTGGCGATGCTGTATGCGAGGGTCCCCAGCTCCTGGCTTCCCTTTGAGTGGTCAGGTATAAAATTCATTGCATATAAACCAGGGATTCCGTATATTTTTAATAAGTGATACTTTGGTCAGAATATTGTGCAGAAATTCTTGAAAATAGCTATTGGTTTAAATTGATGAATTCCGAAAAACACTTGCGGCCTGCGATTTTTCCATGAGCCACTGTGTTAAAAAATTCTCCATGTTTCACCCTTCCGACAAACAGGAGATAAATGCACGGATTAAGGATTGACTTCAGCAGCTTTCCAATGCATAGCAACTCTAATGTGCTCTATGAGTAAATAGTACTAAAATGCTTAACTTTTAGAAGACTTTGGTAAACACAGATTTAACTGTTTCGTATCACACTTCACAGACCCTCACTCGGTTTGTTTTGTTATGGAAGAATAAGAGCTTGTAATATTTTTCTTAGCAAAACTAGGATATACAATTTCAAACTTAAAAATGTATAAAAAAATTGAATTAGATGGCAAAAGTTGTACTGATATGATATCACCTACACTCATGGAAGCTTGCACATAATTTTTGTCGGTCAAAAAGAAAATGACGACTCTGACTAAAATCTCACCCCATTCTCATTAAAGTAAACTGAAAGATGCAAGTAATAAGGAAGAAAGAGCACCTAAATTCATAAATAAACTAAAAGAAAAAGAATTGACCATTGAAATCAATTCCTGTGATTTAGATGTGATGTGTGATTAATTTCTTAAAAATTTAAAAATAATTTGGTGGTTTTGATTGCAAAAAATTCTGTGGGAAAAATCTAAACGCAAAATTATGATATATTTTGACAGGAAACCTCAACATCAAAGAGGAAGACTCCAAAAATGTCTTTAGAAAGTAAAACAAAGGTTGATGGATAATCTAGTAAAGCCATTTCAGCAAGCCTGTCTTCCTTCTCTCTTATCTTTCATCATTTCTTGCTCTCCAGAGTTTAAATGTTAAACAAGGTTGGGAGTTACCTTCAGTTACTGTTTTTTATTCTTTAGCGATAGTTTCACAAATTTTACATCGTAAAATATACTTTTCCAACCACTGAATGAAGGAAACATATTTGATACAAGGAGGTGGCAAGTATACTCGATGCAGTTAGGTGATGTTTTTTGAGAGGAAGGAGAAAAAGGAGTAGAAAAAAAAAAGGAATAAAAACCCGTCCGAAGCAAAATCATGAACAATTTAAATTTTTGTACCAACAAGATTTTTATTAAATAAGGTAACTGATAGATGCAAATGTATATGTTTTTTGCAAAAACAGGGGTAAAATTCGTTAAAAAAAAACTTACTTGGAGCAATTTGAAGCCTGTGCTACAATGGGCATAATTACAAATAAAATAATTTAATTGAAGAGAGGAGATTAATTTTTTTGGCAAGATTAGAAATGGTGAAAAATGTTTCAATGGGTTAGAATAGGTTACAAGAAGAAAATTGGCTAAAATGCAGACAAAAATATGTAGGTAGACGCAAAAACTTTCGCTCCGGCAGTTAAGCAGGAATAGTAATGTGACTATGATTCTTGCTTCCACCTATGAGTCGCACATCAGACTTCCATTACTAAAAAAAAGAGAAAAAGAGAGAGACTTAAGAGAAAGGATAAAAAATTACACTGAATGAATCAACTGATTGGATTCTTTGAATTCTTCAACGTTGGATTTTACACTTAAAGCATATTATATTGCGAGAGCAGAACCATGTTGATGTCAGGAGGCTGATGCGAGATTGATGAAAAAGAACTGGAGAGAACTATCATGTTCATAAACGATTGCAAACATATAGAGCAAAATGCTTCAGCAGCTATGATTGAGCATCATTAGTGCCATGCAATAAAAGCCCACCTGAAAATAGTTGTAACTCTAAAATTGATTTTTTTCCTAAAGCTAATGCTTTACCCTTTATATCAAGATTTTATTCAAAAGAGATTATTATAGAAATGATTATAATTGCCCCATTGAACAAAATTACTAATTTAACTTTTATCATCTTGATAATAGTAACAGCAAGATATTCATTAAAAATAATAATTATTATTAACATAAACAAAATAAATTTAACTATAAAAATATGAAAAGAAACAGGCAATCAAAGGATTAGAAAAATAATTCTTCTTATTCCATCTGTAGTTTTGGGAAACAGAATATCATGATTTATAGAGTTAAATAAAAATGTGATTTATCTGTCTATTACAGAAAAATTAGTTCCACCAAAGAGCACATCATCATACTGATATACATAAACAGATACTTTTTTTAAAATTAAAAACGGCTTCTTAGGGGAATTCACGAAACTGTTAAATTTGCAGAGTCAAAAATTCAAAAAAGAGGAGAGAATCTCCCTTGAAAGAATACATGCAATAATGAGACATCCAGTTCAAAAATTGAACATTGAATGAGAATTCACAAATTAGACAGAGTTTAGGCACAAACTGCAGGCGAATAACTTCAATTATTCGAAAGTAATCATGTTTTTGAGAGGACAAGTTAGCAGTGCTGCCATCAATGCTGGGCTCTAAAGTATGGTAGAACATCTCACTAAAAAAATTGAAGACAATCAGAGGGGATTTGACTGTTCTGGGATTTGACTGTTCTTGCACGGTCCTGTTTAATCCACTCCATAAGGAAATTATTCATGATTAAGATATCTTACCTTCCGTTAGATTGCACTACAGCTCTTTCAATAAAGTTGATTTGGCACTTTTAAGCTTATCTAGTCTTCGGTGTAAATGCATATTAGATGTTTCTAATTCTTCTACCCTACTCTGAGCCTCTCTTAACTGAAAAGCAAAAAGATCATTGAAAAGATGAATAATTACAAAGGAAATGAGAGAACTCTTAAGAAGACCACATTTGGTCAGATGATGAATTAAATGCAACTACAACTGTGTTTTGGAAGTATATTCTATAAAAAAAGGAAATCAAAAACAGAAAATGCGCCTCATTGTAGCTCAATATTGGAAACACAAAGGCATTTAAAATAAAAGTTTTAAAATTGAGAAAAGAGCGAGAGAGAAAACAAAATCTCTCCGATTTCCAAGAAAAAAAACTCAAGAGTAAAGTTTCGAATGGCAAGGTAAAAAGATTATGCAAAAGAGTGTTCATCAGTTGATACAATCCCTAGAAATTCGTTGATGGACGAGTGCACTAAACAAGAGATACATTCCCTGAAGGCACTTTAACCCATTCCCTCCTTTATTAATTAGGTGGCCGCTTAAAGATGATTAGCAATGGCAGGGCGAGAATGATCGATTATCAATATTTCCACATTTGAAGCTATGGTAAAGAATCGATTATTAAGGTGTTTGTTGCAAACACCCTCTTTTTATCGATTCTTTACCATTGGTTTAAATGGCAGATTAATCGATATATCGCAAAGCACACCACGTCACAGATGAGTAATCCTGTCTTCTCAGTATTGCTAAGGTAAAAAGCATGAGCCCAAATTGATCTGCCGATCTGACCACTGTACCAACTCTGCTCTACAATTGAATCGACGTATGCGAAAACGTCCGATGTCCAAAAAATCAACTTTTGGTAAACCGCAAAATACTGCATACTTTGAGATAGTCCCTCAAGAAATTTGTTCAGGACTGCCTGAAATGCATGAGACTGATTTTAATTATATAGAGTAAGGTGAAATTTTTCATCTTTAGAGGGTCCAGAACAAGAATCCAAATTTGCCCCCTCGACAAATCATGGGAGCCCCCCCCACCCCCCCCTCCCAATCGAAAAAACAGTAAAAAAATCGGCTATTTTCTCTCGTTGTTCTGTTACCAGCTCACGTTACGAAAACCCCCTAAAACACAAAAGCAGTAAAAAATCAGCTCTCGTTGATCTGCTACCAACACTTGTTTTGAGAGCAGAACTTTCTTTCTCACCTGATTTCTCACCTACAAGGGATCTTTAACGAGAATCCAAATTAGCCGCCTCGACAAAATATGGGAACCCCTCTGAAACCCCCCCCCCCCAAAAAACAAATCGAAAAAACGAATCAATCTAGAATCCGTTATTTTCTCTCGTTGTTGTGCTACTATCGCACGTTTTGAGAGCGGAACTTTTTTTCTCACCTGGGTTCTCATCTATAGAGATTCCTAAACGAAAATCCATAATTTCCCCCTCGACATAATATGGGAACCCCTCCAACCCCCTCCCCGAGCCCCCACCCACTGTCAAAAATTGGTTATTTTCTCTCGTTTTTCGTTAACTCTGTCAAAAATTTTACGGATGAAAATCGCGCTCACTGCAGGGTTCTAAAAAAAAACCCAATATTTTCAAAATTTCGTTTTTTAATGGTTTTTTGCTTGTAACTGTATTTCAGCAACTCTTTAAGGTAAAGTTTATCCTTTCAAATAAAAGTAGATTCAAAATTCTAAAATTTCGAGTATCAAGCTTGTCCATAGAGCGTAACGAGACAGTACCCCAGCGTTGCCAAAGTTACCGTCTCAAAAGGCGTTTTCCGGGCGGTGTAGTTCACGCAAACACTCCACTCTCTTCCCCATGTAACAAAAACATCGTACCCCAACCTACCCCATAGATGCCCTTAATCGACTATGCTTAGTTTATTTGCCACCAAGTAAAGCGTGATAATAATGATACCCATGTACTTAAGGAGGAGTTGGATCAGCATTCTGACGGTGTAAGTGGGCAATCACATGACTTGGTTTGCGACATCATAGACTTCATGTCATAATTTATTTTTAAACAGAAAACTACTAAACGGCAATTCTTCGAAACTGCCGTGATTTTTCTTCTCTGTGCGAAAAAAATTCTGCAAAAACTTGAGGGAATGATGTCAATTTGTTCTCCTTCAATAAACTTACATAGAGGCGGAGATTTTCAGACACCGCGAACGAGTCATATGATTGCGGACTTACGTCATCGATTTGCAGTTTTGCAAAACCGCATATAAATCCCCGAATGACTGGACTATAACTGAACATCGGACGTTTTTGCATACTTTAAAAGTTCGACCCCCTAAATGGGGGTGAAAAACCCAAAAGTAGGTCAAAGCCATCTACACACAGATGCACCTATCCTCAAAGATGACTTTGAGCCACTAAAGTCAAAATCCAAAAAAATGGACATCGGACATTTTCGCATACGTCGATTCAATTCCACTTGATCCTTTTCATACAGTGGTACATTTTTTCATATAATGAATAATGTCATTTACACCTGGGCTTGGCTAAGGTTTTGCTTTGTTTTTATTGAATAATCCGCAAAAGAGGATTCTTCCTAATTTTAAGTTAATTATCTCAGCTCATGGAGTCTCCAGTTTTAGTGCATATCTTCTTGACAGTTGGTTCCCTTAAATTTCAGGAGGATGTAAACTTGTACATTCATGAAATCATGTGGCTTAATGAAAAAAATTGTCTTACCTCTCTTTGTAACTTTCGTTTTTCTATTTTCAATTCATCTTCAACTTTTTCTGATGTTTCCGCAGCCGATTTGTATCGAATTACTTGACTTTCTAACCGAGCAACCTGCAAAATTCCAGAGAAAAAATTTCCCCATCAATAGAGAGGTAATCTCTCTTTTCATTTGAAAGTACATGCAAGTTTCTACATACCTCAATCAGTAGTATGACTTAACTCAGAGTTCTTCGTTTCTGAGCCTCTTCAGTTCACATTTCATCTAGTGTTCAGCAAGGCAGACACTATCTTGTTTCTGGCTTTCATTAATGATCTCACCGTCAACCATAAAGGTGTGAATGCTAACCATTTTTCAAATGATGTCAAGTTTCATGCTATTGACAAGTTAGTCCAGAATGTTGTATTATTTCAGATTGCTTTGGATACCATTAGGGTTTGGGGAGGGAGGGGTCAAGCTTAACCTGGCAGTAGGCTTTAATTGATGTGAAGCACCCCCTTCTTGGAAAATTTCGATAAAAAATGAAGCATATCGTCTTTGTAATCCTCAAGAGGGTAATTTTCTTTTCTGATTCTAGAGGCTATCCATAAATTATGTAAGGCAAGTAGAAGGCAAACCTCCAGTCAAGTAAGCTTCTTGCTCCGAAGCTGCCTTTTATCCTGATTCCTAATATCCTAATTCCTGGCAGGTCAATTAATCCCCTACTCCCATTAGTTGCATTTAAAAAAATAGGCATGACCAATAAAAACTGCATGATTTGGTTATGCTTAAAATTTACTGTGAAAATGTTGGAAATGCAAAAATAAAAATTAATTGAAACAATATCAGATGCAAAATTTTGACTTTGGAAGAGTTTGCATAAGTGTGAGACGATCCGCAGCAAATGAAGGTCAGATATTAAATGAATAAGGAGTATCAGAAGAAGTCTAACAATAAATTTGGTAAAATGAAGCCAAGAGGTTACTCACATTTGCTTGAAGAGTGGAGACATCTTGCTCAGCTTTTTGCCATTTAAATTTATACTCCCCAAGTAATTTGTTGGCCTCTCCTACAAAAGTAAGACAACAATTTTCATCTTATCATTATTAGTACACTTTGAAAATCATTACAATCATTTAAAAAAACCATTGAAATTGAAGATAATCTTATCCAGATGAGGAGTGAAATTCAAAATGTTTGTAATACTTTTTTTTATTATTATTATAGACTTATTATTTTTAAAGCACATGTTGACTATGTGGAATCTAAGGCTTTGAAACAATTGCATTTTATTGAATAAAATGCACAGATCGCAAGAGCGTTCAGTCAATGGTTGTACTTCATAATCCTCAGACTTCGCTGATCATGTTGTAAGTATGCATCCCTTGCATGGAAACCTCATTTCCAGGTAGACCTCAGAAAGTTTACTAAAAGACACCACTACTTATTTAAAGTAACTGCTATTACAGAGGGTTGGCCTGCATTAAGGAGCGATCATGATTTTTCTGAAATTACAGGGTACTCTGTAACATTTTAGCTGATTGTGAGCCATAGGATACAAAGCGCAGACATGTGATTGCTTACGGACCAGCACAGCAATGCACTGGCATTGAGCAATCACATTTAAAGCTGATTTAAAGTCACGGCTGGAGCAAACTATAGTGTTGAGCCTGCAGTTTCACATGATGAAATTTTCATGACTAAATTTCAGTTAGGATCAAAGATATTGTAGAAGATATCTAACTAAAAACAAGGTTTGGTCAGTATTGGACTGCAGTCACCTAGCCCTCAACGACAAAACCTGATAAAAATTACTATGATGAAAAAGAGAATTTTGAGTTACGTTGAGCATCCTCAAAGTCTAAGCCTCCATCAGTTCCATTCATGCTTTTGAAGCCCCTCAATCTTCCTCGTTCTTCTTCCAATTCTAATTTGACATGCCTTAATTCATCTAGTAGTTCGTCTTTTTCTGCGGCAAGTTTCCGCAACCGGACATCTACAAAAATAAGATGAGAAGTACGGTTAGTGGGGGTTTGAAACATGGAATCTTTAAAATTACAATCCTACAGCATCTCAGTTACGACCGAAAAAAGGAATTAAAATCTTTAGAGCTTACTACTTAAAAGTAACATTGCAACTCTCAACAGCATGGTGTAAATTATGTTTGACTACACTTTATCCGGCTTTTTTAAATTGAATTATTACTCTGTGGCGTGATGTTGCAAATATTTATCAGGGCCTCTGGTTGAAAGACTATACATGGACTGCAAAAAAATTTGATGCCAACTAAACCCATAGACTTTTAGGTATGGTGTTCCTTGCGATCTTTTGAGTACAATGAGCTTCCAAAATTAAACTTTTAACATGCCAATCTTGAGAAAATTGAGTCTAAAATATGCATTTTTCGGCAGTTTAAGACGCATAAATGAATGGAAAAATGGATATGATCGCAAAGCGAGCTTCTCTTTCCTCATCTAGGTCCGGCAAAATGAGACTGCTCATCAACTTAATTTAAAACAAAAGGCTCCACATCTTTGACTTAGCATCGGTGCCACTTCTCCGCAACATGCGTTAATTTGCCAATAGATGCACTTTCCAAACCCTATTTTTTTAAGATTGGTACATAGAAAGTTCGTTTTGAAGAGCTCATCAGGAGATCTAAGAATATCACTTCAAAAAATTTCGAGATTTAGCCGGCGATAAATTTTTTGGTATTCCATGCGTAATCCATTGGTTTACTGTTTCAACCAACATAGTGACAAAATGCCACTAACTGAGGGCGCATTCCCCCTAAAACTTCAATTGATCCCGTACCAAAATCAGAGGCAAACTAGCTCTGCCAGATGTAACGATATATCACATGCAATTCTTGGGAGGATAATTAAGAAAACAAGGAAGCTGATATCTATGCAAAGATGTGCCAACTTGGATGCGTATGCTATTACCTAGAGATGATCATTAAGGTTGGTGAGTGATTTACGGAACACAGAAATACACAATTGAATCATTTTAAAAAGCTAAGGGAAAGTAAATTGAGGTCAAAACCTAAGGACTTACCTAATGATCCTTCTCCAGCTGAATTCAAAAGCTCTGCAGCTTTGATTGACACCAATGCCCGTTTTGTTGATTTTTTTGTTCTTTTCCTTTCATCATGATTATTGACAGGATTACAAGAGTCTGTTGAGCCATTTTCTAGGCCGTTTACCTCTCTGAGTCCTTCGTCACTTTTTTCATCTTCAGATGAATATTCTCCCCCGACTATAGTGAGGCCTTGCTCCTGCAATGTACAAATTTTATTTCATGCTTGTTAGTTTTGCGTTTCCTCAGAAGGTAAAATGATGAATATGGTAGACAGAGAACTCATAGTGATTCACTTAATGACCCCGACCAAATTCCTTCATATAATTCTGTAATCTTAAAGCTTCACTGACCCTCTCTTACTTTCTTATGTCGCATGGGTAAAGTGGGCTCTACTAAATTGTCTGAATTTTTGATGTGTTGCAGAATCCACCTCCTTTAAAAAAAGTTTCCATACGACTTGAATCGGTAATTCAAGAGAGAATCATTTTGGCTCCTAAATACTCCATTTTGGATCAGTCTCATGATTTTCTGTAAAATAGAAACTGTTAGGGGTGTGCTCAGTTGATTAGGATGAATTTTTGATAAGATGCAGGTCTGACCTTTCTGAGTAACAGTAAAATAGAGAATGGGTGCGCAAACTTAAAAAAAGAGGAGCTTTGGCTCTTAGAATATTCTATTCTGGCAGTATTTCACAATTTAATAAAATATACTTATGATTGCTGTGAAGAGTGAGCTCCATTAGTTTACCTGAATTTTTGATAAGATGCAGGTCTGACCTTCGTGATAATTAATTGATTCGTGATTACATTATAACAATTATGACATATGATACTTGATGATGAACAATTATCAATTGCAGTTGAAAAAAAAATATAAAGAAATACAGAATGTAGGTAATGTTAATTCAATAATGATAATAATACACAAAAAAAAACCAGAAAAAATTTAAAAGCAGGAAATTATCTAATAAAAATCAATTCAATGACACCACTTTGTAAAGGTTTGCAAAGCCTTAGGCCATGAAGTCACGTGTAAAGTGGGTGACCAGGAGTGCAGAATTGCAGGGGAAATCCCCTGCCTAGCTGTAAGTTCGTGCTGCACGTGCACTGAACAGCTAGTGTTGATAAAAAATCAAAATTATTAGATCAAAACTAAAATGTTCAACAAAATTATGCATTTCACTGCATGTATTTTTATCAAAATTCAAAAATGACTAAATTTCTGTCAGCTGGACCATCAAACAAGAAAATAGTGCTTACTTTGGATGAATAGATTCAGTTATTTTGTACTTTTTTGAAAGATGCCGGCATCCATTGCAAGAGGGAAGCATTTTTCAAAGGGAGGGCATATCAATCCAGGTGTCATTTTGGTGTAGCTTTGTTATAAAACAAAAATTTTAAAGTAAACTGATCTTTCAAAACAGTTTGCTTAAAAAATTTTTCCTGTGACCCATAGACCGACAAGGCATTTTGCTACAATATTTTGCCTCCAAACAAAATAAAATGAGACATAAGACATACCTTAATTAGACTATCTCTTTCTTCCAGTTGCAACCGGAAAAACTCCAGTTCTCCTTGCACTTTGGAAAAAAGTCTTTTTAACTGTTCATGTTCTCTACACTTATCTCTATGCTCTCGCTGGATAGAAAAAACAGAGATGAAACACAGAATTAATATGTGATTGAGACTAAAATATCAGATAATGTCTTGTTTTTTGGTTTGAAAATGAACAAGAAACCAAAGGGGATGAATAAAAGATTCAAGTTAAATTAGATTCAAATTACTTTCAGTTGACAAGTTCATAATTGCCTGTCACCCAAAATTTGAAAACTTAAATTTCGTTTTATCATCTACATTATCCCTCAAGTACCCAGTCTTACTCAATATTCTGGAAGAAGTAAAGGCAAATAAAAATAATGGATTACTGAAAAAAATGGTACGAGGTTTCAATACAACTGAGTAAAATTGATTTGGAAAATGAAAATAAAAGAAAACAAAATAATACCTGTAATTGGGCATGTGACTCCTCTAGTTCTTCAAATTTATCTTTAAGTAAATCTACTTGATAAGAGGCTGCTGATTTTTCATTATCTAATTGAGCATTTTGAATCATTGCTTTCCGGAATCGATCTTCAACTTCTCTGAATTCCTGCTGAAGAACAGATATAGATAACAGTATAAGATGAGTCATAAAGAGTATTCTATTGTGTTTGAATGACTCGGTAGAGAGGCGCAACACTACTGCAATTTTAGTGATTTTTACTCCTTCAACCCTCCTTTTTGGGACCCTTCCAAATAGTTGTCCTTATAAAAACCGCCTAGGTCCATCATCACATTCACAAGGAGCATTGACTTATTTACATACTGTATAAATGCCTCTTTCTCACTAAAGAAGCTCAACAAAGGCTCATATGAAAGCTAATGAAATAAGCTCCAAGTTCCTGCAAATCGTAGTTCAATATTTGTGATACTTTACTCAAAGCAGGCCAACTCTGAATTCCTTTGTACATTCACCCAGGTCCCACGCATCGCAGGTTCATTGTATACTCCTCCAAAATTAGAGCTGAGGATATTTCAAGCAGCTGTCAGAAAGTGTTAACCTTGAAACACCTGATTACTCACCCTAAGATCTCTGACGCCCATGCTATCTTCCAACGAATCTTCAGAAGATCGCCTACTAGAATGATAGCTATTGTTCCCACCGGTTGAAAGAACTGATGCTGCCCTAGGAGATGCGATACAGGATCCAACACGAGTTGATCGGTTTATTACATCTGTGAAAGAAGATAGAAACTGAAATTAGAGCAACTGTGAAACATGATTTTTTTTTGGTCACAAAACACAATGGCGCTAGTTTGTGTGCGAGTACAATGACTGCAAAAAAAATTTAACTATCAATCTCAAAGTAAAGTTGAACGTTTTGCCCGATGCTCCTCGATCCTGTTTTTTTTTTTCTTTTTTTGTATGGAGATATGGAAAATTTCCATCTATATGTGATCTAATATATAAAAAACTGAGGATACATGCAACTTTAAATCCTTCAATTTGCCGTTAGAGCGGTTTTTTGTGATTTTTTTTTAAGAGTTTGTAAAATTATAGTGAAACTACCCCTGTATAGTAAAGTCACAGGAAATATAGAAGTGACGTAAGAACTGTGTTTCGAGAATATGTTGAATTGGTTGAAAAATATATTTTACGAATTAAAACCCTGAGACTTTTAATTATTTAATTATATATATTAGTATTGTTATTCTTTCATGTTTTATTTAATTATCCCTAACCAAAAGGAATCTTTTGGGCGGATCTTTCTGTTGAAATGAGAAATTATTATTTTCCCCCTTAAAAATAGGATGCTTGAGGCGCTTCCAAGGTTTCGACCAGACTCGAATGATCATTTAACATCGTCCACTTTTCAAAGGCCAATTTCTTGCGCTTCAAGGTTGATTTAAGCATGAGATTAGGAGAACATAACTGCCACGCCATTTCTCATTCTCTTGTAAAACGAATCCAAAATACAATGAAACGCTGGGATTTCACGCCGATTTTCGTTCATCTTTTTGCCTGATACGAGAAGGCACTTACTGGGTTTTGAATGTCCCCTCTTCAAGAGGGCTGAGAGCGTAGGTTGAACGGTAGTGTGTATGTGATATTACCTGTGGTGGCGTAGAGATCGTAGACCTTATCGGCGTTTTCCTCGGCCTCCCGCTGCTGCCGCTCTAGTTCCCGCATCCTGATCTCTCGGGCCTCCGCTCGAGCTTGACGCCGGGCGGCCAGTCGCGCCTCTGCCTGCAACACACGACGCACACAATCATTATGAAGACTCGATAATCTCAATTCTTTTCTTGAATAGAACAACCGTGCAAAACATTCAGATTCTAACATTACACTTGGATCAACACTAGTTCGTCCATTCAGAGAAGGGTAAAAACCCTCTGCTAGCCTCTCGGCGACAGGTTTTAGCGGACAGTACCTACCACATTAGTACCCACTTGACCGAATTTCTTTCGGTGCAGATTTTGGTGTCATGCTTCCCCTAGCAGAGATGGTCCTTGGTTGAAAGAAAGATTTCCACATACGTAAGAGCGGAGTGGCGAACCAGCAACATACTTTAGCAGTGAAAATAAAATTTCGATTCTACTCGCGAAATGCGGAGACATAAAAAAAAATAGCAAATAAAATTAAAACGACGATGGCGTGGCTAAACAGGGGATTTTTTTTGCTGCGTATCAGTGGACTATTTTTTTTAAAAAAAATTCTTTAATTATTTACTGTTTTGGTGTAAATTATACGAGCTGTTCAAAATCACCCGTACTGCCGCAATCGCACACTGAATGTGGGAGCTGAATGTGGCTTGAATGTGGAAGTCATCGGCCCGATGCCTGAATTTTGCGCGTAACGCGCAAATTTCAGCAACGATTCTCAGCAACCGTCGGACTAATGTTGAATGAGTCAGTTAAGTCATTTTTTTTTATTGTGTCATTCGAAAGTGGCAAGTGACCGAAGCTTACAGTTTTTTTTCCCAAATTTTTTTGATGACTGCAAACGGGAGAAAAGTTTATTCGAAAGTGCCAAAAATTAGGGTGGCCTAAAAATGGCGTTTGAACTGCGCGCTCGTAGGCTCCGCATGTACACGTCACGATCAATATGGCGGCGGAATGCGTAGTGGAAGAATACACGGCGGCGTCGCGTTGGCGGTATGTTTTTGTTGGTCAATTGGAGGTTATGTAGGTTACTTTGTTTGAGATTCATATCCATTGTTCTTAATTCTCTAAGCTTTTCAATCAGAATGCGATACAGATCAAGGTACACTCTACTACAGGTATGAACAAATGGAATTTTAGAAAGTCGTCAAAACGCGTAGATTTGACAGCATCGAGAGTACTACTGCGAAGACATACGCGACAAATGGACGGTACGACTTCATACGTCACTAGATCGCCGATTTTCTCAGCGCTGCCACTTCGGCACCCCGTTTGTCCATACCTGTAGTAGAGTGTACCTTGGATACAGATGTATGTAGGATAAGAAACATTCACACAGAACTTACTTAACCTCAAACGAGAAATCGTGATGTCAACATCGGCAGCGTGGCGGTAGTAAGCAAGTCGGCTTCGGTGCCGCCATCTTCCCGTCTATGACGCGTATAGTTCGAAGATTCACGGCGGTCGGTTCAAACACGTTTTCGAGGACCCCTAAAAAGGAAGCGTTATATCTCCACGGAGACAAAATTTCGTGAAATTTTAACATTGCTGAACATGAATTTCTGAAGGAACCAGAGGCAACAGAACTATACAATTGCCCATGATCTCGGGCAAAGCTGGATGAAAGTATAATAATTAGGCACACCGAAGAAATTGCTTACGCACAGTAGGTCGAACTGAATTCTCTTAGGCTCAGAACAAAAAATGACGTCCCTTATGCGTCAGAAATGCTCGAAAGAATACTCAACTTCAACTGAACGCGGCTCCTGTCGCATGGGTCGTATGTCCGTACGCGACTGCTCATTCGGCTCTTGAAATGCTCAAGTGGATACCCAGCTTTACCTGTTGAGTAACGTCTCCGGTAATGTATCGGACAAGACTCATTCTCAAGATTCAGCTAAGCACGCTCGGAGCCCTCCCGTTATGATAACGTAGATTAATCTGAGATTAAAAATGCGGTCTCGGTGAATACACAAATGAAATGAGAAATTATCTCATTGGGTGTCACTCTCAGTTTCGATCGGGATACGCCACTCACCTCTGCTAATTCCTCGTCCATCATTTCTCCACCGACCACCACCTCTTACAAAAGGCGCGAAAGAAATTCCGAAATTCAACCTCTAAACTGAAAATTACCGGACTATCGCACGGAAATTCCAACCGAGTGAAATATTGTAAAAAAAAAAAAACAAGATCCACTGACACACAAACATGAACACTGATCACGTCACACGTTCAATTGAAATTACTATTGAAAATTTTTCTGAATTTATTGTTCGCTGAAATTTGACACTCATCTCGAAAGAATATCCCTCATATACGTAGGAATTATTTTCTGAAAACTTCAAGGCAAATTTCGCCATAAATCACAAGAATTTTATCTGCATTCTTCTAGATCCATGAACACAATAATTAATTTCCATACTTCATAATTTGAAGGAGAGCCTCTCCGACCCTTTGACGATTACATTGTGATAAAAGATTGAGAAACCAATCCAAGATTGGGAGATACTTTGGCAACGGGTCAAAGATGACCGCTGATTGTTTTACATGGCACGATGTCGATGATTGTCGATAATCTATCGAATCAGGTGTTTGACTCACCCTTTGAGATGTGACAGACGTTGATAACAAAAATCGTTGCTAATTATTATCAGTCACCTATCAAGCATTAAAGCTGAGCATTGGCAAGATGGACTCTTGATAGAAAGCCGTATCTAATGAGAGCTTTTTGACATAGTTTGATCCATCGTTCTGCGAGGTATCACTATAGTGTCAGATCACTCCGATGAGCAATGAGTTCAAGAATGCATGACATTCGCGCGACACGTTGCGTGCAAACGCAATTGCCAAATTAAAGGACAAGATTCGTTTTTGGCGATTATACAGCAACTAGCTGTTTGGAGGGCGCTCGCGCGCTTTCACAACTAGGCAGTGAGTACCCCCTGCACCGTCGGTCACCTGCTTGGTGGGTGTCTTAGAGGCTCCGCAGACTCGTATATATGAAACATGGTGCCATCAAATTTATTGGAAGTATGTAGCAGATATTTATTTGAATCATGACTGTTCGATGAAATAATTTAGTCTTTCCTTGTTTGTTTGTTTGTTTGTTTGTTTGTTTGTTTGTTTATTTGTTTGCTGATTTTTTTCAATTTATCTGTTTCTGTTTTGTAGTGATTACAATATTTTTTCGAGTACCTATTCATCAACTTTTGATCAATGAAGGATTTCATTTTCTCCCTGAGGTGAAGTTTAAACAGGACTATTGGAAAGATCGCCAACTGAACCTAATTATGCTAAAAGCAGCCAAGTAATAATTAAATATATACCAGGAGAATTTATAAGAACATAGGATTTGCGTGTTTCGATGTGCATTAAAGGATCCAAGCGTCGGATTGCTTATTTAGAGAAAAATCAAAGTACTAAATCTGCTGTTCTCTTTGGACCATGCGGTTGTCAAATGCCTGGGCGCTTCGCCCCGTCACTGTGGAAATCGACGCAAGCGGGTGCACGACCACATATCCCACTTCGCCGTTCTCTTTGCATCCTCTCTCCGAAGGTCCCACACGACTAAGAGGACGATGACTTTTTGGACCACGAAGTTTATGAAAATACAAGCTTACAAGCTAAACGACAACAATTACATCGCGTGGCGTGTTGAAGGGAAGGCCTTGATGCAGAAAAGACAGTGATACGAGGCTATTGATCCGGGATACGGTGGCGAGGAGGAGTATGATAAATTGGATACTGATCTGTTGAAGAAGAAGGCAAGGCTCTGGCAATCATACGACTACCGGTGAGTGATTAGTATATTGACTACGTTGGCACATTTTATATTGCCCTCAAGGCATAAGAAACCTTGTCAACGTTGCACCAGGAACTCAGCATCATGCATCAAATTGAATGGGTCAGTTGCGCTGGTCGCGGAATCGTGTTTCGATCCTTGATTCTTGTAGATTGGCTAAAAATAATAAGATCCGTTCAAACTGCGACTTTCTACGTTCCATACTAATCAAGATATCGGCTTTAGAAAAATCGGGTTTTTGCCGTCATCCACCGCGGTAGTGACACCCTTGGTTTCTTCCACCTTGCAGTTATCCAAGTTTCACGTTAGACAACCAGTATAAATGTTCGTCACACCAATTGATGAAAACAAGCTGGAAGAAACCAAGGGTGTCACTACAGCGGTGGATGACGTCAAAAACCCGACTTTTCAAAGGCCGATATCTCGGTTAATATTGAACGTAGAAAATCGTGGTTCGGAACGATCTTATTATTTTTAGCCAATCTACAAGAATCAAGCATCATAACACGATTCTGTGACTAGCGCAACTGACCCACTTTTAGAACCTAGCTACTCTTTGAGAAACCGAACGAGATGTCCAGGACATATTATCTGGCAAAGGTTTATAACCCATAATCGGTAGTTGGCTGCCGGTGGAATCACGTTTGGTGGGCAGACGCTATCCCTCTTCATTCTGAGAGGTATACCGAGAGAAAAGAGAATTTCATGTGGTCTACAGAGCATGTCGAAGATTTGACTGTCAAGAGTGTGATGTCGTAGTTGCTTGTCGAGGAAAAGCGTCAAATGAGTATAGACATGGACATGTCCAGGAAAAATAATGCAAAAGCTGGGGTTGCATTGAGTTAGTAACAACCATCAACTGAACAAAGAGAAAAGAGGTTCTGGCATGGAGGACATCCTTCACAGCAAAAGTCCCTTAGAGAAGATAGGGAATACGTGTCGAATGAAAAGAAAGCTTTTGGATGCTACTTATGTGATGACATTGACCATATTGCCCGTAATTGTGAAGATTTTAAACAATTTTCAGCAAGCGAGTCGCAGGCCGAACTAGGAATGAAATAGTGATGCCATGGAAAGAAGACTTCATTTCTCTCAGTGAAAGTGCTCCACCTGCTACAAAGATGGGAAATGGAGACAGATCTAAGAATGCTGGAAGAAGCGGCGTGGTTATCAGACCTGTGAAAGGCTTGATCATCAGACTGTCTAAAGCGCTTTATGTGCCTAATCTGGATTGAGTGCTAATTGAGGAGCTTTCCGACAAACGGCACATACCGAAGAATCGCGCAGTGAGAAAAACGCATTTGAAGTTTTCATTATTACATTTTGGCCACTGATGGTGACTTACATCGGAACTTGGACACTTAAATCAAAGTTCATACATCCTAGAATGAGTAACGACCACTGGTAAAGCTTACACTTCTTTCAGTCTTGGGGGAGGAATTTTTTTTTTAAATTATCCGTCACGTACCCTCTTTCTGGAAATGCACCAGTGGTCGTAGGTTTTCGCCTTTAAAGCTGGGCTTTCAAGACATGACAAATTTCTATACAAAATATATGTTAAGTAATCTCTTCTGAGTGATAAAAAAGGAGGGGGGGGGGATCTTATTTAGTATCAAAAGAATTCCCGACCCGCCCGTTGGGACGCGCACTATCTCCACGACGTCGCGACGGCCGCACCCAGAGGTAGATGAACGAAATACGTAGTAAGTAAAGCAGCAATTTTCGGCCTACTGCGCTACCATTAGAGTTGTACTCGCACATAACTAGACACGGAAAATTGGCTTAGCTGCCGTTTCCCAGAAGAAGGGCCCTCACGCTATGTGCCCTTTTCCCGTGAACAGCCTAAAACCCTTGACCTAGCCACACAAAACTTGGTCTCCTGGCGCAAGGAGTTGAATTAACCCAAAGCTGGTACATATACAGGGTGTCCCAAATCACCCGTACTAGACCTTTTTCTCGGTTAGTTTAGGTCATACGAAGTCGGGGATCGTGGGGTTGAACAAGAAATTGACCACAAGGAATCCAAATTTCAAGGTCTCGAATCCCCCCCCTCCCCCGCACTTTCCTTGGGAGTGCAGGGAAGGGGATCACGATTCTAAAAGTTGGGGTTCCCGATAGATTGAGTCAGTTAAGCTCGGGAGGGATTTGCCTACAATTAGTGGAATCTTACAGTCTTCGGTACGAGAAGGACGATGCGCACGTTAAAATTTCACGAAAAATTGTCTCCGCGGAGATATAACGCTTTCTTTTTAGGGGTCCTCGAAAACGTGTTTGAACCGACCGCCGTGAATATTCTAATCTACGCGTCATAGAACGGGAAGATGGCGGCGACGAAGCCAACCTGCTTACTACCGCCACGCCGCTGTTGTTGACATCACGATTTCTCGTTTGAGGTTAAGTAAGTTCTGTGTGAATGTTTCATATCCTACATACATCTGTATCGAATTCTGATTGAAAAGCCTCTCAAACAAAGTAACCTACATAACCTCCAATTGACCAACAAAAACATACCGCCAACGCGACGCCGCCGCGCCGTGTATTCTTCCACTACGCATTCCGCCGCCATATTGATCGTGACGTGTACATTAGAAACCTACGAGCGCGCGGTTCAAACGCCGTTTTAGGCCACCCTAATTTTTGGCACTTTCAAATAAACTTTTCTCCCGTTTGCAGTCATCGAAAAAAACTTAGGAAAAAAACTGTAGGCTTCGGTCACTTACCACTTTCGAATGACACAATAAAAAGAAATGACTTAACTGACTCATTGTTATGTAGCGATAAAAATGACACTGTTATTATTTCGAAAACTAGGTTTTTCTGATCTCTTGTATTTTATTACAGCCTTGGGTGGGTTTAGGAAGCTTCACCCCAGAAGGTTATCATTCTGAGTACCTTTTCAAGGGGCCTCCAGCAGTTGGGGTGGTTGGACTTTCTATTCTATTTCAATGCTTGTCTCTCCAATATTTTATTACGGCCTTTCCCCCAAATTAAGCTGTTATTTTATTATGTTGTTTGGCTGAATAAGCTGTTCTTCTTTTGAATTTAAGTTAGACTGGAAATACTGTGACCTCTGGAGCAATACCTATGGCACTATCTATTGTGGAGTTGGAGGAACACAACTGACATAATCGCCTGGAAACTACCCAAATTACTTTGTGTGCCCTTATTTGTCCTGGAACAGTGCTGACAACTAAACAGTTAACGTGTCTATGAACACTACTAGGTTAATGAAAAAAAGCAACTAAGAGTCATCCTACCTCTTTAGCAATCTGATCCAAAGCTTGATCTTCCACAGAATGTTTAGTTGGGCCTCTTCGGCGACCTCCAGGTCCTCCTGGATCCATTGGGCACAGTTCAGACCAATGGTTAATATCATAACATAATAGTCACCTAAGGGCATAGTGTAAAACATCACAATTAGAAGAGGGCAAAATATTATTTACTAAAGAACAGAAAATTAATAAGATCAAGTTCGTGGTTGATGTTTGTGCAGAGGAAACCTTTCGAAGACCCTTAATAACCACATTGTTCGTAGGTATAAGAACAAATTATAAGCATTACGCAGAGCAAATACACTTATTTTTTGACTAAATAGCCCACAATCCACCCTTTGCCTCTCCTGGAATGGAGGGTGGCTGCCTGGTAAGTAGAGAAAATTCGGTGATTTAATCTGCATGCCAGTAGGTGTCAAGTCCCTTGCGAAAGAGAGCTTGATTCGCCAGCAAGATCTTGTTGAACTCAACTTCTGATCCTGAGATTATCAAAGTCCATTGATTGAAAGATTAACCAATATTCGTTTTCAACTTAACATAGAGGGGAAGAGGGATTAAAAAAATGAACTTCTGGTCTGATGAGGTAAAGAGAATAGGTAGAGAAAACAGGTGACACTCTGGTGCAGGGGGTTAGATTGTTGGAGTCCAAAAAGGACAAATTTGCCCCCTCTAAAATTGGACATACTTACCTCACTCAATTTTTTATATGCAGTGATAGGGTTCTGAATGAATACTCTTACAGTTACTAGCAATTAGAAATTAAGTTGTTTACTAAAAGGTCCTTATCAGCTCTCTTGATCTTATTGCACCTACTTTCTCAATTGCGAAAAAACTGAATTGGATCAGATAAAGATAAATTTAAAAAAAAAAAAAAAACTCCAGTTTATGAAGTATATTATACGATTCTTTAGGGGCTTTATCCCTTCCCTTACAAAGCTTTACCCAAACCAACCTTTTCTTGAACGACTGTTTTGTGTAGAATATGACAGGAGAGAAGCAGTGGCGTTAAGACTCTTCTGGCACCACCTGGATTTGCTGGATATTTCATAAATCCAAAGTACCTATGAGTCCTAGGTTGACTCTGTGCCAAATATATGACGGTCCTCGGGCTTCCATCTGTTAAATATTTGGCAAAGGATATGCTTGAGAAAAGTGCTTTGAAAATGTAAAACATTTATCAAAATCCAGGTGGGGCCGAAAAAGCCTGTGGTATCATTTCTCTTTTTTAATTGAAAGTAAGTGTAAGTTAATATTCCTGGACACTTTTTGCTTCACAATTTTTGTCCCCTGAAAAAGAACTGCATGAGATTATTTATGCTGTAAAAACTATGACTTATAAGTTAGGGACTTACAGAATATTCAGAGCCTTTACTCAGAGAATAGCACCGTCCGAACAGTCAACTTGAACTGACCCGTTGAAAGCTGCTGAAAAAAAAAAAGATCAATATAGGTAAAGTAAAGGAAACGACAAATTAAAAGCCATTTCAGTCATAAGTCATAAAAAAAATAAATTTAAATTGGTAGCACTCTTCCATATTGTTAGTTAAATATTTTTAGTACACTTGAGTTTGACTGTGTTTTCTTTGTTGGTGCGCCTGCTCAAGTTTCCTACTTTTGGGTGTACTCCTCCATTCGTTTTATAATTCTACTGTAATTACTTGGAAATAAATAACTTATGAGAAAAGAGAGAGAGAAAAAGCAGACTGAAAAGTCCAAGCCGATCAGCTGTGCATCGACAGTTCAGTGCCAGAAGAACAGAGGCAGCCATTTCTGAGCCTCCCCTTTTCAGTACATATTCTTAGTTTATGACTGAAGGTCACGATAATCTTTATTGAAAATCCTTTGGTGATAGATGGGCTGAATGAATGAAAATGAATGAGGTTCACAGGACTCTCTGTATGTTACAAAAGCCATTTCATCCTGAAAATATCTTATAAAATTCAGGATGAAATATATCAGTCTCCTCAAAATGCGACCATCCCATACGGAAGATGAATTTTCAGAGGCAAGTGCGGTTTTGTGCCTACAGGTAGACTAAACTATACTCGGCAACTGTATTTGGCGTCAACATTTGGCCTTGTTCACACAAGCAGAGCTCAGCCAACTTGTTCCGGTAACAAACTTATTCCTCTGAACCTTAGGACTCCCGCTGAACTCCGAGCTTCTATTAGCCTTTTGTTGTGAATTCATTTCTTTTTGTTGTTTACGTCAAATATGTCAATTTGTAATTTAATTTTAAGTATGTATGTATAATTTTAGAAATAGAACGGCTTACTCGCATAACCTTCTAAAATTCCCGCAATCAAAACTTTAAGTTCCGGTTCCGGTGAACTCGTGTGGACAGCATCCCTCGTTTCAAGGAACAAGTTTCGGAAAACTGAGCAGTACACTCAATTAGTTCCTCAAACCGCGCTTGTATGGACAAGGCCAGTCATATGACAAACAGTGTCTGGGGCTGAGAATTGGAAGTTGTTACACTGATCATGGAACATCATAGAGAAAAAGAAGGTGTTTACATTTCCAGTATCTTGGATTCCATCGATAACATAGATAAGTACAGACCATTTTAACCATCAATTTCATTTTTGTAAGTGGTTGGGTTTGCAGATAGAGTAATGTTTCAAAACATGTTCAAAATTATATTACTTATCTATTGAATTATGCCTAACAGTGGACATTACTTACACTTCATTCTCTATACTTGAAATTTCAGATTTTGTAGGAATACTGACCGCATATTTTACTCACCTGCATCACTGTTGAAACAAGTTGGAATTAGCAAACACCTTTTCCTTTCTTCTAAGAGGGAACATTTAAGGGCCTGCGTAATATAATATCAGAATGTGATGGAAAATGTTTAATATTGCACTGAAGACAGAGAGGATTTCACCTTTACCTGGTCCACCTGAAACTCAATTTGGGAGTCTCATCCCTCATCAAAGAAGGATTCTTTACGCTACAAACGGTACACCTGATACAAGTTCAGCGGTGATAAATTGGACATTCCTCAGTGTTTTAACTTCCTTGCAAGTCTAAGGGCCCTAAATGCATACTAAAAGTTGACATGAAAGAGTTTATAAATAGGGAAACGACCACTGGACAGGACAACGATGGCTCATAACAGAGGTGTGCAGAGTTTGAAAAAGTTTGGAGGCTCGGTACTATCACATTCTGTCTCAGTACATATCTACAAACAGCCAAGAGGTGGAAGTCTCAAAGGAATTCAGAGAGGATTCAATTTATGGGTGCCGCGAGAGGAAACGTACCAAAGATGACCAAAGACGCAACGGAGGCTGTAGTTAGTTCATATCCATTTGTAAAACCATAAAATAATAAAGTGGAAGAGCCTATTGTTTGTACAGTTTGTACGTGCCCAAAATAGCCATCCATGGACGAGATAAATCACACCACCTGATTCTTCTAAGGATCAATCCCGCATGAAAACGACAGAGAAGTTCGACATGATGATACACTGACTTCACGATTGAACCAACTACGATAAATTACAGTCAAAATTTTGATTCAACACTCTCAAAAATTTAGTAAACATAAAAGAGTAATTAGAATTAGCACATCCACAAGTACAAGTGCAAAGCATTACAGTACTTCCAGTGTTGGCCAGTAGTAGTGGTGAATCCTCAGCTTTTTTTAAGGAATTTATCCGCCCAGGGAGCGCCACCGCCGATTCCGCCGATGAACGTTTAGCCTACATCTGGTCTTCTGGTCTAACATTTTAGGGTCTATGGTCTATGATACCTGGACCCTACCTACACCAAAAAGGGTTTTTTTGGTTTTACGTCAAATAGGAAAACTATTGGGTCCAATTGTTTTGCGTCTAAATGAAGGGTCGTGTGGGTCGTCTAAAGATTTAATTTAACACCAAATCTGCCATGATAGCGAAGTATAGCGGAGAGAGCGGTAAATGTCAAATTTTCGAAATCGAGTTTCCGAAGTGAAGCCAAGACAGCATATTAAGCCACGGCTGTCATCTTGGTTTTTGAAATTTAATAAATCTGACCGAAAATTCGAGTTCCCCGTCGAAAATTACCTAAGAATATCGAATCTCAGGAAAATCGATCGAACAGGAGCTGACTTAGCATAGGTCACGGCCGCCATCTTGGATTTTGGAATTTTGAAAATCTGATCTAAAATTCGAGTTTACCGTTGAAAAGTACCTCCGATAGCTACGTTAACTAGAGTCCGTCGAAAAATACCCCACACAACCCGAAATTTCGTCTACAGGGTGATCCAAAAGTCCCTTCCACCCCCTCTAACTTTTTACCTAACTGAGGTAAAGATTTGAAACTTGGGGGATGTTCCTAGGTCAAAGGGAGCTACTTTTTGGCCCCCCTAAAATTTTCAGGGGGGCTCCCCTTGGGAAGGCAACGGACCCCAACTTTTAATTTTCAAATAGGAAGACCCCCTTTGCGATAGCTCGTTCGAAAGAGCATAAAAAAAAAACTTTTCGCGCAAACCCGAAGTCAATATCTCAAACCGTTCCAAAATGGCGGCCGGTTAAAGTTCAAAATGGCCGCAAATTCACACCAGTTATTTGTCGCGATTTGCGCGAAAATCGGCATGTAGTGGTATTTTGACACGAGAAAAACGAATTTGCCGTTAGATTTTCAAAAAACCGAAATTTCCAAAATGGCCGCCGGTTAAAGTTTAAAATGACCGAAAGTTGGTTTTTTTAGAAATATAAGTTCAAATGTGTTTATCTTATGCCAAAATACTCTCGAATTCCAAGATTTAGGCAAATCCATCAGCAAAAAACCGAGATGACAATTTTCGGCCATTTTAAACTTTAACCGGCGGCCATTTTGGTAATTTCGGTTTTGGGAAAATCTAACGTCAAATTCGTTTTTCTCGTGTCAAAATACCCCTAGGTACATACCAATTTTCGCGCAAATCCATCGACAAATAACCGGTGTGAATTTTCGGCCATTTTGAACTTTAACCGGCCGCCATTTTGGAACGGTTTGAGATATTGACTTCGGGTTTGCGCAAAAAGTTCTCTTTTTTTATGCTCTTTCGAACGAGTTATCACAAAGGGGGTCTTCCTATTTTAAAATTAAAAGTTGGGGTCCGTTGCCTCCCCAAGGGGGGCCCCCCTGAAAATTTTAGGGGGGGCCAAAAAGTAGCTCCCTTTGACCTAGGAACATCCCCCAAGTTTCAAATCTTTACCTCAGTTGGGTAAAAAGTTATAGAGGGCTAGAAGGGACTTTTGGACCACCCTGTATAATGCTATTACGTCACGCGATAGGATTGAACCTGTTCGGCGCCGGCGCCGGCGCGGTGCGCGTGAACGACCTTAGTAGCTCCGATTACTATACGGAGAAACAATTTTTCGCTCTTTTGGGCGTCCTGGGCGACGTATTGGGATCAGAATAATTTTGATCAACTCCTCACGACAATTGCTAAGCGTGTACCAAGTCTAAAGGAAATAGCTTCGGTCAATTTTTCTCTAAGGGGGGGGGGGCAGAGTGAGCTGCTGTTGCAGCTTTATTTGGACCAAGTTCATTAGAAAGGAGCCAACCCACATCAAGATGAAACTGAGAAAAAGAGGTTTGAAGTTTTATTCCTCCATAAGACTCAGTGTATAAAGTAAACTATAACGCCTCATTTCACAAACTAATATTTTTTTCGACTTTGAATTTTTGGCAGAAGAAAATATATAACTGGAGGAACTCAAAAACATACTCAACTCAATTGTTTCAAAAATGTGCGGGTTGGTTCGCCTTTCTGATGAACTTGATTCATTTTAGGGATGTCGATACTCAGGGAAGTATCGATACTCGGTATCGATACTGGTATCGACTCTAAGCATCGATACCGGTATCGAGCATCGAGCTGAAGTATCGATACTTATGAGGTATCGATACCATCGATACTATTTCTGAATTATGCCGTGATTCTGAGTGTGCGTATGTCTGTCGGCCGTTAAATTCCGCCAGATTTACGCCTCTCTCGAAAAAGCCCTGTTCGCGTCCTTAGTCAACTATTTTGAGCCCTTAACTACACTTATCGAACTGAGCTTTTAACATTTTTATTGAAGTATAATCATTTTGAGAAACTTGATTACTCCGTCGTTTGTCACAGTGCATCATGAAGGTGAAATAGTGGGGAGAGAATTTTTTAAAAAAGAAAAAGAGGCCTTCTTCATGGCCAAATCAGATTAAGTATCGATACCGTCGATACTGGGGTCTTGGCATCGATACTGCATGGTATCGATATCGTGGAGTATCGATGCCGAGTATCGTTAAGTATCGATCGAAAGTATCGATACTTTGCAAGTATCGGATAAGTATCGACATCCCTAATTCATTTATTTACAGTACTAAAGTGGGGCCACGGATGCTGCCTTATGGTACACCAGCTAGGTTATTGTGAACACAGATTGTGAATTTCAGACTAGCTCCTCGCCTTCTTATTTAACTGAAAATTGTCTGCAATCTAAATAGGATTTAATGATTTTGAAAAAGTCTGGTAGCATTTGATTAATTTTGTATAGGAGTCCAGGATGCCAGACCTGATCAAAGGCCTGGGATATATAGGTATACAGTTCCAAGATATTCGCCTTTTTCAAGAGTAAATCACTACACAAGCTGTTGAGTATGTAAGTCCCTTTATGATTTCCTGAGGTCACAAAATTCCGTAAGAGCTTGCAGGATTCTGAAACCATGTAATCTATACCCATGTATCAAAAGAGCCTCCCTAAAAAAGGGCCTTTTTTGGCCCCTTTTCGGGAACCCGGGGATTTCGTTCGTTTGTGGCTTAAATGAAACCTTATGATGAGGTAAGCCTCCAGCATAGAGCCTCCAGTAAAAATTTTAGCTTGAGTATACGTCTAGTTTCCGAGATACAGCGTTGCAAAGTTGGCATATTTGAGCTTTAAAATTCTCATATTCTCAGGTATCTTATTTTCTCAGAACGATTCAATTGGATGTTTTATGATATTTTGTGACATTTTATCAAATGTTAGTATTATTATCGAATGTATATTTCAATTGAAACATTAATACTACTAATTCTGTTAAAACAACGTTGCAAAGTTGACATAAAAACCTATAAAAATGTTCATTTTATCAAGTTTCTTAACTTAAAAACGAACTTAGTGACGGCTAAAAGATATGCTTTTGGGGTTTAGATGCAATTTTATGATAGATTAAGGCTTTTGTTAAAATTTAACTCAAAATGCAAGTATAGTTTTAATGATACAGGGTTGCAAAGTTTATATATTTGAGCTTTAAAAATGTCTATATTTTTGAGTTCTGTGTTTAAGAAGCTACTTTTGTAGAATTTAATCACGATTTGAGGCAGGAAATCAACCATTTATGTCATCTGTAGATGAATGTTTGTATTTGAAGAAGAATTCTTTGACCGGTGGTGATACAGCGTTGCCATGCTTAAAACTTTGAACTCTGTATGGATTATGATTTTTTCTTGTTGAACATGACTTCAATGGGTATCTTAACTCGTATCAAGGCAAAATATCAAGGGCTGATGTCAGTCCCAGGTAACGATTGGTTTTGGAAAAAATACTGCTGCCAAGTTTATTCATAATTCTTTTCAAACAAAAAATAATAAAATGATTTTAAAATAAAGATGCTTCTAATTTAATTTTTTTACTTTTTTTTATTTTGTTTAATTTTTTTTGGTAATTTGTTTAGACTTTTGTGATTTTTTTATATTTATTTATGAATATCCGTGAAAATATTTTTTTCGATTGATACGTGAGTATAGTCTTGCCTTCAAATATATAGCAAGTACCTCAACATGTTGCCGATTTTTTACTTTTACCAAGTATCTCAATTATTTTGAGGCATCTAGATCAAAGATATGTTTTCAACATGCTCTATACATATATGAGCTTGTTATGATTGGCACTGCCAAGACACTGCACCGTTGCGTATTGAGAAAATGCAACTTTTTTCCAGATATATTTCACTGGGAGATGGATGTATTTTTTATCAGAATGGAGGGGTCAGCGAATGCTACCAAGAATTTACATCCAGTGCCGAGATCATAATGTGAATGCTTAAATCCATTTTGAAATACAAGTATGAAACATGACAATAGCCTGGTCCTATTCTCTTCGGAATGCTGTCACTGTGACACAGAGGTCTTAATACTATGAGGACAACCCTCAACAAAAATGGAACTTTAACAACTTATTAATGAAAAAATAGTTAGTAGCTAAGCCGAAATAATAATTTTGGACAAATCCATGCAACAATATTTTAATAATTTTAATTAAGTATTTTATTCTTTTAATTTCTTTTCCTATAGATTTATTTATTTATTTTATTTTTTTTTTTTTTTTAATTTTCTCATCATTTGTAATTCTTAAGTCGAAGATATTCTATTCTTTAAGGAACAATGAATGTATTGTCTGTATCAAGATTTATTTGTACTCAAAAAACTGGAGCGTTTCCATAGTTTATGTTCGTTTTTGCATTCTGCCTAAAAAAAAGTAAAATTGACAACCAAGGCAAGGTAGAATTTTTTAGATTTTGAAAGCAACACTGATGCTGAGCCATTCATTGTATGCCATAAATTCACTTGGATTACGTTTTAAAATCAGACAATTATTGGAAGTATCCTTATTTTAAACTTATTTTATAATGGAATGTTAATAGAAACTTAAATAAAATTGGCAACAGTGCCATTTTAATTCCAATTTTCACCTAGGATTGACAAAAGTCCTCCACATTTCTTTGTTTCACAATATCACTTATCAACATTGTTCAATCTTGTCTTCAATAAAATAACACAAAATAGACATTTTCCCAGATACAAGTTGAAAACTTTGCAACACTGTATTATCGTATCCTTTTATAAATTAAACTATGCATCTACGAGTATTACTAATTGTTGATTCTATGCCCCAAAATACAGTTCGATCTTCAGTAATAGCGGTTTGTGAATGAGAAACTTTAAAAAATGAGCTTTTTAAAGCTAAAAAATGTAAAATTAGCAACGTTGTACTGCCAAAACAAGGCTTACGCATGAGTCAAAATTCTTACTGGAGACTTTTCATATTATAATTTATCGTGTGCACCTCGTGTAAGTATTGTAAAGTCATTTTTGAAGTTGGTTTTTGGAAGAAAATCCATAAAAATATGAGAATTTTAAAGCTCAAATATGCCAACTTTGCAACGCTGTATCTCGGAAACAAGACATATACTCAAGCTAAAATTTTTACTGGAGGCTTGTCTCATCATAAGGTTTCATTTAAGCCACATACGAATGAAATCCCCGGGTTCCCGAAAAGGGGCCATTTTTAGGGAGGCTCTTTGAAAGATGATTGCCAAAATATTGATCATTTATCTACAATTTTATTTCAATTTGATTTCCATCGATTGGTAATTTATTGGCAATAATCGACCAATCCGGAAATCAAAAGTCAACCAATTATTTGGCAATTTTATTGCCGATTGAATTGCAATGAAATTGGAATATTTTGGCGATAAAACAGCAATAAACCATCAATATCTCAACTTTTTTTTTCGTCCCCAGGATCAGGTTGGAAATAGTTTCTCTCTGGAAAACTTGCAAAGAATACTGAGAATTGAGGACTCACAGTGTCACAAAAGGAAAAGGAAAGGATATTAACTTAACTCGCCCCAAAGACACGCATAACAGTATATTTACACAGTATAACAGTACTTGAACTGGGCTAGAATTTATGGTTCCAATATGCAAAATGTAGTCCAATTAAAGTGCGATTTTTTCATGATAAAGGAGCAAAGTATTTTCGATTAATTGGTACTTTTAGGATCAGAACATTAAGCAAATTGCATTTTACAGGATTCTCTTTTGTTTATTTTAATATTCTCCACCTAAAGTACATGCTACTTTTTGACTTGTATAAGGTGAGGGAAGTTGAAATCAAGAAAACAGAAGGTTTTTTCAATTTATTTTTTATTTTCTTTTTCCCTTTCTCTTCTTTTACAAAATTAATCTTCCATTTTTAGAGTTTTGATTAATTTAAAAGGACAACCGGTTCATAACATTTAGTAAGAAATTTAATAGACTTGTATTCATTAAAAAAATGAAAAGATGTTCTACCAGTTTCATAGACGTCACTTACATTTTCTCTAGCGTACTAAGAATGGAAGTGCAGTGCCTCTGAAACGCATTTAACAAATTATAAATTTTTCAAAGAGGCTTGAGAGTATTTATTTTTTTTACCGAATTTTGACTACTTGATTGTTTGTTTTACTTTTTACTGTTTGACGACCAGTTGTTTCAAATTTTTGAAATTTCTTTGATTTCATGAAAATTTCACCAGAAAACAATGTATTATTGTAAAAGTCGTAGGGTTTTCATTCAATAATATACAACTTGTAAAATTATAAACAAATAACAAATATACTATACATTTTAAAGAGCTCTAATCTTGTAACAAGTAACACTTTACTTACAAAAATCATGAAAATTCAATCAAATTAAATGACCTAATCATCAGCACGGTAATTGACTAGTACTGCATCACCACCAACGTTGATTAAACATTGTGCCTGTAACAAGAAACAATTATGAACACATATCTTTTCAAAAAATATCTTGCTTGAAATAATTTTTAAATTATGAAAATTGATTATTTGCCTTAAACTGGCATTCAAAATTTGGTCAGGCTCCTTCTATGACTGTTTCTTTACAAAAGATTTTTTGGTACAACCTTCAGCCAGCAATGCAAAATTTTGCTTTCCCCCTATTCTGATGGTTTTTATTCCATTGATTTGGAGTTTTTCGTTGTTTCCAGATGAGTTTTTCGCACTTGTCTTTGAATTTTTGATTAATGCTTAAAGCCGTCAGAGTTTCAAGGGCAAGCTAATGGTAAAAACATCATGAGAAACCTCACCCAAAATTAGTCGTTTTTCATTTTGACCTGACATTTGAAATATGTATTTTTCAGGTTGAAAAAGAATATTTTACTTGTGGAATCACTTACTCAGTCAAAGAAATTGCTTTTTGGATTGGTCATTATTTCCCTAATAGCATCTTAGACTCCACCAGTAGGGTCAGCAAAATTAAGGAGGGTTCCAGAAAATCGCATTTGGATAAAACAGCTTTTAAATTTTTTATCACTGGTTTTTGAACGCAGATAGTTGTCAATACTCAAAATGCTCGTCTCATGTGAGAGTTTCCACCTCGTAGGAAGAAAATCAGTGTGCAGCAAAAGTTAAAATCATCAGGAGCTATGGTGAGAATTTGGAATATAAATTGGTTATGGACCTTTTTCCAGAGATCAACTAGCGGGAAAGAGTTTTTTGTGACGTAACTAGTTTAGTTAGTAAGGATGAATTGAAACAAAAGTAAAGTGTATTCGTTTCTTCTGAATAAAATAAATTAATACGTTGGCATCTTTGGTATTCTGAAAAAATAGAGGAATTGTTGACAGCAGGTAGTCCCTAAAACGTACGATCATGAGAGACACATGTTTTCTCCGTCACAGAACATGAACGTATCTTACAAAGTTGATGATCTCCCATACTGTCTTGTTCCAGATGGAATCTTTTCTGGTAATACCTAAATCTCTAAAATCTTCTAGGTTTACTGTTTTATTGGTCATAATTTACGGCCGTGGGCTATCAGATTCTTGAAAAGATTATGAAGAAAATCCTCCTTTTGTATTCTTTGAAGATCCCTTGGTCTCAAAGTACTGAATTCAACATGGCCATAGCTCTCTTATCTTGCATATTTCTTTAATCTAACAGCCTAGGTCAGAAAAACTCCTTAATACTTGTGCACTTGGCGCTGCTTATATGCTATCCATTATTTAATTCTATGCTTTGCTAATTCTTCCTTTTTATTTGAATTATACAGGGTGGCCGGAAGTTAATGTTAGTAACCATCGTTAATCTAAAACTACTTAAGACTCAAAGAAAACTCTTTTTTTCTCACCCGTTAAGTTCAGGCACATGAATGAAAGTTTAAACAATTATTAATGACTAAACTTTAAGTCACTGAAGCAATTGGGTTAAGAAAAAGCGGACCATTTTCTTCAAACCATGTGATGAGTGAAGTTATGGAACCCAATTATACTTTAAATTTATTTCTTTTTAAAAAAAAAATTAGACTTGGTTCCTCTCCGTTTAACTCAGTCCACATGTTATCCAATTAAAATAAAATTTTAAAAAATTTACCTGATTTTTATTTGGATTATTTTGTAGAATGCATTGATTCATAAAATAAGCAACAACAGCATTTCCTCCCAAGGCAGCAACATGAGCTCGCATGATGGCCAAAACATCTGTGACAAAACTATGAATGAAGACACCAATTCCACCATTTTCTCGTATGCTGGTGCCTTCTCTTATGAAAAATAAGTTCATATTTCCTAGGTAACGGTCAATTTTACCGCCAGGTACAAATGATAATGGAGTGATGTCAATTCCGTATCTTTCCTTCGGTCGAACATGAAAAGCTGGAGTGCCTCCGGAAAATTTGGATGCAACAGGTGCTGTGAGTTGAGCTCCTGCCATTTGACTAGATGCTACCAATGATTTTTTGTCCTCTACTTCTTCTAAATTGAATATTAAATCATTTTCATCAAGCTTTTTTACACTCTCTCCACTGTTGGAGGTTTTCATGAACAATTTTCTTTTAGAATACCTATTCAATGATTTTTCGCAAGGTGCTAAACCTAAAATCATACCAAAAACAGTGATTTGTAGCTCATCGGCTTCAGGAATATCAACAAGGAATCGAATCCCACTTAAGGCACAAGGAATCATATCTCGCACTTTGAAATAGACTTTATGCAACATGGTGCGGAATTGCCTGTTAAAGGCACTTAAAGGTGCCGTGATTGGGATTCTGCCACGCCAAACTTGCGTGAACATTTGTAAGTTTCTAACAGCTTCTAAATCATCGACTCCTGGTAATACTTCAGCTGCAGTGACTATTAAATTTCGGGGAGGTGGGCTTTCAATTAATTGTGGTATCAAATCTACATCTTCATTATCATCAACTTCCAAAATACACAGATCCATATTCCCAGTTGCAAAATCAGCCTCTGGTAAATCCACTTCTGACTCCTCAGAATCTGATGTTAAAGCTTCACTTTCCTGTAACAGGTGAAAATAAAAATTGAATAGCTGAGGCAAAAGGGCACACTTTTTTAATGCATTAATATTTTGGAAATGGGATGGAACATAAATTATTAACCCAAAGGTAAAAAATGGTAAGCCTACTAAGCTTTCATTTCCAAGATCACAGTTAACTTTTGTAAGAAATTTCTTGAGTGTGGCTCTCCGCCCCGCGCATCAGGCAGCAAATGATACACATACCATCTTATAATACGGTTAGTGGGACAGAGGATCACTTATCTTCATTTGCTGCCATTTTGTAAAAATTATTTCCTCTACCAATGAGAGAAATGTTGAGAGACTTTTTTCTATCAAACTTGCTAGAAAAACCGTTTCGAGCATTGAAATGTATCATTGAAATCATTGAAATTAACACAATTTTTGAATTGCAATTTAATGCCCTATCTGGCCACCACTTTGAAAAGGACCTCCAGAAATAATGTAAACCCTAAAAGTGATGCCCTTGAAACAACAGAAGAATACTTAACATCACATTTAAAAAAAAAGAAATACATGGGACCCATGCTAAGCACTGACATTTTTATAATTGAATGCAGAAAAATATAGGAGGCATGTACACATTTTCATTTTATTTTTTCTCTGCGATAGAACTTTTTGCCCCAAAAATAGAAATTGCTTCACCATTCCACAGCAGACCAAGTACATGATATTATCAAAGTCTGAAATAAGAAGGGAACCAACAAATCGTGTCATAGGTCAGAATGAATTTGAAAGAGGCAAAAAATTCAAATACAAACGATAGAAACATGTTAAATAATCAAGCTAAAACAACAATAGCAATAAAGGGAAGAATTCAAGCTGGGAATGAAGGCTACAGGCGACGGGTAACAGGCTGATAAAAACCAGACAAGTTGGTGGGTAGAATCGCAAAGCGATTGCTATAATTGTCACAGAAACTCTCTCTCTCTCAAAGGTTTTTTTTAAATGGAATTTTCCTCAACTTTTTAATAGAAGTTTTTGAGAAGTATAGTTTAATCTTGTCTCACTTTCTAATCTAAAAATATTGTATGAGTACTGGTTTGGGGGAGACTGCCGGTGTGAAGTTTGCCTTGTGTGTCTTTGTCAGCAACAAACCAATAACCCTAACACACGAATGCTCATTCATTCAGATCACATGTAATGAGATAATTGCGCAAGTTACAGAATTGTACTTTGATAGTTTAAGCTTATAGATCAGCAAATATTATTAACATATCTATTAATACGCCAAATTTCTACATCCGATTTTAAAGGAAATATCATCAATCAAAAAACACAGCGCATGACTTCATCTACCAGTGTGTGCATCCTATGGTTAGATCCGACTTGCTTTCAGCAAACATTGCGACGTGTGCAAACGCACATAGAGCCACCAGCAAGGTGACTAAATGTAGAACACAGATGAAACTACCGTGAACAAAATCGTGGTGTACAAAGCTACAGTGGATGACATCATACTACTGTGTCATACTTCTGGAGAGGCATGGTAAAGGAGGCAAAGGCCCACCTAGGGCTGTAGCAATGTTATACATCGATCGTACAAAGGTAGTTTAGGCCTTTGACACAAGAGACAATGCTACTGATGCAAAGAGCTTTGATCGCACTCAGCAAGAGAAAACCCCTGCACCATTTTCGTTGGATTGATTTTTCACAAATGGACAAGACTTGCAGATTTTAAAGCTCTGGTTAGGTTTGAAATGTGTCGTGCTTCATCAATAATCACTCCTTGAAATAGTAGATAGTACCATATGCTCAGTTTTGAAATTACTGCTACAAAGGTTATTTTTCCATGGATTTATTTTTATCACAAAAAGCACCAATTCATTTTGTGTAATCTGTAGTCTTTTCAATAATGTTTGAGAAGCTTTCCTTTCATAAAAATTCAAACAAGTATAAAAATGATGGCACATTGAAACATTTTGTTACTCCTTTTCTGTAATGGACTAAATGCAGAAAAAAGAAGTTTTTTAACTCTTATTTTCAAGAGGGCATTTTCTTCAAAAGCAGGAAAGCTTCATGGAAAACCGGATTTGGAATAATTACACCCATGCTTGCCATGTCAGGTACAAAGATATCACTGTGTGCAGACCATGTAAATCAGTCAATTATTCATGACACTCAAGAGTAAACTGCTGACAACTCGTCTCATATCTGATGCGAACTAAACAAGTAATTTAACTGCAGAAAACAGTACCATGTAAATCTATTATTGATTTAGAATATGGAAAAAAAAAGACTCACCACGCCAGAGACTGAGGGCGGCCGCAAGAGAAATCTTTCTCGATTCTTTCGTACACTATCTGACAGATCTTTTTGTATCTTTTCTAATTTTGAGGAATCATGTTGATTGCTTCCTAGAGTCACCGTGGGAAGAGATAAGATTGGCAAAGCAGCTAAATATATGGCAGTGCCTGCAGCATGCCCAGTTATCATACGATCACCCACACTGATGGTTATCTGGAGAAAATATCAGATAATATTACTAATCTATAATTTTAATTAAACCAAGTTTAGTCCAAAGGAACAAACTGTTTTGGCTCATTATAGTTATAATCAATTAATTTTTTGATTCCACTTAGTAAAGTGCTTTCAGGTTTCTTTTCGATAAGGTCAGGATCGAGATAACCATTAAATTTTGCTATACTGCCAGTTTCACTTTAAGGTCTTGGCAAAAAATTGACCTAATACGCCTGGAAGCGCATTTTTGCTGTTCATTCCTATAACATCTCTTTTGTAAAGCCTGCACTAAGGCTGAAAGAATGTGAACACAAAAATTAACCGTTTGGTTTGACTAACCAAAAGCAATATTTTGTGTTCACTAACTTTCAACTTTGTTACAGGATTTACAAAATAGGTTTTTGGGGAAGGAACAGCAGAAATGTGTCTCTCTGGATGATGCATCCATACCTTACCAAAAACTAAAAAGAAACCAGTATTTTAGCAAAGTTCCAATTCACAATATTCGTTTGTTTCCAGTTTAAATTCAGCATAAATACCATGTCTCTCCTGCTCAGTTCAAAACTTTCCTTGGAATTCTTAGTGTTAAAGTTTATAAATGAGCCTTCTTCTTAAGTCCACAACTTTCAGAATTTTTTGTCCTGGCAGTTACATAAACTTAAAATGTGGTAAAAAATCGAACGAAAGTGATTCCTAAGTTTTTTCAAATTTAAAGGAGTACCTTCTTGTCTAATCTTAAATGATGTGACAGGAAACATATTTGTTTACTCACTTTCAGGCTAAAAATACTGTTCATGCCTTTGACTCTCAGTTTGTTGAGGAGCTGTCGGTGTAGCTCATACTCAAGAAAAGGTGCACTATCTGAGATTTCTTTGGCATTGAGTTCTCCTCGATTATCTCGTTTGGGTCGTTTGACAAATGCTTGCAGAAAACACCCCTCTCCGAGGATTGGAATTCCTTCAGGAGGCTCGATAGTGGTCATCAAAATTTCAGGTACAAAACAGCGTTTGCAATGAAGACACTTTGACAAACTGACTCGGAAGGGCATGCTACTTTTCTTGAAAGGAACATGACATAAGGAACATGGGAAGTCATCACTTGAGTCACCGTTCTCAGAAATCAACCGACGTTTTGTATGATTGTCTGCACCTCCTCTTCTATTCTCCAACGATGAGGCAATGTTTTGGTTTTTCACATCAGTTTTTTTTTTCGCGGCTGTAATGTTTTCAGGATGATGTACATCATTACTAGGAAGATAGATAGTTGCTGCAGTCCCAATTGCACTGAGAATACAAACATCATCACTGCAATTCAAGAAAAAGAATCTCTTCAGCTTAAGAATCTTTCTTAAATGAAGCATAAAAATTAAAACTTGGAGAGAGAATGATAAGATTAAAGAGAAAGTAAGTTAAGAGCGATATAAACAGGGAAAAATTCTAAAGGGCCTGTTACTTCTTATCTAATTCAATGGGAAAAATAATGAACAATTTATCCAGTTGTTTTTTATTGAAAGAGCCTCTTGCCCTTAAAGATATTTGATTGCTTCAAGTTCCAAGGACCCTACCCTCGACATAACTCGGTTCCTTTGTCCAAATGTTTTGAAGTACTCTCACAACTTACTTGTTACAGAACTTGCTCCTGGTATTCTTACAAATTTAGATTTTGGCCGGGTGGCCGGCGATTACTTGGCCCTGGCCAGATACAATTATCGCGGATTCCATATTCGGCCGAATAATCACGCTATCCGGTTTTTGGACCTGCCTGATAGTGTTTATTTGATTCTGAGCATTTCAAGAAATTTTTGGTGATATTTTTATTTTTTCTGCTCTTTCAATACATTCATATATATTATTTTTTTTTTTGAAACTTTTGGTGATTTTTGTTTTCTTCTCCTTCAATACAACTCTGTAAATTCGTTTTCTTTTTTCTCATTAGTTTTATTACTTTTAAGTGGCAAATTAAGCAATCTATTTTGATGAAAAGGAAAAAATGGACACAGGTAATATTTTCTTTTTTTTTTAAACTTTAAGTTTACTTGAATTTGTAAGAATAGGTGTGGTCCGAGTAGCAAATTTTACAAACATGGACATTTGATGGCGATAAACTGCATAAAATAGCAGTTTAAAAAATTAAAACATTGACTGTAGAAATAGAAAACTGAAAATATTTTTCTAAAATACTAAATACATAGCAATTTATTTATTTTTTCTTTTTTTAATTGAAAATTGAGATTAAAAGTAGCTAAATAGGAAAGCTAAAATATCCAAGTGTATGTTAAATTTTCTGAATGATGAATGAATTACATTTCGTTCACAGGAGAAGTTTTTCATTTTAATTTTCTTCTTCACTTATTTCTTACACTGACAGATACATGTTAGGGGAGGAAGTTTTAAGACGAATGAAAATTTTGTATTTTGAGGATGAATATTCATAATTTTTGAAAGCCCTGTAAATGTCAGCTCTAAAAATACATTTTAAAAGTAAGATGTGAGATTTAAAGAAACTCTCTCTCCTATAGTGTTTACAGCAGAATGAGAAACTAAGAAAAATAAAGGATAATTTTTTTTAGGCGGGTTGGAGGTGCAAGGGAATTAAGTTGGGGAGGAGGTACACTAGTACGTCATCAATATGGTCGAATGTACCCAACCTCCTTTCAATCAACCTGGTAAAACATCGGGAAATTTTTTTCATGCAAAAAAGAACTTTCTGGATCCGGGATTATCCGGTTCTGGCTGGATATCTTGGCGAATTATCCGGTACCCAGCTCCGGCCAGATACAAAAAATCAATATCCATGTCCGCATTCGGTGACGAGAAAAATCCATTTCCGCCCAACTCTACAAATTACTTGACGCTCAGTTCAATAAGGAAGATATAAAATTACAAAGGAGTATGCTCTTCGGCCACAACATTCCTCAAACCTCCAGAAACTTTCACGAATTAGCACCTTTTACCAATGATGGAAAGAGAAGAAAAATATGATAAATTCAATCAGGAATTGAAACAAAGTTTGGGATCAACGAAGCTCTAAGGATAGGACAAATTCAGCTTTAATACTTGTGATATATTGAGGTACAGCACATACTTGTAGGCAGTATTTTCAGAGTAACCAAGAATGACATTGCATGCCAAAGCTCGAGCGTGAGAACGAACTTCCAATCGCAACTCATTCCACCATGTGTCGCGTGTTTCAGGCTCCTCATCAATAGTCGAACGTTCGAGGAGTTTCACTGACCGTGCACTCACTGTTCCACCTAGAATTAGGTATAATGCGAATTTTTTTAAGATGTTCTATTTTCAATTTGAATAAAAAGAGAGCTTAAGGCCTGATTCTGTTTTTTGAAAGCACATATTTTTTTAAGTTAGAAAGAGTAATTCTTGCAGATAAGATGATTGGAGGTAAGAGGTAAGAGGAGGCCAGAGGTAAGAGGTCCAGATAAGTAGACGTAGAACAGGCCTCAGGAGAGAGAACTTTACCTCTGGAGTGCAAACTTAGAGGAATTTTTATACAAGTTTATAAGTAAATTCAAAATATATTTAATTATTGTAATTGATTGCTAAAAAAATTAATTTTGAGTTTTTAGAAAATAAAATACCACTAACGAAAGTAGACTAGACAAAAAAATAAAATATGTTAACCTTTGGTCATAGAGGTGTTCAAAATTTAAAAGTAGAAAATATTTCTTGAATTAGTAAAAAAACACATAATTTATAACAAACTCTGCCACATATTATCAAGAAAGGTCAATCGCTCTTTCGAATTAAGATGGCCTCCATTTTGTTTTTCCCGGTGTAACCTCGGTTACAAAATTCAAGTTTTAAAAACATTCAAAATTTTTCCTTGGCAAAGGTGTAAAGAGAGGCTTCTGTTCTTTGAGGTAACTGATTACAGCGGCACTAAACAAGATCTTAATTTAGGGGAGCTATTAACCGTCCCGGATATTATGCAGCATAGTCTGTACCTTTTTTGGTACCTAATATTTTATTATTTCCATTCAATTAAACATTTCAAAAGAGGGATTTTGGGCTTTTCTTCTCAAATTCTCAAGACATCAAGATAATCTAGAAACTTTTTAACGGTAGCAGAAAAAAAAATTTCAATTTTCAATAAAAAAACGAGCTAACTGTTATGAAGAATTGCTTAAGGGACATTCATTGTGAAATAATATTACCAAGCAAGCATTCTAAAGAGAAGCAAAATATATTATGTTGACAAAAATAATTACCTAAACGTTTAATAAAACCGGGAGGATATCGAGTCATTGTTAGGAATGGATAATCGTGTAACTCAAACATCTTCTTGTCTGTTATTGGCTGTAGAAGAATATTTGGAAGAAAGGTCCGGTTCATACCAGTGCCGCTACTTCCAGTTAAGCTGTTTCCTGTCAGCAAAGAACAGAGTTTAAACACCATTATTTCATCCTAAAAATATCAGATTGATTTACTAAATATTAAGTTTGCATAGAAACAAGTTTATTAAATATCATCATAAAATTGGACACACAGATTCTACAAAGCCACAAGGCCACATGATAAATTTTTTCTTGTAAAATATTATGGGCTGCAGTCGACTTCAAACCCAATCAATTTTCAGAATAAGAGAGTTACTTGTGTCTATGGTTGGCTGCCACCTTCTTGTTTGGGTGCCTTCCACTGTTGTCGAGTTTACAGATTTTGTCCGAAGGTGGCTGCCGCCACCCATGATTCTATTTCTAAGGTGCTTGGAGAGTTGAAAAATAATTGATACTAAATCCCACCAGGGAAAATTCTACTGATTGGAATGCCTCTTCAGCCAGAGAGGATCTAAAATCACTCTACAATGTGCCTTGGTTATGATTTTCATCTTCTAACCTGTAGTTTTTCTTTCATTTGCTGAAAACTGACAAATTTAATCTCACTCATGCTACAGCACTCTTTTTGACAATGCATATCGGTGTTAATTTCTAATAAAAATTGAGGACCTGAAAAATGAAGTCTTGGAATGCGATTCTTCCTCCAATGAAATGCTGGGGTTGTTTGTGTACAACCTCTTTTATCAAAATCTATGATATTCTTCAAAAAATCTGCTAGAAGTTAAGAAAGACTCAACAGCTGCTAATGAACTGGATAAACTTGTCAATATGTTTAAGAGCAGTGCTTTTACCACTCTGCTTCTCAAGTCTTCGGCAAGAATTTCATTCAATCACTTTTCTCTGCTTATTAAAAATGACCTAAAACTCTGCCGTTTCATCTCTGAAAAACATCTTGCAACTCATGAGAAACAATGTTTCTAAAATTCAATGTATGTAAGTACCTTTTGGTGTGACACTGAGCTCTGAGTCGGACGATCTGCGATGGGTATGAGCAATTTTGGCCGGTGACTGTGACAAAATTTTTGAGGCAGATGGTGTTAAAGACTGTGGTATAGTTTGGCCGACTGAAACATCTCCATCTCCGTCCCCCGATTTGCAGATTCCTTGAGTTGATGAGCTATCAGAGAAAGAGGGTCGAGGAGGCAACGTGCGGTTAGTACTATGTGAAACTCCAAATTCATTAAGGGAATCTAAACTACTTGTACAATTGTTAATACATTTACTGGCGTCAGGGTTCTTGTTGGTGCTGTTAGCAGGTAAATAGTCTGACACTGGGATAAATTTGGAATATGGCTCAGGAAAATTCTGTGCGCCGAATATCTGAGACTCACTAATGCTACCACTCGTTTCTGATTTTGAGCTATTTCTTGAAACAGTATCTTGGCTTTCGAGTTTTGGCTGACATGGTGGGACAGCACTGCAATCTGTTTCAGGCTGAGTCGATTCCTGCTTTACAGCACAACCAGAGAAAGACAAACTGTTAGAACAAACAACCTTGAGCTTTGAGAAATCATCACTTGGTTCGACTCCAACGATTTTGGAAACGCCGTCACAAAACTTTGTCTTGCAGTCAATTTTCGAGCTCCAAGATGAAGTGACCATTCCTTCCATGGAGTCTTTTGCATCTCGCTGTTTTTCAGCTACACTATTAAGCAAATTTTTCGCAAGATTTAATGTTAGGTCTGAGTTGTTTAAGGTTAGAGCATTAAACTCCAAAGTATAGCCACAAGATTGCGGAGATTTACAAGAGGTGGAGAATAAAGGACTGGAGTTGCAATGTTTCAATTTAGTTTGAGCAGATTCATGCCAAAAATAATTCAATTTCTGGTCAACACTATTTGAAATTCTACTCCACGAGGGGGGTAAAGACCTAACGTGCTGAGTTTTGAATTTGGACAAAGAAGGTGAGGTGTGAGACAAAGGTATACTTTTTACAGCAGGTGTAGGGGATGGCACACATTCAGGCTTGATATTTCTGTTGCAGTAGGCTTTTAGATCATGGATTATATTTTTTCCCCCCCAAAGATTTGAGCGCCCAGAGCAAAGTGGGCTCGCATCAATTTTTTCTTCTCCCATACTAAAATTAAGACTATTGGTGTGGGTAATCCTCTGATTGAGCTCATGGATTTCAGATGACTCCTGAAAAATTTGAGCTGTTTTGTGAGTGCTAAATTTGGATTCTGGAGAATTTATGGAATCCGCACCATAAATGTCACTATTTGCCATAGATTTGGGGACAATTTTCTTAATCTCTTGATCATATGTCACTGAGGTTGCCTGTTGCAGATTTTGCAGGGGCTTTGGATAGGGAGCATTGGAAATAAAACCAGTGACATTTTCCTGCTCCGACGCAGAATTATTTCTCTCCTCCATCTGCAATGTGGAGATTTTTCCCATTGAACCTGCTTTGTAACATGATGATGCCTGGTCAATAAACTGTTGATATTTGATGTATTCTGCTTTAGACTTTAATTCTCTCTGCAGCCTTAGGTCTGGCATGGACTTGAATATATTAGTTTTCTCTGTACTTGAAGAATCATTGAGAGGAATATATTTTAATTCTCTTTTAGCTTTAGCATTATGCAATGAACCAATGACAGTCATGTGGTGGATGCCTGACTGTGAGGAATATAGGGTTTCCTCATCAATGGGCTCCTGAGCGGGAGGCATCTCGTAGGGTTCCATTTCTGACAAAGGCGGTGTATTGCTTCTTTGTGCTCTACTCTTAGGAATGGATTGCTTCTCAATATTTCTCAGTTCTTGGTTATGTTGTCCTCTAGTAGATGGTTCAAATTCATTTTTAGAGGAAATTCTTAATGGCATTTCCACTGGAATTTTGATACAAGAGCTTTCCAATCCTACACAAGAGGTGTGAGATAATATGCTATTTTGTTGTTTCTCAGACTGTGATCCTGAATGGATTGCAGATATAACATTTAATGATTCATTGCCAACTATTATGGGTTGAGTGATTTTTTCTCTGAGACATGTTGAGTTGGTACAAAAATTCCTAAAGTCTCTTGGATTATTAGCTGAAATGGAGTGCTGAATCATCTCTTCATTAGGAGCTCCATACTTTTCAGCATTTGGAGTACGCTGAGAATCAGTTTGAGGAGCTTCTTTGGCTAAAATTTCAGATTTCTTCTGATCTACATTCATACAAAATTTTTCAGTTCTGCGAACATCAGAATGAGGACAAGATTCTGATCTTGATTCAACTTTTTCTGAAAATACTTTCTCTGTCTCTTCACCCATCCTTAAAGGTAAGTTAGGAACATTATATGAGCATACATTTTTCTTCGTTGAAGCATCTTCCACACCAGTTATTTCCTGAAATTTTGATAGGCCTTCAAGTGATTCCGTCACCTTGACAGAAGAGCAACTCAACTGGACTGGTTGAGTATCACTGCACTCATTAGGTGGAATGTTCGGACTCATCCTAGGACGAATCTCCACATCTGTAGAGGAACTTCTCACATTGAGCGATGATTTATCATCAGCAATAAGGTTGGAGCTGAAAGCATCATTGCCGTCTGATGTTCCATCATAGAAACTTTGCGAAATTTCTGTCATAATTGATGAGGATTCAGAAGCTGTTCCTAATTCTGATTCAGAACTTTCACTAGATCTTGATGAAGTTTTACTTAAATTGAGGGATAAATTAGCAACGCTTTCTTCTTCAATAGAACTGTATACGTGACCAAAGTTGAAGACTGGATCTTTGGTTAAAGATGCAACCAAAAATGAAATCGTATCACTGCGAGATCCATCTGCATACTGCAGCTCTTTCCTAGACTCACTCAAACTTTTGGACAAAGATAAGGAGGAGGAACGTATTGCATTTATGAATTTCTTTGAATTTCTTGAATTAACATTAAGTTTTCTGAAACTACTCAAGGACGAACTATCTTCTCCAGAGCCAGATTCTTTTTTGACAAATTTATGCTCATGGCTGTGACGATACTGTTTTCTCCCCAATTTCAAGCGAGAATTCATAAAAAAAGGATTCGTTTTCTTGGAAAAACGAGAGTAAAGCTTTCTCCCATTTGGATGTCTTTTAGGAGGAATATAGGGACTATCTTTTTGAGTTGGACTATCAGGGATGATATTAATCACTGGAAATTGTGTTGAATCATCCCTGGATTTTTGTAGCAGATGAAAGGCATCAATTTAAAAAGTCAAGCAGAGAGAAGTAAGCCATAAATCGATATGAGAACAATCATAAAAGTACGGGTAAATGATCAACACACAAATTATCAAACCAAACAGGGTGTAGAAAATACAAACCAAGGAATTTAAGAAAAAACAAAACAAAAAATTAAAAATTAGAGAGATTCATTAAAAAAGGCAACATAGTTTTTTTGGAAGGTAAAATTGAAAAAAAGGAGGAAATAGATAAGACCGTGTGAAAAATAAGCAATGGCTTCCTTGAAGAAATTGAATAGTGGGTAGAAGAATACAGTTTTGCTGTTTTTATAAACCAACATTTACGAAGAGTTGATTCGCAATTGATACTTTCTTCCTTCCTTACATACCTGCGCTTCTGCCATAATCACTGATTCACCCTCCAGGGGTGGTGTTGCCAACCTACACTGGTTGGGACCAACCCAGGCAATCAAACATTGTTATCTTGTAAAATACCTTGCAAGAAATTATAACCAGAAACAAAAATACTCATAACAGGTCATTCTGAATTTTTGAGGAAAGCCACAAAATTGTTTGACAATGTTCAGGTTGTAACTAAGGTGGCCTCAAACAAGTGATTGGATACACTTTTTTTAGAGACTAAAACTGTCAGGAGATTTTGGATTGATCATCGTGTCAATCAAGATAAATAAAAGTAATTGGCGTCAGCCAAAAATAACACTGTGATGGTTGAAGTATGAAAATTCCAATAGTAATATTGAAAGCATTATAACAGTACATAGTATAGAGTAAGTATGTTGCTGATGTTATGCCTAATGGTGATTCCGGCAGCCACCCAATAATTGAATAACCATTTTGTATTTAAAGTTATTTTTTCTCTGGTGATATTTTTATTTTCTTTTGATGTAAATTTTTAATTCTGTAATAACGATATTGGATGGCAAATAAACAAAAAAAAAAGAGTAAGTATGTGATAAAAATATTTCGATGAGAGACAATTTTTAGAAAATGATCCTAATTTCATTTTATAAAACCAATGGTGCTTAGAGCAAGACTTGAAGAGATTTTCGTCTCTTCTCTGTTAGATTTGATAATTAGACATTATTAAGACGAACGGATCAATCTACAAAACACATTTTGAAACCCGGCAGATAATCCAATTGAATGCTTCAATAGCTGCTCACTTGCTCATTATTAAATATTCCTTCTGTGAATGAAAGTGTTCTGCTTAGTGACAGTCAGTGCAATAGGCGCTGTCTTGCATGAAAAAAAAAACAAAAAACAAACAAACTTACTCTTCGTTGGAGGTATCCCTTACAGATGTTGAAATTGGATCGGGAATTTTCACCAAAGTAACGACAGTCCCGATACCCCTGACAACAATTCCTGACTCTCCTTCAAGATCAAAACATTGTATATACCTTCACAAAAAAAAAGGATGATTACAAACATACGGCAAAAAAGAGGCTCATCTTAATTTGCTAATTACTGTAAACCCTGATAACGACAAAAGACCCAAAATTAGAAAATAAGATGACTGAAAACCTATCGAAAAAGGATATCCTAAATTTTAAGGTCAAAATTTGAGCATTGGAACTGTTTTGTAACAATATTTCAATAAAACATTGTTGCGGAAATAATCCTTCAGGATTGATAAATCGGCCGATGTTCAGCACTATTTTGTTCCGGTTCACCGCAGCCTTAAAGGGGGGGGGGGGGCGAGATACTCAACGCACTTTTGACTAGTTGTTATAGGTGGCCGCACAATAGTGCATTTTCAGAGCCAAGTCTTGGCGATCTGCAGTGCAGTTTCGGGCATGTCCTTCTTGTTAGCTACTATGAGGCTGCTGACAAACCGCAAAATTGACGTCTGATGTACGTCTCAAGTATGAGCACTGAGATTCAGACCCAAGATCCTCAGCATGAGCAGTTAATTTTTGATGCCAGTCAATGGTGTTTCTTATGAGTCAAGTTGTCGTTTTAGTAGAAGTTGCATTGAAATCCAATATGAGTCTTGAGCAGTCAAAGGCAAATCTTGAAAAGGCATATAGTCATTAGGAGCTTATATATATGATGGAAGTAAAGAAACCAGCAGTTCAGAATTGAAGTCTGAAAATTGCGAGATAGTGTTATATGTCCAACATTCGAGATTCATGTTGCCTGTGAGGCCTTTCCTACCAGCCCGCAAATAGGGTACGTCCAATATTACAGTGCTAGGATATTGAAAAGCTTTAATAATACCCGAGATGGGTTAGCATTTGAAAAAATTTGAAAGGAATAAAATTGTTTACATTTAAATTTGTAGTCAAAAGCAGTTTAATACTTGTGTACATTCCGAACATAATTTGAATTATTTTTCAATCCTTGTTTTTAACTATTCATTAGTGTTCTTCCCAGTGTGATTGTGATGACAGCTGGAATTAGATTAGAAACTTTAGGATATGCTATTAGACATGTCTGACCAGAAAGGCAAGATTAGACAAGTTCATTCTATCATTAGGTCGACGCAAGTAACTATCACAAAAGGAGTTTCCTTCAAATATATTTCAATTAAGATGTAAAAAATCTTACCCAATGACAGCGTTGCCTCCCATATCAATGACTTTAAGACCTATTTTGCGATGCACCTCTCCTGACAATTTGAAAAATGTTGTCTGTCTGGCCTCGTTTGTTACACGAGGCGTGCGAATTTTTTCTATCCACTGATATTCAGGATCAGAGGTTTTAATTAATTCTTCTACAAATCCATGAATTGCAAGAGCATTGTGTCCATATGGAATTCCACTTGCTAAAAAGATAAAGTTGGAAGGTAATTAAGTAAAAAGAATTATCTATTACTTATTATTTTATTGTTATTTCATTTGCTTGGTATGTCAACATGAGGATTACTCAAAAAGAGTAAGTAAGAATGGTTCAGGGTTTAGAATTTGGAGACAAATGGACGTAGGTTTTCTACTCGATAAGCAATTGATGCTTCAACGACACCTCACCTCCTTAGAAAAATGGAATTTTCTTTTTTCATTAGAAATCATGAGAAAAAAAAAATTAAGAAAAAACATGTTTTTTTAAAAAAAGTAATTGTTTATCTTACTTGAATAACTTTATGTCTCTTGAGAGGAGACATTCCTGGATAACTAGTTATGTTGTTTACATTGCTTAATAAGACTCCTTGTATACTTAAAATTACTTTTTTCCTAGGGTGAAAAATGTATTCTGTGAAATTTCTCTTCTTTGCGCAAATGATTTAATTGATATTTCAATGCAGCAATTGTTACCCAAGAACTTTCATATCCAGACAAATGCACTCATGTATGAGAGGCATCCATAAAATAAGTGTAAATCTTGTTTTTCTCGGAAACTAATGAAGATAGATGAAAACTTTGAGAAATGTACTAACTGTTAGACTCGCAGCTTTTCAGAATATACTCATTTTTTAAATTTTGTGTACCAATTTGCAAGTGATCTCAATTCTTCTGCATCCAACTTTCACCGTAACTTGTCAAAAATACTTGTATGCTGCAGAGCACATGTTTCTTTGAAGTTCCTGGCAACTATTCTACATCAGTAGCCTTCTTAGGCCACTGAAACTTCTTTTTAAGTCAGAATTTAGAAAATAAATGAGAGTCAGTTATTAAAATGTCTGGTGAGTAGAGCAAACAAGAAAAAAAGGTTTTCACAAAAATAACAATCCTTGAGTTATGTGAGTGCAAGCATTATCTTAGAAGAGCAAAACCTACCAGTTGTAAAACTTAGAGATACAATATAAAATGATTCAAGTGATTATTCATAATTCTTACAAGAAAAAAACTGGACGCCACAGGATGATTCTCTAAATTTATTAAAATCCGAAAACAGCTCAACTTTTACTGTCACATGAACTTCACCTCGAATTCCATGCATTGTATCATAAACTGGAAACCATCCTGACAGAACTGATCCTAAAACAAGGGAAGAAAAAAAAGGCACGCATTAATGAGAAACAGTCGCAAGTTTCCGTGAATTCCAAAATTTTCTTGCAAAGGCTTTCACAGTTTCTTTTGACAGTAAAGTTGCTTTTAGTAATAGATTTGAACAGCTCAAATATAGCTTATGTGTCAGGGGTTCAGAGAGTTCTTTACAGTCACATAAAATACCCTTTTTGTGCAAGAGCTTAGTGTTGGCCCAAGACAGGGGTGTAGAATGTTCTCAATCTTGTGGCCGCTTGTGTGAGAATTGGGGAGGACTTTTGTTTTTTTTACCCTCGTTTTCAGGGAAAAAACAGGGAAGCGCATTGTTATTTGTGCTAGATGCCTTTCAAACATGCTGCTCCTGGGGAAGGAAACTATCAAGCAAGTTGTTTTATTTACTGAAAATCTTTCAAGCGCCCTGCTTGTGGGGAAAGATACTTTTAAGCGCACTGCTTTTAGGGAAGGAAACTTTTAAGAACGTTGCTTTTGGAGACGGAAACTTTTAAGCACGCTGTTTTATATGCTGGAAGTCTTTGAAGCACCCTGCTTGGGGGGAAAGATACTTTTAAGCGTGCTGCTTTTAGGGAAGGAAACTTTTAAGTTCGCTGTTTCATATGCTGCAAGTCTTTCAAGTGCGCTATGGCGAAGGGAGCTGTTAAGCGTATTGTTTTATGTAGAGGCACAATTATAGCAAAACAGCAAATTTGGGGAAGGCAAATTATGAATTGGGGAAGGCTAAGAACTTTTTGTACCCCTGCAGCCTGATTGTTGAAATTTTTTGTTTGTCGGGTGGAAATGGATGACATAGGTTAAATGGCGAAGCGTGATTGGTCTGCTATGTCTTATCGTTGCTTTGTCGGGTGGAATGGACGACACACTGTTGGATACTCAAGAGGTGCTTTTAGTTTGTCGTCCATTCCGAACGACAAAGCAACGATAAGGCATAGCCGACCTATCATGCTTCGCCATTTAACCTGTGCCATCCATTTCCACCTGACAAACCAAAAATTTCAACAATCAGGTTGCTGATCCAAGAAAGCACCCAACAATTTTCTTCACAAAAAACCAATAGGTACATTTGACTATTTTTCTCATAAAAACCAATGAGCAAGAGTGTCTTCAATTTTTTTCCCCCAAACAAAATGCGCTGACTGTGGTGACCTTTACAAAACACAGCAGAGGAGAAACTTGACTCCTTTCACAAAAATTTCTCGTCCTCGACTGCTTCCACAAAGAAGCACAGGAGCCCCCCCCCCCCNCAACCCCAGCATTTTCTTGGCCCCCAGTGTGTTCTTTTCTTTTACTTTACAATGAAAGCAGTTTGCGCTGCTGTCTTCATTAGCTCAAAAAGTGATCAAAAGGAAGTTTAATATACCTGACGGCATTGAAGTGACAACTGGAGGAGCAGAGGCATCAATAGTCTTGGCTGTTGGATACATACACTGCAAGTGTAACAAAGGATTCAAATCTAGGTAAAGTTTACCAATTGCATCATTTGCTGAGTATGTGTCATGGTCCATTACTCTAATTTGCAAGGGTTCATCTTGGAGCTCAGCATCATCCATCTATAAGAAGAGGATAACATAGAAATCTACGCAAACAACTTAAACAAATAGAAACCAATGATAGAACTTGAAAAAAATATCTTTATTGCAGTGTTTTAAAAAGTCCACTCATAATTCAATTTTTCATTAGAATTTTATTTGTTTTCCATGAAATTTTCAGTTAGTATCCTTAAAGGAGTAAGAATGATGTAAAGGAAATTCCATCCGGTTACATAGATTGGTTGTCTTGTAGAACGTTACAATGTGATATGTAATGATTCTGCATTGGCACAAACAGAGATATACAAGATGGTCCCAAAGTCATAAGACACCAACGAATTGAGATACCTACAGAGAATTTTGACAGTGCTCCTGTGTCAAAGTAAACTACTGTTTGGACCCCCAAAATTTGTTGAGCCTTTTTAGGAGGGGGGTAAAGACCCCAACTTTCATTTAAAATGGTAACCCCTACCTTATGACACATAGTTGGATAGAAAATGGAAAAAGAAAATTCTGACTCAAAGGACTACGCCTGGAATACTAAGAAATTTGGACCTGGCAAAAGTTTAAATTATTTTTAATAATGATCCTTAAATTTATCCATTCCACACTGCTCTAACAGTGGAATCTGCTTTCAAATTTATGTGATAGCTTACTTATACTTTAAAGTAGCAATGCTGCCCCTTATTCACTTGTAGGAAATTGCTCAATTGCCATAAAGCTCTAAATGCTCTTCTGTTTCATGCAATAAATAATATATCAACGTGAAAGTTGGGAAGTGTTTAACTGTACTGTACCAGGGATGCAGAAACTTATCAATCCATGACCACTCGCATGGGAAATGGGCAAGACTATGAAAATGGGGGAGGCTGTAGAGTTTTTTTTTTTTTTTTTTTTTTTTTTTAACCACTCAGTGCACCAAGTTCCCCAACATAGGTTTTTTGGTCATAACATGAGAACAGCTGCTCGTATCACTACATATAGCACCATTTTCTGAATTCTCGTGAAATTTTGGAGCAGTATATCACACTCTCAATTTTCCATAGCCCCCTAGTGCTCCCCAAAATTGCAAAAACATCATTTCAAGGCATATTTTTGATGATTACTCTGCAGGAAAAGTTCGCCCATGGCTGTTCAACAACAAACGCTGCTTTATGTCACTCTGAACTGTTAGTGCGATTTACTGTCAGCTCACTGACTACCGTTTTTGAGCCCAAGTCCAGGAGGGGGGGGGGAAGAGCTCCCAAATATCGTAATAAAAAGTACTCATGAAGAGGGGGTGTTTCACCTTGTTTTTTAAAACTGACCATGCAGACTTGAAGCTCTGGTCAAGCATTCATGTTCAGAATGACATAAAGCAGTGTTTGTCATTGAACAGCCGTGGGAAAACTTTTCCTGCAGAATTATCACAAAAAATATGCCTTGAAATGATGTTTTTGCAATTTTGGGGAGCACCGGGAGGCTATGAAAAATTGAGAATGTGTCATACTACTCCAAAATTTCACGAGAATTCAGAAAATGGTGCTATGTACAGTGATAGGAGTGACCGCTCTCATGTTATGACCGAAAAACCAATGTTGGGGATCTAACCCCCCCCCCCCCATAAACCCAAAGCTGTCACGCTATTGATGGGAACTTTTTTTAAGGGGCTCAGGGGGTCATAAGGACTCAATGTGCCATTAATTAGCTTGTTATTAATTTTTTCCCTTAACTTTCGTATAATTCCTGGACTAATCGCTCTACAGTAGGGATATACAACTCAGCATTGAGTTGGATGCAAAATGTTGCCATCAATGAAAACTGAGTAGGCTGAAAACTAACTATTCAAGAATGATGAAAGGAAACTTACTTCAAAACGATACCATTCTGAGTTCCACTGGGGGTTCAAAGATTTACGGTAGACATCAGTTTTGTAGGTTGTTGTACCCAATTTGACCTCACAAAAAGCATCCGTGGTTTCTGCTGACCGATCCATGATTGGAAGATTCCTTGCAGCGAGAATCTTCACTTTTATTTTCCCAGGCATTTCTGACTTTTAGCTGCACATGAGAGATTCATTAATTGTTTAAAGATTTTCAATGGGATGGTCCTAAAAATGGTATGGAGATAGTACAATATTGAATTTGACTAAATTTGCCAACAAATTAATTACTATTGCTTCAATCTTTAAAGTTGACCGATTTTTAAAATTGTCAGTAGTTTTCACTTAAAATACTAAACACGAATGGGCTGCGCTATTTCATTTCTTTTATATTCTTAAATTACCATGCATAAGAAAAAAAAATTAGCTCCAGATTACTACAAGAGTTCGTTGATGATGAAGTGTTGACCCAGGATTCCTGTGGGCTAGATAGCCCACTGTACCAGCACCGTAAATAAATCAGTACTACTTCAAAATGATAATACTTTGTTGTAGTAAGCATTACTGAGTGAATTCATGACATAGTTTATTGGATAAACTGTTGGAATTTACTGTAACAGTACTCCTCCAACTTCAAGTACCTACCTTACAGCATGCCTTCAACAAATTGCACTTCCGGGCGGACGTTCAGTGGTGAAGTTTACCGAGGCTACCAGTTAAAGAAAAGGAACTATACAGGTATGTGACGGTGATTTATTTTGCAGCGACAGAAAAGAAAAAATAGATAATTAGAACAACATAGGTGATGAGAATTTCTCGGCTGTTGCCTTTACCGTGCGTTATGCGCATGTACGCAGTACGTTTGAGGTTACTATCACTGTCATCACAAATTTCTAATAACCAAATAAAAGAAAATTCACTCCGCTGCATCAGGACTCAAAATTTACTACGTTTGCCACTTCCAAGCAAGAAGGACGGCAAACCTCCAAATGTCATGCCAGATAATCAAAATTATAGTATAATGAGCTTTTGACTTTTGATAAGGGGTCTAAGGGGTATGTTGTATGTTTATGTTGCGGCATAGATATTGCATAGATACAACAATCGTGTAGAGATACCGCTACACGGAGACGAAATGATGGGTATGCAACTCGGATTGCATGTATTACCAGGTGGTCTACAGGGTGATCCAATTTCCCGTTGCCAAAAGAGCAAAACACTCCTCCGTCCCCTCTAACTTGTTAGTTGTTGACTAACAATAAGGTAAAGACTTGAAACTTGGGGAGATGTTCTTAGGTGAGAGGAAACTGCTTTTTGGCTCCCTAAAATTTTCGAAGGGCCCCCTTCGAATCCTTCGAAAAGGTAATGAACTCTAACTTTTTGCTTCCAATGGAGTCCACTAGAGTCCACCACACCCTTCGTGATATATCTCGTGTATAAGAACATAAAGGTGGCCACTTTTCACGTAAATCCGAAGTCATTATCTCAAACCATTTCACACTGGCTAAAGTTGAAAATGGCCTAAAATTAGCACCTATTTTTTGCTGTTGAATTTGCCTGAAATTTTCAGTAATTGGTGATATTTTAAGACGAGAAAAACGAATTTGGCGTCCGATATTTTTGTCTCTGAAAAACAATGAGATTTACAAAATAACCAACTTTCGGCCACTTTGAACTCAAAGCGGCTGCCATTGTGAAATCAAACCGGCCACCATTTTGAAACGGGTTGGGATAATGACTTCGGATTTTCTTGTTTTACTCGAACGAGGTATCATCATGAGGGTCTTTTATTTTGAAAAAAAAAAAAAACTAGGGTCCGTTGCCTCCCAAGTAGTCTCCCCTTGAAAATTTAAGAGGACCAAAAAGTAGCTCTCTTTGACCGATGAACACTTTCCAAGTTTTAAATTGTTAAGTACCTCAAGTAGTTAAAAAACAGTATTCCCGGGTGCTCCGAGTGCGCAGAGATGGAAAATGAAATTTCACGTTTAGAAATTTCATGAAACACGTGAAATTTCATGAAATTTCATAAGGCTCGAATAAATTTCACAAAAGTTGAAATTTATTAATTTTTCTTAGAATTATTGATTAAACCTTTGGAGGTCTGAAAGCGTTTCAGATAGTCTTTCTGTTGATGCCGCTGTATTATGCTACTCTACTGAAGGCGCCAGACACAAAGAGGGGGCAAAAAGGGGAGGTTAGGGCAAAGCGAGAAAAACCCCAACCTAACCTCTAAACTAAACGAAAACATTTGCAACGCGCGAAAGTTTTAGGCTTGGGGTAAAAAATTTCAAAATTTAGAATCACTGTTGCTTGGCGTTTCTTAGCCTCCTGAAAATATCCCCAAAAGTTTTAATAAATTTCATGAAATTTCAATAAATTTGTGAAATTTCAGAATTTTCAGTAGTCAACAGTCAGCGCTTAAAAGCGGAAATTTCACTAATTCGAGTTATTTTTATCCAAATGTGTATCAAATTTATTCGAATAGTTTAATCGCTGAAAATCGTTGCTGAATTTTGTGCGTCACGCGTTGGTCACGCGCAAAATTCAGGTATCGGGCCGTTGACTTCCACATTCAAGCCTCATTTAGCTCCCACATTCAGCGTGTGATTGCGGCATTTGTCCGTACGCGATCCGTATCGGTATAGGGAATGTCCGCGCGGCACGGATTTGGGATCTCTGGTAAAAAATTAGAGGGGGTGAAAGAGACTTTTGGATCACTCTATACAGGGTGATCCAAAAGTCCCTTCCACCCTCTCTAACTTTTTACCTAATTGAGATAAAGATTTGAAATTTGGGGGATATTCCTAGGTCAAAGGGAACTAAGTTTTGGCCCCCCTAAAATTTTCAGGGGGGCCCCCCTTGGGAGGGCAACGGCCCCCAACTTTTAATTTTCAAATAGGAAGACCCCCTTTGTGATAGCTCGTGCGAAAGAGCATAAAAAAAGAAAACTTTTCGCGCAAACCCGAAGTCAATATCTCAAACCGTTCCAAAATGGCGGCCGGTTAAAGTTCAAAATGGCCGAAAATTCACACCGGTTATTTGACGATGGATTTGCGCGAAAATCGGTTTGTAGGGGTATTTTGACACGAGAGAAACGAATTTGACGTTAGATTTTTTTTTAAAAAAAAACCGAAATTTCCAAAATGGCCGCCGGTTACAGTTCAAAATGACCAAAAATTGATTTTTTTTTAGAAATCTAAGTTAAAATTTGTTTATCTTATGCCAAAATACTCTCAAATTCCAAGTTTTAGGTAAATCCATCAGTAAAAAACCGAGGTGACAATTTTCGGCCATTTTAAACTTTAACCGGCGGCCATTTTAAACTTTAACCGGCGGCCATTTTGGAAATTTTGGTTTTTTTGAAAATCTAACGTCAAATTCGTTTTTCTCGTGTCAAAATACCCTTACATACCGATTTTCGCGCAAATCCATCGACAAATAACCGGTGTGAATTTTCGGCCATTTTGAACTTTAACCGGCCGCCATTTTGAAACGGTTTGAGATATTGACTTCGGATTTGCGCGAAAAGTTTTCTTTTTTTATGCTCTTTCGAACGAGCTATCACAAAGGAGGTCTTCCCATTTGAAAATTAAAAGTTGGGGACCGTTGCTCCTCTTAGGGGGGCCCCCTGAAAATTTTAGGGAGGCCAAAAAGTAGCTTCTTTTGACCTAGGAATATCCCCCAAGTTTCAAATCTTTACCTCAATTAGGTAAAAAGTTAGAGGGGGTGGAAGGGACTTTTGGATCACCCTGTATATTGAAAGCTGGCTGTTAGAAGAGTGTATGCGGTAGGAGGGGGGGGGGAGGAGATTGAAAAATACCAGAATCGAGACCAGAGAAAACATACCTACATGTACCTACATCCTACATACGATGCTTACATACAATGATCGAGACCCACTGTTTCAGGCGTTTCTTGGTCCGCTGATGTTTCCAAAACTTTTAAGAATTTCATGAACTTTTACTCGTACTTCGTGAAATTTCGCGACATCCCTCCCTCTCTACTAGGGATGTCGATACTCAGGGAAGTATCGATACTCGGTATCGATACTGGTATCGACTCTAAGCATCGATACCGGTATCGAGCATCGAGCTGAAGTATCGATACTTATGAGGTATCGATACCATCGATACTATTTCAAAATTATGCCGTGATTCTGAGTGTGCGTATGTCTGTCGGCCGTTAAATTCCGCCAGATTTACGCCTCTCTCGAAAAAGCCCTGTTCGCGTCCTTGGTCAACTATTTTGAGCCCTTAACTACAGTTATCGAACTGAGCTTTTAACATTTTCATTGAAGTATAATCATCTTGAGAAACTTGATTACTCCGTCGTTTGTCACAGTGCATCATGGAGGTGAAATAGTAGGGAGAGAGTTTTTTAAAAAAGAAAAAGAGGCCTTTTTCATGGCCAAATCAGACTAAGTATCGATACCGTCGATACTGGGGTCTTGACATCGATACTGCATGGTATCGATATCGTGGAGTATCGATGCCGAGTATCGTTAAGTATCGATCGAAAGTATCGATACTTTGCAAGTATCGGATAAGTATCAACATCCCTACCATAGAATAAAGAGACTAACGTCAACAGAAGCGAAAGCCCCCGCCATTTTCATGTCAACGAAGCATACCGAAAGGAGGCTGTTTCAATAAGTACTGTTTACGTTTGCGGTTTTGGAGAGGTCGAATAATAACGGATACATACGTTTTAAGGAATTGTAAGAGTTTTCTTTTAACTTATTTATCGTTAAACCGAAGAAGTACTGTATATTCGCTTAAAATTTAATGTTTTTTTCCACTTTTATATTTGTAGGTAACCTCGAAATTGGTTTCAATCTGCGCAGAAAAATGTTAACATTGGTTCTTACGGAGCTTTCGCTTCTGTTGACGTAGTCTATTTATTCTATGTCCCTACTCTCTACCTGTGTAGGTATTTGATGTGGACTAGACAGATCTCGACAGGAGAAAAGGGCTTTGTTTATTCGGCTCTGGAATGTGCTCCGATACGCGAAATGTCTCTCGACGATTTCAAATAATAAAAAATTTAAAATGATTAAAATTAATTATTCTAATAAATTACTTCAACATTCAACATAGAGATTCATTGCCAGACCGTTCCTATTCCAGTATCTGTTCCGAGTTCCGACTATGATAGCGGGTTCAGGTTCAGACAAGGAAACGAGTGGGAAGAAATTCTGTCGACGTGAAAACATGAACGATTGTGATTCCCCGATCCCCGACTCCCTTGTCGCTATCTAGATTGTCCGCTTTGCTTTTAAGTTTTGCCCAATTTATACCCTCATTTCGTCGTAAATGCAGTTTCGTATTTTGCATAATCGTGTACGGAATGCATTCCAACCGGAGTTCCATAGCGCTACCACTCCCGTAGTGCGAATCCCACGTTTTGAATTGTCACGCCATTTCTGTAGCAGGTGGAATCAGCGAAGATAGTTTACAATCAAGCTGCGTTTAGGTACAGATTTCTGAAGATGAAAGTGCGATAAAGACAAAATTGTACAACCATTCGGCCCGTGCTGATCAGTAAGCTGCCGGCGGCTAATGATGGAATGAAGGCTATGCTGATTGAAGACTGTGTAATGTCAACATGTGCCACAATGACAGAGGATAGAAGCATAAATGGAGACATAAATATCAACAGCAAGAAAAGCACTATTTTGAATTCCAATGGCCCGTTCAGTCCAGTTTCAAACTCCAACATAGACCCTGATAATTCTGCGAGTTTTGGAGGCGGGAGACTAAAATTTTTCAAAGGTAACTCCATTTCAAATTTATATCTTCACCTTGTTTACTTTCAAACCAGCAACCTTATCGTAGTTGGACAATTGTAGGGCTTGCTGCTGTACATAGTTATAATCACTTATATTTTCCGAGTTAAGCTAGCTTTGGGCCGCAGTTTCTTTCCTGCTATCATATATTCTTGTAAAAAAACCTAAAGATACCCTTTGTGAACTCGTAGGAAGTGTATTCTTGGTGGGTTCTGTGGCGGAAGCCAACATTGACACACTATTATTCCTCGCATTCGAATTGTGAAGTAAGATGCTTGCTCCATTAACTCTGAAGAATTGACTTAAAATTCAACTGCCTTGCCTATTTGTATGTACTTGGATCTATGACAGCAGCAATTTTTTCCTTAGTCTCATATGAAGACTTCTCCTGGTAATTCAGTTATTTCATAATGAGAATTTAAGCATCCTATTCCTACCCGATATCACGCAGAGATGTAAAATATTTAATAACCTCTTCATGTTTAATTATATCCTTTGAAATTGCTGAATTAGGGAGTAGGATGTTTCCTGAGGGATTAGAACACACTATAAAGTAAATTTGTTACCAAAAATATGTGTTGGCACTGTTATCTCATCTGTATAGCTTATTCTATCTTTTTTCTCTGTCTATTACTAAACTTGGAGGAAATTTCTACATGAGAAGTAAGGCTGCTATTAGGGTTTTTCATTCAAACTTTTTGGTTGGCAGATGTTTTCGAACTGAACCTCTCTGGTCACGGGGAAATGCCAAAACCAGGAAATTTAATCGTTTTCGTTGAACAACATATGAAAATCATCAGAACAATCATTAATGTTTTATTCTTAGTCATTCGATTGCCCTTTCCTGCAGACAAGATAAATATCTGTTATCTGCTCTTAAAATCTCTAATGCTAGTCTCGCAAATCAGATAGGCCACAAACACAATATGTAACAAAATATCTCAAATAACTATGAATTATCGGAGCTTAATAAGTTTTTGGCTAAAGAAGCTTCAGCAGCTAAAATTCACCTTTGTTCAGCTGAAAAATTATGAAAATCATTTTGGTAAAGAATCATATGCAGAATCTAAATTTTTTTAGGAATTCAGAGGGAGTTTTAGTCAAAGAGTATGTGAGAGAGAAAATCCAAAATTTTCATTTGCTGCCAGGTGAACTTTCCCTAAGGTTATTCATTCTTGAAATTATTCCAACCGGAGTAGCATAGGGGTGCAGAATCTTCCAAGCCTCTGTGTTTTCACGTGCCTGCCCGCCTGTTTCCCACATTTTTCTCATCAGTTTTCCTAGAAAGTTCCGATCAGTTTCATAAGTAAGGACCTTTTTCCTCTTTCTTCCTTTGATTTTCAGCTTTGACCCTTTAAAATTTTCCCTCCTTCCACATTTGTAAGAGCCTTTCCACATTCTCACATGCCTGGGCGCGCGATCAAGCGTTTTCTGAACCCCTGGAGTAGCAGGATGCAAACTATAGTATAGTATAAGAAGTATCTACTAGCTTTTCCTTCTCTTTTTCTTTTAATTTGGAGTTATAAGAGAAAGATCCGTCACAGAGGTCAATGAGACTAGTTATTTTTACTGAGAACCAAATTTTGTTTGCACCTTTATCGATGCATGTTGTGAATTTTTCACTTCAGACTCCCCCAACTGATCCAGGAATAGATGTGGTTTCCTAAATGACTTAAAAGTATCTCAAAAATCTTCTATTTGACTTAATTAAGTTTCTTGCAATTTTCTAGTGTTACAGATGTCAAATACCCAGTCACAAGTATCCTATTATTCAATCAGCAGTTTAGGATCAGGGTATTACCTAATTTTAAATTAAGAAGGCCCAATTAATTCCTGAAGATGACAGAGAGTTTGATGATGCAACAATATTTATGCACTATTTAATGATAGCCACTATAAATAAGTAAATGTAATACATGAAAGCAAGAGTTCCAGAAGGAAACTGTGATAAAACTAGCACCTGCATTAATTACTTTCTTTTTAAATTTTATAAATAAGGTTTCTTTCATTGGGCTCTATTACTGCTTCTCTGATCCGCACAGTTATGACTTTTTCCCTCATCAAAGGTCTTTCAAGAATTATTATTTCAATTATTTTTTCTATCTTTATTTATTTATTTTTTTTTTTTTTCAAAGAATGCTTTGGGACACATTGGTTTAAAATCAAAGGGCATATTTTCCCTCTGTACAGTCGTAAAATTCAAAGATTGATTTCTTTTGACTCGTCCTAGCCCCCTTGTTTGACCCGAAAAAGGCCACAAAAAAGAAGCAAAGAAGCTAGTGTCATGACAGGCTGAAGTTAGCTGAACAAAAAACGTAATTTCAGGAAATACGTGCTTAAAGTTTTGAATTTTTTTACTCAGGGCTCAAAACTGTTTAATTATTTCTTATAAACCTTTGCAATCAATAACTATTAAAGTTTACATCTCATAAGTGTACGCATGTTTAGACTGCAACAGGAAATCTTCCATCTCGATTCTTGCATTTACTCTCAATGCTTAACTGGTGTCGGACGACTGTCTGTCTAAAAATGGAAAAAATTGTTTAGTTAGGATGCAAGTACTGAAGTATTATATATTTGCACCACAATCGACCTAACTTCTTGTAACTCATTCTTTGGAATACTGAAGAAATAGATACCGTCAAAAACCAAAACTTAAAGTCTGATTATGTAACTAAACTGGACAAGTATCATCTTCTTGAGAAATTTGTCTTTGCACATGGGGGGCCAACTCCTTGGACTTTCACATGTTTGTGAATTCACGCAGATGCTGATACAGTACCAAGCAGGTGCCCCCCCCCNCCCCCAAAAAAAAAAAACTTGGTTAATTGATTTTTAGGTTTTGTCTCTTGTATATATTACTTACATCTTTTCTTTTTTTCATTTTTAATGTAACATTACGTTTCTCATCAACTGCAACACTCCTTTCCAGATGGAAAATTCATCCTTGAATTATCACATCAAAAAGATGGAGAGCGCACATGTTGGGTGCCTGTGGCTAAAAAGACATTTTGGCCTACTGTCGGTACTCCTAGACTGGAAAACTGCACTTCATTCAGTGGTATAGAAACCTATTATTTTATACATCTTTAATTAATGAAAATTAGATATTTTTGGGAAAATATCTGTTTGAGTTATGAATGAAATGAATGAAGAGAGTCTGGGTTTTAGCAAGATTATTTGAATTAGTTCTGACCGAATTTATTCATCAATACCTTATAAAAGAAGAAAAAATCTGTAGGTCATTCCATGTCAGATCAGACCAGTGATTTGATCTTACCCTTTCAGAATTGGATAAAATTTGGCTTACTCATACTGCTCAGTGACCTGAGCTGAAAGACTTAAAGTTAAATTTTTTCTGGGTGCCTCATTCAACTTTTGTTGAGCTCTAAAGTGCAGGCATATTCATGGACGTGGCACCTTAAAGAGTCTGTAACTTTAAAGTGGTTAATCCAAACCAAACCATTTTGGTACCATTGGAAAGTCCCTGAAATGCTTTTCTTACTAATGCCTAATGCCCGAACCTCAAAGGTTGCACAAGGCATCCAAAAAAACCTAAATTTAAGTTTTTCAACTCAGGTCACTGAGCAGTATGAGTCTGCCAAATTTCATCCATTTCTGAAGAGATTAAATCAAAAAGTACCAATATTTGGTCTGATTTGGCGTGGCATGACCCTTTTGCTGAACTAGGTAGTGGTAATTGAAACGATAGGATTAATACCTACCCTATGAATTTATTTATTTGATGACACTTTGAATGACGATTATTAGAATTTTCTAGAACAAATTGATCATTGAGCTTATCCAGTAATGAACCACTTTCATCAAGTTGTCCCATATCTATAATGTCTCATTGCTTTGCCAAAATCTATCTTATTATATTTACAGTTTCAGATGATAATTCTTCAATTCAATCATCACCATGGCAGAGAGACCACAGTTGGAAACAGTCGAACCCTCGGCGGAATGTTAGCAAGGAATTGCAATTCATGGTCAGGATACGACCTCTGCCGCGGAAGTATTTCTCTTCATATTCTGTTCGGAGGAAGCGGAGACGGCCTTACGACCCAACAAAAATAGAAGTTAAAGATGATTCATCTCATCATGCTACTTCCAAGTCTGTGAAAAAGGAGAAAAAAGAAAAGAATGGGATTGGTGCAAAATTAAGCTCAATTGTATATAGGTTAAAAGAGAGAATACATGTATCAGTCGTTAAAACAGAGAATACTATTAATCCTGCAAGAATTGATCCTGGCATTGTCTCACCGCGAAAAAGAATTCTTCGGGAGTTCGAAAAGGTCAGTTTAGATGAGATAGCAGTTTCTACCAAGAGGCATCGAGCACGGACTGCGCCAGCACCTGCCAAACCTGTAAGCAGTCATAGTATTACATCAATCCTAGCAAGAGAAGACGAGCCTTCTTTCTTGCGATCATTGTTAGGCTGCTCGGGCAGTGAAGCATCCTCAGCATCTTTTGATTCCTCGCAGTCTCGCAATCCATATGTTGTGAATCCATCGCCCTCACCAGAGTCAGTGCGCCCCAGTGCTTGCAGTAGTACAACTTCAGTGACACCATCGCCACCTCCGCCGAAAGCAGGCACTCTTGTTCAGCCACAGCCCACCCACCCGCAATTTCCGTATGCGATGTCCATGCATCCACCATTCTTGCCTCATCCACAGGCTTCATTCTACTCAGGTCTATCTCATTACAGGAGTTCACCCTCTTATTGGCCACTGTATGCCATGTCTAGTCTCCCTCGAAACACTCTTTATCCTCCTATGATACCAGCGTTCTCACCTCTTAGTCCATCATCGTGGACGCCACTAACGCAGCCTGCCATAGGAGAGTTCAAGAGAGATGATGGATCCTCAGGTAAGACTCTTAATTCATTTATTTAAATTTTGAAGGGAGTGCTCTGAAGTATTATAAAAGTAATTTTGAAGTCACATTATCAATTAATTTACACATCAACAATAAGCAGGACATTAAATACAAAATCAGGAGAGGCAGAAATCTTATACATGAAACCACTATAAAATGGCAAACCATCCAAGAATATTTTTTTAAAAAAAAGTGATTTCTTGCACCGGTGAAATTTGGAGATCTACTGGGCAGATTCTAATGAATTTTCATTGCAAGTAAGTGATGCCTCTGAGGAATTGCCAAATTAGATCAAATTCGAACCTTTGACATTCCTCAATGTCTTAAAAAATGAGGAAGTTTTCGTTTATGTTCAGGTGCTGCAGTCCAGTGTTCTCACAATGGGCCTGTTGCAAACTTTTGCTAGAGCAGAATGAAGAGTTGTTTCTTATAGATAATGCCTTAAAAATCACGATGAGCGCATCGGCAAAGTCTGAAATGCACCCATAAATTCACAATCTGCGTAAGAAATTTGCGTTATTTTGAGCTTCCCGCTTCAAAAACGATACTACTGCACAGGTGAACATTTTGCTAGAGGAGTCGCTCCATTGTCGGCAATATTCATCATGGCCGATGCTTGCGAAGTTCCTCGCGTAATTCGAGGAGAGTTCAAGGTCAATTAAGGCAGGCAAGGAAAATATGAACGTAAACACGCCGCTTGTTATCTGGTTTAATCCTGTTCAGGTGTTATCTCGTCCCATCACACGTGTTTTGTTGGACTGGCGTCGGCCATGATGAGTATTACCGCCAATGAAACGACTCCTCTAACAAAATGTTCACCTGTACCGTAGTATCGTTTTCGAAGCGGGAAGCTCAAAAAACCGCAAATTTCTTACACAGATTGTGAAGTTATGAGTGCATTTCAGACTTTGCCGATGCGCTCATCGTGATTTTTGAGGCATTATCTGTAAGAAACAACTCTTAGTTTTGCTCTAGCAAAAGTTTGCAACAGGCTCATTGCTTTGTGTGGTCTTTCGCTCCTTGCCCCTGCATCCTCCGTTCTTAATCCCATCAAAATCATATAAATTTCAGTAGTTCTCTGATATATATCTATTCAGTAGGCCTCCTAAAATCCACATGCAGCTTCAATAAATAGTTCACATTTTAGATAAGCACTATTTTTTCAGGGGTAATTTCTTAGGCTTTGCTATGCTTTAACGGTCAACTAAGTCACAGCAGCAAACGCATATGTCACACATGTTACCCCTCTGTTTCTGGTTTCTCAGTAAAATCGCCTAATTTAAATTTTACTCTTGCCTGGGGAAAGCTCAGTTCAGGCGATAATGCTGTACAAGAATAAAAGAGGAAAAAACCGCAAAAATACCAAAATAGTCAGTATCATGCGCTCCGTGTAATTCATCAACAAAATTTACTGTGATTTCATCTACAGAAAACACTCAAAAATGGCAGAAAAAGTACAAAAATAGTGAAAATTCTGCCCCCGGAAGAAGTCATCAATGGGTTCCACAATGATGCCATCAGCCAGACACACCATGATATGCCCAAAAATCCAGATTTAATAGATGATCACTGCCTGTAGGGGGAGGGAGGGGGGGGTGAAAATAGGGAGATAAGGAAATTAAAATTGATAAGACACCCTACAATATCCTCGTTTTGTGGAGTTCCTTTGAGGAGAAAAAGTGCGGTGCGTAATTTGAACTAAAGGACCCCACACACCTCTTATGGGAAGCTGCACCATGAAGAAACCTTAATTGTTTTTTAACATTCGATTCTCCTCAAGATGCTGATCAAAAGTTATCAGTGCGCCAACTTTCTACGATGCACTGTTTGTGCAAAAAACGGCCGAGAGGATTCAATTATTTAATTATGGTAAAAAGCCAGAAAGATTCCTCATCTCAGCACCCGACTGAAGGAAATCAGGGGAACTCCCGCACCCAGCGGCAGTCTTATCTCGGATTCCGCGCGCTGTTTTACTCGATCATCCAAATCAGATTCTTGAGGAGCATAAGAACAGGAAAGTCGGAGAAAAACAGTGAACGTCAACTGGGCGAGAGCAGGAGGGAGATTGCCCCAGAGTCGGCAGGTACAGATAAGAGAACGGACACGCGCTACGGTTTTTCCTCATTTACATCGGGTTTGTTCTTGAATGCTTTGTTCTTTTTTATTCATTGTCGCCGAATAATCAAATCTTCTCGGCCGTTTTTTGCGAAAACAGTGCATCGTAGAAAGTTGACGCCGTGATAACTTTTGATCAGCATCTTGAGGAGAATCGAATGGTTAAAAACAATTAAGGTTTCTTCATGGTGTAGCTTCCCATAAGAGGTGTGCGGGGTCCTTTATAAATATTTTTGTACTCACCACAGTGTTTTAGTTTTAACTGTGGTTTTTCTGTTGGTTAACTGTGCAAAATATTCGAAGGCTTTAGACCACCTGGAACAGCAAGTTAACTATAAAGCCGAGAAAAGTATAAAAAGTAGAGGGGAAAAGTAAAAAAAGACTGGAAACTGCAGGGCAATCACCTCGGGATCCCACCTAGGAATTCCAGGGGATTCACCTATTCCAGGGATATCCAACTAAATTCAATAATCGCAAACATTATTTACATTTAATTGAGAGTGATAAATTTACTTTATAATCATATAATTAAATTACTTGCAGTTTGATTCTGTTCCAGCAGAAGGATTTATTTCATTTCGATTTGAGACAACTGATTTTACAATTTGCTCCTCATTTTTTTTAGAAGTTGCCTAAGGTTTACTTTGTTTTTACCTAAATGTATTATTAAAAAGCAGGAATTAATTCAGTTCTGGATAGTTTCAATTATTTCCTCTCCATTACCCTACTGCAAAATTTGGGTATATGCATAAGTTCTCTGCAACCGTGGATGTCGTCTTTTTTTAAAAATTATTTGTATCTCATTAACCATTACTTCTAATTTAAATTCCTAAAGTTCGTTTATTAGAAGAGGATTCGGTTCATATTAAACTTGTAAGCCAAACTCTACTCATTTTAAGGACATCATAGTGCATTTATTTTAGAACTTCAAATGTGATTATCTCAATACTTGAAAACTGAACATCTGCTATTTTTACAGATATGATCTCATTTGTGTGTTTACAGGTAGCTTGAAACCATAGGCTCACTCCAAAAAATGAAATTCATTCAAAAATAATTTACATTATTTTTATTGAAAGTACCTTCAGTTTGTTTCAACTCACAGGCACACATATACATTGACTCAACCACCGAAGGATTTGCAACCTAACAATTTTTCTCTTTGCATCAGAAATTTATAAGATCAAGAGCAACCCAGAGATTGTAATTAAATAATTTTGTGCATCTTTGATCTTTATTTTGTTTATTATTTATTTATCTATTTTATTTTATTTTTCAGATGTTCCTCTGAACTTGTCCAAAAATGCTAGCTGAGCTGTTGAAAGGGCTTCCAGGAGCTGAGTAAGTCAAAGATTAAACAACTCTAAAAGCTAAGACTGTTTTTTTAGTACATTATTGATTCATTTGTAATATAGTGCCTTGCTACGTGTGAAATCGTAAACTGGACCTATTATATTTCAGTCAATATGTTTAAAGTGGAACATTAGCTCTGAACATTTTTATCCAAGCTTCTGAAGCTAATCACATGGGTAAATTCAGTTTTTTTACCAGATAAATTGTGAAAAAAATATTTCATCCATCAACTTAGAACTTAATTTTGACAGGGTTCACAATTCTCTCTTACCAAAATGAAAACATGACAGTAGTCCAGAACACATGACAAAGATAAACACTGGAAAAACAACCACGCTAGACTAAAATTATTTTAAGTTCTTCTTAAGGCCAGGATACGAGGTCTGTCCGGAAAGTATCCGATCTTGTTGATTATCTCGCGATCAACGGTTGATAAGAGGTTGGAGCTTGGGATTATCTTTGCAGGGACTCTCCTGAATGCAGGTGCACAGCCTTACTTTGGGACGTTGAATCAGTCGTTGGTAATTTGCTGATTAGTGCGTGCTATACTGCTGTGATCGTTGGATTTCATTTTTTTTAAAAAGAGGAAGTTAAGGAGAGTGGGGTGGGAAGAGTTTGTAAAGAAGATCATTACAGGAGACACGTCTTGGGTCTACGGGTACGGCCCTGAGGCAAAAGTGCAATCTTTAGTTTGGATTGCACCTGGGAGACCTGGCCTGTAGAAAGCTCAAAAGAGTTGCAGCAATGTGAAGACAATGCTGGCCGTCTTCTTCGATCATGAGGTGTTGTCCATCATGAATACGCTCCTCAATGCTCTACTATCAATAAAGAGAGCTACTAAGAAACTTTACGTACCTTTAGGGGTCTTGGGGAGCGTATGCATGATGGACAACACCTTCATGATCGAAGAAGACAGTCAACATTGTCTTCACACTGCTGCGACTCTTTCGAGCTTTCTACGGGCGAGGTCTCCCAGGTGCGATCCAAACTAATGATTGCTTTTTTGTCTCAGAGTCGTACCCGTAGACCCAAGACGCGTTACCTGTGATGATCTTCTTCTCAAACTCCTCCCACCCCACTCTCCTGAATTTCGTCTTTTTTAGGAAAAACGAAATCCGACAAACGCAGCAGAATAGCATACACTAATCAGAAAATTACCAACGACTGATTCAACGTGTGATAATACGGCTGTGCACCTGCACTCAAGAGAGTCCCTGCAAAGATAGTCCCAAGCCCCAACTTCTTATCAACAGTTAATGGCGAGATAATCAATAAGGTCGGATACTTTCCGGACAGACCTTGTATATTGCGGTCCTCATAACTCAATTTTCAACAGATAATAATGAAGAAAGAAAGAGATTAAAAGAGGAATATTAGCTAAAAATCCAAGTGTTATAGTTCTAAGTAACCTGTTAAACACATTGGTTTACCTGTTTCACTCTTAATTGTGATATGTAGATCCGTAGCTGTCGTTCCTCCGCTGGTTTCTCTCTGTTTAAATTTTTTCTGGTCCAACTATCGGTTTTTAGGATCCTGAAAAATTCCAGCCTTTTCAAGGACCAATAATCTGAACCACGTCCATTTTTATTTTTTTCTCCACAGCTAAATGTGAAGCAGCTACTCCTCCCTGTCATTCAAAGTTGATTTTGAGTGTGACTTAGTTGCAAGTTTTATAAGAAAAAGAAAAAAAAACAAATGTTTTACAGGAAAATTTTCTGATCAAAATTTAATTAATGCAAATGCTGGCCAGAAACTTCAAGTCAAATGAGAGGATTAATACTGATTTAATTTCATATTTACAAGTTCCATTCATGTAATACTCGGTATGGTAGTCACAAACAATTTCCTCCTAGTATCCTTCCTACTCATTTACTTGTCGTCCGTCTTTACAGGCATCTTCCTCTTTTTTTTCTTTCTTTTTTTCAATTTTTAACCCTCTTTGAAATCAATTCCTTCTTTCCTTACTGACAGCAATAACACTAATGATATTTTTTGTACATGCTGAGCTTACTCTCAAACATGGGTTCAAGAAAAATAATTCCAATGGAATTTGTTTTCTGCTTTAATCTATATTCTGGTTAGCCTGGCACTGTTGTTTCTCTTTTATTGCTCAAAGCTAGTGTTCCTCCCTAGGTCATTTCAAACCACCGATTTTTTTTGCCTGGCATTTTCAGCGTACCTATAGGTACAATCATTTGTAATTTAGGAAACTGTTTTATTTTTGTAGCAACAAGTCTTGCGTTTTCTCTTTTTGTATGCATACTTGTACATTGTATGATAAATGTATAATTTTTGTATGTTCTGAAGAATGTACGGTTTGTTTCAACGTATGTTAAATTTTAATATGTATTATAAGACTGCAGTATGATTGAGTTACAAGGGAAAAAAGTAAGAGCAAAAGCCATTTTAAGGAATGTCACCCAGTTCTTCAATTTTTTTTTTAATTCTTTTAATGCCTGTACTCAAGTGATGCTTTTTTGATGAAGGACCTTAATTTTACCCAAATAATGATTTTAAAGACTGAAAATAAGTGATTCTAATGAAAGTCATCTCTTTTTCTTTGACTGCAATTGCTTTTGTTTATCTCAACATCCAATTTCAACATACACAAGTTTGTTCTATTTTTCTCTCTTTTGTTTTTTCCATCAATGTATTGAGTATGTTTGTACTTCTCCTTATTCATTTTGGAAGGTGATTCAAATTTTAGGTCAGCAGTTATTTTTACTACAAATACATCTTAAGGTCTTAAAATTTGTATGCACTTGTATCTTTGAAGTCTTCATGTCATAATCATCTAATAACATGAAACGTCTCGTGCAAGGGTGTAGAAAGTTCCCAGCCTTCCTCCAAATTTAATTGATCTTCCTCTATTTTTGTGCATAAGTCATCATCACCACCCGCCAATATGTACTCAAAAGAACAAATTTTCCACCAAACAATTGGACTTTGACACCGCTAAAATGCTGTAGAACTCAAAATTGTGAAAAAATCTGATGAGGCTCCCCAATTTGTCGCTGTATTGAAAGGATTTTCATCATTTTTTCTCTGTTCTAACAGGGTATTCACCATTTCAGGTGACCAGCACGAGATCGGGCCAGTTGGGTGGTCAGAAACTTTTTGCACCTCTGTTGCGGGCTGATTATTGAAATTGCTAGGCAAAGCTACAGATAAAAGAAGATACAAGAGAAAGTAGAACAAACCTATTGGTAGAAGCAGGTGGTTGCAATTGACAAAGGAGGTAAGAAAGTGATTAATGAATGGCAGCCTACAAAATACTCCATCGTGAGTCCATCGTTGTCCCCTTTAGTCTAAAGGAACCACCTTTTTCAACACATTAAATCACTCCATCTTCTCTTTGTCCATCGTTTTGTCTATCTGTGTCAATGATCAGCTTGATCTTCTGTGCTTTTTGTTTTTGTACCCACGGTTCAACATATGCCAGGTATCTTGATAAAGTTAAGGGGTCATATCTGAAAGTCTTGCATTTTCTTTTTACAGTCAAGTTTTTTATTGTGATGGATGAGCTTTTCTCACATTGTGATCAGTTTCATGTTAATGTGAAGATTCTAATTGTCTGCAAATGTGCTTATTTTCCAAACATACATGCCTGTGACTCAGACAATAGTCATATCTGAACAAACAAAAGCATTCTGATCTTTGAAACTTTTTAGCCCAACGCATTCTTTTGAAATTTTTGTAGGGTGAGGAAATTTTCTAAGAGTGAGGAAATCCTGAGACTGAGATTACTTCTGATTTTCAGTTCTGCTTTGAAAAACTTTCTACACCCCTGTGAGTACTTGTAGGTGATTTCCCTCTCTTATCAGGAGTAGATTCTTTTGAAAAACTCAGTTTGTCAAAATGCTGGACACAACCTCTTCTTTTAATTATCTATTCAATTTTGTTTTGTCTGGGAAAATCAAAAACTATTTAATATAACGTGTTTTGAAGGTAAACTTACCTTGTACCCGAAGCAAGTCTTCCAATGTTGATAATTATTAGTTTAATGGAACAAATCTTAAGCCTCAGAATAACAAGGTCACCTTTAAAAGCTGCCAGTCAAGTCTCTGGAAGAAAAAAATTTTGAATGTTATTTTTGTCATGAATTGATTTCTAGACTAATTTTGATTTCATCTAAATGCTGAAGCCTTCAAAATGAGCTTGCTTCACAATTTTTAATTCTTGCATTTTTAAAAGTAGGGGACTTTTTATTCACAGGAATATTCTCTCACTTCTTTACAGTATTAACTCAACAAGTTGAAAACAGCGTATTTTGAGCTCCCATCTAAAAGTGCATCACCCAGAAAGCTACTTATGAGATGCGTCTGAAAGTATCCTTACCACCATGGCCACAATCTCGATTGCAGGATCCCTCTGCGGCGATTCATGGTTCATGCAGCTGTCATCAATGGACAGCCGCATGTACCATGAATTGTGGCTGATCCCTCAATTTAAGCTTTGGCTGCGCCGGTAGGGACATTTTTGGACGCTATCTTGGCTTTCTGGATGATGTGTGTTTAGTTTCGATTGGAGCTCAAAATACATAACTGTGAACTAGTGCACTAGTGCACTTTCCAATTTTTCAAAATGCAAGAATTAAATAAAAGTTTCAAGATGAGCTCATTTTTCAAAAATGTTTTTTAGTTAGTATTATTCAGATACCTATTATTTTTCAATGCAGTAGTTTGATTAAATGTGAGCGCCTAAAATTTTGGAATGTTTCCTCCCATATTGTAGTCAGTTTCATGTAAATGAATATGTCAACTTGCGGTACCTCAATGTTATTCAAAGTGCCCTCGATTGACCACTAAGAGATTTGGATCCAAATCCACAGTGCTCAGCTTTTGACATTGATCTTTGGGCAACTTTTTGTAAAATAAAATCCCTAACCTAAGCCGTCCCACTTTGCAAAGTACCTGTAAAGTGTTCCCCAAGTCCTGATCTTACTTCAAATATTAAGTTGAGTTAAGTTAATCAATTTTAAGTTGAGTTTACCTATAGTACTGCTCAATTAATCCTTCCTGTTTTTTTGTTTTTTTTTTAAATCCACAATTTTTTCATTTCGCCAATCATGTCCTTTAATTTGCAAAACTTAATCATCAAACTGTCCTCAGTTAAAATTATAGCAGTTCATTCCTATCCAGTTTTAAAAGTAGCCTTACGAAAGTCATTAATATTCCTTACCTTTTGGACGTTTTTTGGGTGTCTTTCTTCTTTTTTTTTTATAAATGTGATCTTGCTTACCTGCAAAAGTAAATAAATCTCAATAAGTATAATTTTTAATCGTAAGAGGTGCCTACCTACATTAGTGACTCACATAAACCTGCAAAAATGTATTCTCTAACCATTATCTGCTGCAGAGATAAGTAGAAACAGTGGTAGGTATTTTCTTCATTTTGAAGTCAAATTTGAAGAATTTTTCAGTCCTAAAAATAATAATGTTAAGTTAACAAAAGAACAAACAAACCGAAATAGGTTACTTCGAATTCTCAAGTTGGTGATCATTCCAGTTCATATAACTTTTTTTAGGAAAAAGCCAATGATTCTATTGGCATCATGCTTCTTTGTATACTGCTTTGTTTGCTTTAATTTGTAGGAAAGTGGAAGACTCTATTGTTGTGTTGTCTTTATTTTGACTGTTCATTTTGTATATAGAAATGTAGAATATGTTAACTCTTGACATGAAATCTTCAGCTGTGATAAACTTTTGAACAACTCGCAGACTTTGTCTCTATGTAGCAAGTTTTTGGGTTTGTCAAATGGTGAGTTCTCTCCCCATCCTTCACTTTCTTCCGCCTTCTCTAATTTTATAATCAACTACTTTTCCAAGCATGAATTAATTAAAATTAGTTTTCTAAGTACCGATGTATTTGAAATGCTTTATCCTTACCCAAGATTGTCTGTGCACTAAGATCCAATTGTAACAACTCCCAAATCGAGCTTGAGTATTTTTCAATCATTCAATGAAATTTCAAGCTCTATTCAAAAGCCTTTTTTTCATTTTTCTTAGCTGACAAGTTAACCTTTTTAGTTGATTTTGTATTTTACTGCAATTGGTCTGTACTGCATTGGTGTATCTTTTTTTGCCAGTTTTTACAAATATGTTTCAAAAAGCTATGAGAGTTCTTTTTTTGGATTGTAAAGGAGACCGCGAAACGAAAAGATACAGCCATGGCTGAATTTCAATACTATTTGAATAACTGTTCCCCATGACCCACTGAGTTCAGCTTGCTCTAATAATCAAAATTTCTCTGTGCCAATTTAAAGGAGAGCTGGTCTGAATAGTGAATTTTTCATAATTTATATACAAAGAAATACACTACTTAATTTCCGTGTCAGATCCACAGATGGGTCAGTTCATGGAAATTGGTATGACGCTCAGCCCATGCAGTTGTCAAGCAGAAAAATTTGGGTTCGTTTATTAAAACATTTAAAACATTGTTTAAAACATGTTTAAAACATTTTATTAAAACATAGGTATACGAGTAAGTAACATCTTTCCCATTCCTGCGGCCAGTAAAGAATAGAGAGCTTTCTTTGATCACCAATTAGGTGTCGCAACATCTCTACTAGATAATGTTTACAAATAAGCTAAAAAATATCTCTTTTAAGACCCCGTATTCTGGAATTTGTCACTTAAAAGTTTCGATTTTTTCAAATTGTTGTGCTCAGGAGGTCGGAGAGAACATTATATTAAATAATAATAAAGTTTAGAAGGCGCCAAATCCCTTCATTTTATTTGCAATCTTTTTTTCTAATATGATACACCTACACAATTCACAATTAATCAGCTCTATGTTCAATTTTTTTATATGTTTTAGCTCGTTACTTTAATAAATTTTAGAAAATTACAATCAATAATTTTCCTAGGAAGGCATCATCAATTTAATTATATTACTTTTTTTGTCTGAAAAATTTGACAAAAATTCTTTGTAAGTGTGGTATTGAAGTTTAAAGTAATGATTGCGTTCTCGAAGAGCCACTAGATTTTGTTTTTGAATATGATATCCAAAAATTTGCTATTAGATAGAACTTTCTTAAATACCATCCGATCTTCCTTGATATTTTTATGTTACTACATAAAGGAAATTTACAAGAGAACTAGAGGAACCCTTACGCCTATCTATAAAATCAGCCATATCATCTATCTGTAAGCTTAAGTCCTGCTGAATAAGTTTACACATTCTTAGAGTTTGATAGAAGATCAGATGTCTTTAGTATCGCATTGGAAGTAGATTCAAGATTCAAACTGGCGGTTTTTCTATCTCCTTTCGATAAAACATAAATTTATCTGATGTGGACTCAGTGAGGAGTCTTATTGCCTCAAGTAGTGAGCATAGTGTCTAATAAGGATATCTGAGAAATCATGAAGTGTCACAAAGTAAAGGACCCCGCACTTTCGGAAATGGGATCTTATTCCCACGCCAATTTTCCATTTTCTCATTCCATTGCATTGGTTGATTGATGCTGATGTAAAGTCATAATAGCGCCAACTCTCTTCAAGCCACTGTTTTCCTACAATTTGCTGTTAAAGTCTTGATAAAATGCCCATATAATTAAGCCAGCGCGGCTAGAATGAGTCGAAAAGATCTCTGTTCCTCTCAGTACTCAAGAATTAGCTGTATGCAACTCAAGGGAAACCCTGCTCAGCACATATCTGTCCTTCTCTCTTTATCTCCCTCCTACCCTTGTATTTTTGGCAACATTGAACGATAAATAATGTAAGAACTAGGGTGAGAGGTAAGGAAACAAGTGTGAGAACGCGTGAAAGCGTGGAAAGAAACTGTTTTAGACAGTGGAATGAAAAAGCATGCGAAATCCGAAATAAGACTGCCCCCTCAGTGGCAGAGACCACTGACCACTTTTAGGTTTACATTTTTCAACGCATGACTTCATCCACAAGGCAAATTATCAAAACTTAAACTGCAAACTGCAGGGAAATGGTGGCTCCTAGACAATTGCGACGGAATAAAATGATTAAAAATCGGCGTGTGCACAAGATCCCATTTCCAGGCGTGATGGGCCTTTTACAAAGAACTCAAAAGTTTGGTCTCATATGAAAATTTTCATAAGCAAATTTTTATAGGTTTCCTAACATCACACTACAATTCTCCCTGTTCACTCAATTTTTGTATTTTTATAAAATTCTATTTTTCTTTTTGTCAGCAAGAAAAGAAAAAGTCTACTTATTTTTTTATTTTTTCAATTTTCTACATTTAATGAGTTAGTAAAGTCTAAGAGGAATGAGCTCTTGAACAGTCTTTTTTACAGTTCTTGATCCATGAAAATGAAACATTCACTAAATTCTCCTATGAGTGAGTCTCTACAGAGGACCAAGTTTTTAATTTGGAAGTTGGCCACAATGTGCTCAAACAGAACTGCTTACAAAACTGGACGTACGCATCATGAAAGCAAAATGGTGACTGTAGCACCGACCCTCTTACTGTCTCCATGCTTCATTTGGTCCATTTTTCTGTTGATATTGCATCATTGTATGGAAGGCCAGGTTAGCTCGGTGCTATTGTGATAATGTTAAAGTGAGATTCTATTATATTACACACAGTGTAAGGAATGTGAATGTTATGTGTCCTGAAGCACAATGGAAGAGAAATCTTGTCTCTTGATAAGTTATAAGAATGAATGAGCGACCACCATGTTTAGGGAAACGGAGTGCACACTCCTACACCCTCGGTAGGCAATGATTGTGCACCTCTTTTTCTCTGCCCACGTCATTGGAGATTTCTGTTTTACAAAGAGGAATTATTTGCTAGTTCCGGCTCATGGTGTATTTGAACAAAATTAAATACAATTTGAATAACTAGAGATGAAACCCTCAGGGTCTTGAAGTAAGCTCCTTTCACTAACATTCCAGTTCAAGACTGAAATATTTCATTGAGACCCTGCAGAACAAAATCCCCTCGAAGTGATTGAAGAATCAAATTTGAAAGCGCAAAAGGAGAAAATCCCCCATACCTCTTCCCCTCTCTGGGGTGAATTTGTAGTTATTGTTCCCTGGCATTAGAAACTATATTCCTGGAATTTTCAAGACCCCAAAAGATTTTCTGAATAATATTGCAGTCAATTACAATGCCAAAGCAGGTATTTCACTACTCTGTTCTCAAAAACTTCCTGTTTAGATGAATCTTTTCTCCTCAGTGATGCCCAATGGTTGAAAATGTTTGTTCATAATAACTCAGATCGAAAGCATTTTGTACAATGTAATTTTGAAATGACCAGCATAGGTCGATCTTGTTTTATATCCGCCCTATCATGGACAAAGATTTTTTTTTCCCTCTTTCTTTGGGTAGTGTTTAATGGAATTGATGTTCCTGTGAATAAATTTATGTTTCATTCTCCTAATAAAAAAAAAAAAAAAGATAAGGAAATAGGAAGTTACACTTTTAGTTGGGTCTCTCTCAAACTTTACACGGACACAAACCCACTCAGTACCAATGATTTCTGTGAAATACCTATACTTTACATTAAGTTCAAACTCTCGTTATTCCATTGAAACTTCTCTTCTCGAGGCTTTACTGAGGTTTGGATCAAATGCTTATCACACAAATTTCTCCTGAAGTTCTTGCATCCGTGAAGATGTCCATATCTTTATTTGAAGGCTGCCCCTTTAAAATTGGTGGTGAATCATAACGTGTTAAAAATATGAATATTTTAGGAATTTTATTTTTTTATCTCTTGTCAACTTTAGTGAGGTATTTTATAATATCCTAAAAATTGTTCTAGACAATACTCATCTCAAAGTGTTCCTACTAATTTAAAAGAAAAAGAAACTTCGTTTATATACTTCATAGAAACGTAATTAAATGGTACGTATTTATTTTAATGATGAAACTTAAATCTATTTTTAAACTGAAATTTTTGAAATTATTTTGCAACTTTGTCATATATATGTTCATCGATGGCGCCCCTTGATAATGTATGAACTTAAAAATATTGAAGAGAATGTGTGAGCCAACGAATTTCCCCCCTCTTCTCTTTTATAATTTTGTAAAGTGTAACTGATAAATTGTAAATAGACTGTAATGTACATTCTCTTTTGTAGCATTAAAAGATTATATATTTTGATTCATTTCTTATTTTCTTTTGATTTTTTCAACGTACGTAGTGCACTTGAAGGACCTATTTATATTACGGTAGAGAATCTGAATGACTGAGAAACTGGATGACTTTTTACTTATCTCCCTTGACTGGAAGGACTTAAGGTAGAAGCCTTTGTACTGCAAGCTTTTTGGGTGTCCTAATCTCTTTTTCTGTGGAGAAATTTAACTCATTTTCCCCTATTAATGCCGCATGTATAAGAGAATATTAGGACACGATTGCAAATCAGTATTTGCATGCAAACAAATGTTATCTTTGCAGGTAACATGAACGAAACACTGATTTAAAATAAGTGAGCACCAGTTCTTTCCCAGTTTGCTCACCTGAAACTCTTAGGTTCCAAAGATGAGCCTCTGAATCCAGGCACTTCTCTTGATGTTTCTTTCTCTAAACTGCACCGTGTAAAACGAATTAATTACTAAACTTTTTTAAATAAAACCTAAAACTAAGTAACAGCAATGGGTATTTCAAATAAAAAAGGTTGATAGGAATGAGCTGGGAAGTCTAAGAGCTCTTAGTGGTTTTACTTTTTTCTTGCTCGATTTTTAATCCTTCACCTTGCAATGTTAAGTCCAATTAATCAGGAGGATATAATCTAGAAATTTCAAGGATCAAATAAATAAATAAAAAAAAAAAATCCCTTTCTAACTTTACTAATGAACAATAAGTAACAAAAAATGTTTGCAATTCCATTTTTTGCATACATTTGCATTCCAATTGCAACAATACTTAAATACCTACTAGAGTGCCAATTTCTTTTTACCTGAAATTGTGCATCATCTGGACAATAAATGTCGATTTCAAACGATCAGTCGAACAAGCTCCAAGTACCATAGTGAAAAGCAATTTGCAATGTAGGAAAATATTGCAACTAGTTTTAGTTGTATGTCACTTAATTTCACTAGGTCAAAGAAAGCTACCTACTATTCGGCCTCCTAAAATTTTTCGGGGGTTTTTTGGGGAGGGATTGGGGGTATGAACTTCTTTTCAAATTGAAAGACCCTGCCTTGTGGTACTTCGTTCGAAGAGGGTAAAAAATATATTTCTTAGTAATAATTGATCACTTACTTAATTGGATTAAATTTTGCAACAAGGAACCACTCTTTCTGGCCCATTTTAGAAACAACACACGCCATTTGTTTCCCTATGTAGGTACCTATGTGCTTTTATGGGAGAGCCGGAGATAGTGCGGTTCCCTACTGCAAACTGAAATCCAATTAATCAAAAGAAACAATGAAATTAGGTAAATTTCATTGTTTCTGGATTTCAGTGGTCTCACTACATAGAGTGTCAAGTTGTACAATCCTAGCAACATTGGCATGCTCTTGGTTCCTCTTTGCAAAATACAATCCAAATAAACTATTATAAAAAATACGATTTTTGGCATTTCAAAGAGCCTTTATCGCTACCGGCAAGAGAGCTGCAAGACAAAGAACGAACATGTTAGCAGTTCAGACATATTTTGAAGCCTTCAGCCAAAACTCAGAAATTTAAGTGTATCGCGCTGCTGGG